ACATTCCAAGAAAAACAAGACCTAATTTAGTGTGTTGATGTTTTTTGTCTTGGAAACTTCATTAGAGAAAGAAAAGAAGAAAAATTAACTGAAAGTACAAATATGTTAGGTTTTTGTTGTTTTGAATTACGTGAAAACAATATGCGTACTTTTTGCTTGGATGGATTTTGAGAAATGAGATAGTAATGAAAATGACGGTTTGAAAAGGTTTCGAATATCAGAATCCCGTTTCCAAAATATTCATTTGTTTCTAAGTCTACATAGAAAATATTCTTTGATTTTACTATTTTTTTGAAGAATCAGATTATCGCAAAAATTAGCCAAATCAAATTTAGAGCACAAACTCAAGATCAAACTTTTCCATACTAGACAAAATCTCTCGAGATAAGCTGGAGTGGGTTTCAAGATTTTTCGAACTTTATTTTGGAAAAAGATCTTGAGCTCGAACTTTTGATTTTTCAAGATTGAAAAAGGAAGATGGAAAACCGATTTTTATAAGTGTCCTCTGAATTTGAGACTAGCTTTGAAAGCAGAATTTCGCACATAAAAAGAGAAGAATCTGACCTGCCCTTTCCAAAAAAAAAAAAAAACAAAAAAAACTCTCCCAAAAAAGTTTCATTATAAGCCCTCCGCTGACTTTTTTTTTTGAATAAGATGGATTTTCAGAAGGCGGAAGTTTCTTCTCATAGAGAAAGTCTGGCATTTTTATGGAGGAAAATATATAAAGAAACATTGTAGTAAAAAACGTCACCGAATGTTTTCTCGATAGAAATTACTATTTGTGGTAGAATTTTCTCACAAGAAACTTTCACGTCATTGGATTTCCAGGTACTATACTTATTTTTTTCCAAAAAAATAGGATGAAATAAACTTCCTCAATTTATTTAGTCCTCTTGAATTTTGTTTTGTTGTGTAGGTCATTTTTCCTTTTTCTACAAACGCATGTCGTATTTTGCTGCTGTCGTTGCTCTCAAATCCAATTCAAGATTATCGCCTCTTTCCACTTCCTTTTGTTGAAAACCCCAAATTTTCTTCCTTATTTATTTTTTCGGTAGGTATTGGTTTTTTTTTTTGAGAAACGTAAACAAATTGTATACTGAAATATTTTGGAATACAAAACTAATCCACATATTTTAACTAACTTAGTTTCTGCGAATATTTCGGAAAGCCTGATGCTCTCAAGCACCAAAAACTATAGTTTATTCTTGGAAAATGTTTACCAAAAAGTTATTTGGAATACAAAAAATGTGGCTAATTTTTTTCTAGGAATATGGACAACTCCATGATGCCAAAGATTAAAAATTTGAATTTCTTGGAAAAGTGTACACCGAAAGGTTTTTGAAATACAAAAAGTAGAGAGATGCATAGTTGAACTATTTTTTTCAAATTCGATCAGTTTCTTTTAAAATTATACATATCCCAAATGTTTTTTGAACACTGAAAAGTTGAACTAATCTTCATCAATCAGCAATTACAATCAATTGTCCGAATGTTAGAAATTCCAGAAAATTCTAGAAAAAACCTGATGCTCTTTGTTAATACCAAGAAACGTTTTGAAACACGTTGTGTTAACTCAAATGAGGTCCCATGGGTGTACAAATTGACTAAATGACGATGAACAAAACACTTGAGACCACCCACCAACACAAAACCCCCTTTTTTTCTCTTTTCTTTGTTAGTTAACTTTTTTCTATCTCTGAAATAGAAAACAAAGGATAGAAACATACGTGTGTACATATATTTGCGTCAAAATGTTCCCACGTTTCGTACTATTTTTGATATCATGATATTTAATTAATTGTTGACATTTGTTGTGAAAGTCCTTTGGGACGACAAAAACGAGGAAACATTTTTATTTCAGCTGCGATCTCTTTGTGACGCGGTTCTAAATTTGGACTTTTTCGACATTTTTGCTTCCTCTATGAGTAATCAAATAAAATTCTGATTTGAGTTGGGTTCCATTTGCAAGTTTGTTGACCTAGAAAGTTTGGTGGGAACTTGATTACTGTAGTTCTTTGAGGAGCCTGATTTCAGACTGATATTAAAATAAATAATAGAGTGGGTGTTTTAGATTATTTATATTGAGTAGTAATAATCTTTTCAGTTCTCGAAAGTACTGTAGTTAATTTCAGAAGCCAACTTCCGAGGAAAGTTCAAATATAGACCACAATGTAGTTTATCATTATAAAATGTGTTTCAGCAAACCCCCAAGCATAATCCAAAGTTCAAATTTGACCCATAGTGTAGTTTTTAGACAATTTTTCACCTGCGCTATTATTTTACGCAAATCTAATTTTGGACTTTCGACATTTATCTTACCCTGACTTCTACTCCTACACATGAACTTATGAAAATTAGCTAGGTAATAATAATTTGATTGGATTGTTGTTTTGGATTTGTTGATTCAAATCTGATTGTGAGAAAATGGTCAATTCTTGAAACTTATTATTTTTGATAAGTACAGTAGTTCTTGATGGAAATTTGATAAAAGTTGGTATAGTTTGAAAAACAATAACATGGAAAACAAATGTAGGCGTTTTGATTCTGGAAAATCAAATAATTCTCTTGTGAATCCTACTCAATGATCACTTCACTAAATGCAACATTTTGAGTTAATTATGAAACTCTGTCTACTCAAAGTGTCCTTTTTACGAGTTCTGGCTCTTTTTTGGCTCCCCCACAGATAAATTTTTTCCCATTTTTTCCGCCAACTCAAAAAAAAAAACATTTCTGAGTCATCAACTACAGTATCCTATTTTCTTGTGAGTTCCATCCAAAAGCGGATGACTTTGTGAAAGTTCATGTCCACTGGGAGCTACCACAATAACAAACATTTTTTAACCAAGAAAAAAATGAACTCAAAATGTGTGTGACGTGCAAAAAAAGTTTGTTGTTGGACAATGAGGGCGTTTTGAAAAAGTCCTAACTTTTTCTATTAATATAAAAAAAAACTCGTGTGGTCCTTCAAGGTTCAAAGATTTTTGTTTTGGAAAAAAATATTTTTCTTTGACGAGAGTTGTGTACTATTAATCCCTGACCTTTTTTCTGGGTATTTTTGTTTTAACAAAACGTGAAAAACAATACTTTCAAGGTTCATTGTTTTATATGATTACCAATTGGAATAGTACATGTTTTTTTATTTTAGACCAACAGAAAAAAATAATCTAGTTTAGCTCTAGCTTTATAACACTGTCCCCCAATTGAATTTGAAATCTTTTTGTTTCCTGGTACTAATTGCTAAAATATTTTACAAAAAATAAAAGGTCTCTTTTTCTAAATTATTCTATTGTCTTTATTCTTCTAGGTATTCATTGACTTGCCCAGCCAGCAAGAAAAAAACGTCAGAATGAGACAAAAATTGAATTGAAACATTCATTAGCTATTATTTATTTATTCTACGCTACTCTAATGTTGTTCCAAAAAAACAACCCACCAAGTGCATGTTGTTATGTTATACGAAATCAATCTGGAAAATTGAAAAATTGTCCTGAAAATATATGCAATTACGTACACAACAAATCAATTAGTGAGAAAGAATTTTATGAAAAAATAATTTTTTTGAAGTTCTTTAGTTATTCTTGGTTGCCTTTCCGTTTTTTGTCTTCTTCTTCGAACCAATGTATAGTTGTTTTTTGTCTTGAAGATTTTTCAAAGCAAGCAGTTCAATTTTTTCATGTAGGCGTCGTTTTTTTTTCGTAGAAAAGAAATTTAGTATGAGATGAGTATTCAACTCATGTTATTCATTCAGACGTTGAATACTAAATTTACTGAACTTTACGCAAGTTCTTTATGATGTTTGATACGAACTTTGCTGGCTGGCTGGTTCATTTTTTGTGAGATCATTAATTTTTCAGAGAGGAGTAGTCGTAGTTGTGGCTGCTGTCAATCTCGGACTCACGGGTTCAGTTTTCGAAACCCACTTTTTTCGAATCACCCAGTCGTCAGGTCTGATAAATATCCGATTCAGATCTGATTTTGAAATTCTTTTAGATTGTGTTAGGGTTGGCTCATTTATTGGAATCAGGACGAGATCAGATATTTCTAGAGCAACTTTGAATCGGAAACCTTTTTTTGAAACTAGTTTGGGTGTTGGTCGGACAATTTTTAAAAAGCCGTGCAACTTTTAGAGTCATTTCTGAATTTTCATTCAAAAAAGCAGATCTGGATAATTTATTTTTTTGGTCCCTTCATTCCTTTGAAAAATTGTTAACCTGGTCTCATTCAAAATCTTCTGATCAAATTGAAAATTCCTTACCCGGTTCACATTTATTTTTTGCGTTAACCTCTCCGATTGTGATGTAGGATCAACATTTTTCTTGAATTCAAAAAAAAAGAAATTGAAGAAAAATAAAAAAAATAAAAAAAACGTGATGAAAAAAACAGTCATTAAAATGGTAATTGTGTATTTTATCTATCTCTCTATCTAAATTCAAATTTTCTTTTTTTTCCCGCAATTTTTATTACGTCAAAGACGAAGGTTCATCAGATATAAAAAATTAACATAGATATTGTCTCAAGAGAAAAAAGGGGCGTGTCCAAGTCAAACGTATTTCCATATTTTTTTTGGCTCATGCCTTTTTCATTTTTTTTCAGGCCACCGATGAGTATATAAATGTTTTGTTTATTTCGCCAAATGAGAGAAAACGTGTACTTTTTCACATTCATCTAGCTATTCTTTTAATTTAATTCTGACATATGAAGAAGTAGTGAAGAAGAAAATAAAAAATGTAAATGCCCCTTGCTCCACCCTTTTTCCTCTGTACTTTTTTCATTTTCATTTCAATTTTTTTCACTTCTTGCTTTTTCTCAGAAACCATTCTTCATTGTAATTTCCGTATGAGTTAGATCTAGTTTTTTTCTTCTTTTTTCTTTATTTCGTATTCGTTTTTCATTTTGATATATATGAATTTCTAATTTCCTCCAATATGATAAATAATACCAATTCTTCTTTTTTTGCAGTCGTTCGTGCTTTCGGGTAACAAAAAATAAAAACGCACAAAATGCTGTTGTACACTGTTCTCCTAGTTATCGGAACATCGAGCGTTTCAGCTGCTAGATATCGAAGAGCTCTTGATGGGCTTGATGGTAATGGTTTTGGATTTGATAAAAGGTTTGTCTGTCCTCTTTTTTGAGTTGCATTATTTCTCAACAAATACATTTTTCAGAGCTTTGAATTCATTAGATGGAGCAGGATTTGGATTTGAGAAAAGGTAGGAATAAAATCGAATTCTACAAAAATGAGCTCAATTTTTTTCCAGAGCACTCAATTCATTGGACGGAGCCGGCTTCGGATTTGAAAAACGTGCACTTGATGGTCTTGATGGTAACGGTTTTGGTTTCGACAAGAGAGCTTTGAATTCACTTGACGGGGCTGGATTCGGATTTGAGAAACGTGCTCTTGATGGTCTTGATGGAAATGGATTTGGATTCGATAAGAGGTTAGATTGAAGTAAAACAAAAAATAGTTGTTCAAATAAACTTGAGTTTTTCCAGAGCTTTGAACTCTCTTGATGGTGCTGGATTTGGATTTGACAAGAGAGCTTTGAACTCGCTTGACGGAGCCGGTTTCGGATTTGAAAAACGTGCTCTTGATGGTCTTGATGGAAACGGTTTTGGATTCGACAAAAGAGCATTGAATTCTCTTGACGGAGCTGGATTTGGATTTGACAAACGTGCTTTGAACTCGCTTGATGGTGCTGGATTCGGTTTTGACAAACGTGCTCTTGATGGACTTGATGGAAACGGTTTCGGATTTGATAAACGCGCCTTAAATTCTCTTGATGGAGCTGGATTTGGTTTTGATAAGCGAACACTGAAACACACTAACAAGCCACACTCAAAACCATCAAAGAGTTTGAAACAACATTAAGTTATTATCATATGTTTTCCAACCCTTCCCAAACATACCCTCGTTCCCAAGGTTGCCATACAAAATATCGCACTAATTTATTTTTATCACGTATGTTTGCTTGTCTTGTCTTTTACTTGTCTCAAAACTATTTTCTCTCTCTCTTTAATGCAGCTTGAGCGTCAGAATAAAAACATTTTGATTGTGATTAACTTGAATTGAATCGAAAAAACATTAACTAACAAGTTGATGGTGAAACATCGGTGACGTAGATCGAAACACAACAAACTGATTTCTGTTTTATTTTATTCAATTTTAAATTAATTGAAAAAAAACAAATGTTTCGAGTGCATTTTTTAGATGAGGGTGGCTGATTGGTCGACAAGGAAAAAACGGGACTATGAAACACAACACATAAATTTTCGGGGTCTCGTGTTTGTGAGTAATAAATATGTATAATATATTTCATTGATATCATTTTTGAGTCGAGAACTGATGTTCTCTGATCCATGTCTAGAACCGAATTTGGTCAAAAACTTTGAGAATATAGTAAGGCTGTGAATTTCGTAACATTAATTCAAAATGTGATTTGGCACCAATTCTTAGATCAAATATGAAAGTTAATTGAAATCAAGGATTATTTGATTATGGATAAAAGTGTGACACCAAAAAATTATGATTCATTTGGTTTTTGATTTATAACAACTTGGAGAGTGAATGAAAATGAGAAATTAACATGGCCGAAGGGATTTTGAAGAGAAAAGTTATAGAAATTACAGAGACGATAAATATTTTTGAGATAGGGTTCAGTTTACATTTTAACAGAAAAAATTCAATTTTTTTTAATATCGGATCTCAAATATGTCTTCATCAATTAAATAATTATTTTTTATTATTCATATTTTAGTGTGCGCTCTCGGATAATTTATAGAGGTTCAGTTTAAAACCCTTGAAACGTTCAAAATTTGTGAATATCTTGTCAAATAAAATAATACAATTATCATAAATGTTGACCTGACTAGGGAAATGTTCCAACTTTCACTCTAAATTTTCAATTAAAATACTTATTTTTCAGTAATTTTCCAAAATATCAGTTAAGACGTGGCAAAGTTCAAACATTTCAAAAAATCGGGATATCAAGAGCTGAAAACTAGCTTCAGAAATGATTTTCATGCTATTCTGATCGCATAGACTTGCTTAGGAGGGTGGGTTGCAGATTTTGAACTTTTCTGAAACATCTTCCGGATTTTTGAATGAACCTTCTGAACTTATATTATCGAGTCTCCTGATCATATTTGCATGATAATTGTTAGTTTTTAGCTTTTGAAATATTAGGAATTCGAACACCACACATCAATACCATAATTCTTTTGAAATTCGAATTGATGTTTTCAAAAACAGCCATGTAAAGAGACAATTAATTTTTATTCTCTTTTGTATCCAAGGAAACCTTACAGCACTTGTGATTGTTTTTTGTTTAAATTGAACGCAAGGGAATAACATCATTGCATCTTTCCTGCTTCTCAGATTTTAAATACCTAAGCCACGTCGCCGGAAAACTCAAGATGACTTCATGGCCATTACCAGTTGCGATTTGGTTGCGAGCTCGCCAGCGAATCTCTCAATGTGAGTACTTCGCACCTACAACTGGGTGAATTGAGGAGAAGCCGGTACTGGGAATCTGATATCGCCAGGGAATAACATCATAAAAAGTGAACTCGTTCTAAATTTAGCGTTCAAATTTCCAGGGAACGTTATGAAAAAATAAAATAATTTTTAGGAAAAATAGAAAAATTTCACAAATAAAAAAATCACAAAGATACATAAATATCTTTTCGAATCATCTTCACCTCGTTTCTCCCTCTCTGATTTATCGCAAAGCTAAATGATATTGACTTTGTACTGCTGGTTTCAATGTGTCCTCGGTAGTATAGTGGTGAGTATCCGCGTCTGTCACATGCGAGACCCGGGTTCAATTCCCGGCCGGGGAGAAATTTTTTGTATTTTTTTTTGTATTTTTTTATACATTTTCCTTTCACATGTGGTAGGCTGGCAATCCGTCTCAGAATTGTGCCCCATCAGTCAGCAAAATCGACCGTTCACAAATTTTTCAAAAAAAATTTCAATAAACTTACTTACAGGGTGCGTAAAAATTTCCCGGTCAAAGGTTTAGCGCCAGCCCAATTTTTCTTATTTGTTTTATTAGGATATTTCGAAAAGCTGTGCGAAGTTTCAAGTCAATCGATCAATTCTGAGCTGGATTACACATCCTAGAAACTAGTACAAATTTTTCGGTAACAGTCTTTTCGGATGTCATTTTTTTATCATGAAAGGTTTATTCAAGTTATAAATTGATTGGGGTTCATTAGAGACATCCTAGATGCCAAGGACAGAACCTGTTCACCACGACTCACAACCATCTCTGATCTTGAAAATTTCGTCCTTGGCTGGAAACTGTCAGTGGTTTTTGATGTTCTAGGATCCCAAACCAAAAATAAAATTTACATAAACGGAAACCGTGAATTCAAATTGTCACTTTTTTTTTAACAGTGTTAAAAATTATTTGAACTCATCTTTATTTTTTTAACAGTGTTAAAAGTTATTTGAACTGATTTTTATTTTTTTAACAGTGTTAAAAGTTATTTGAACTGATCTTTATTTTTTTAACAGTGTTAAAAATTATTTGAACTCATCTTTATCTTTTAACAGTGTTAAAAATTATTTGAACTCATCTTTATTTTTTTAACAGTGTTAAAAATTATTTGAACTCATCTTTATTTTTTTAACAGTGTTAAAAGTTATTTGAACTGATCTTTATTTTTTTAACAGTGTTAAAAATTATTTGAACTCATCTTTATTTTTTAACAGTGTTAAAAATTATTTGAACTCATCTTTATTTTTTTAACAGTGTTAAAAGTTATTTGAACTGATCTTTATTTTTTTAACAGTGTTAAAAATTATTTGAACTCATCTTTATTTTTTAACAGTGTTAAAAATTATTTGAACTCATCTTTATTTTTTTAACAGTGTTAAAAATTATTTAATTTTTTTTAACAGTGTTAAAAATTATTTAATTTTTTTAACAGTGTTAAAAATTATTTAATTTTTTTAACAGTGTTAAAAATTATTTGATTTTTTTTAACAGTGTTAAAAATTATTTGATTTTTTAACAGTGTTAAAAATTATTTGATTTTTTTAACAGTGTTAAAAATTATTTGATTTTTTTAACAGTGTTAAAAATTATTTGATTTTTTTAACAGTGTTAAAAATTATTTGATTTTTTTAACAGTGTTAAAAATTATTTGATTTTTTTTAACAGTGTTAAAAATTATTTGAACTCATCTTCATTTTTTAACAGTGTTAAAAATAATTTGAACTCATCTTTATTTTTTAACAGTGTTAAAAATTATTTGATTTTTTTTTAACAGTGTTAAAAATTATTTGAACTCATCTTTATTTTTTAACAGTGTTAAAAATTATTTAATTTTTTTAACAGTGTTAAAAATTATTTGATTTTTTTAACAGTGTTAAAAATTATTTAATTTTTTTTAACAGGTTAAAAATTATTTGATTTTTTTTAACAGTGTTAAAAATTATTTGAACTCATCTTTGTTTTTTTAGCAGTGTTAAAATTTTTACTCTCTCCTTGTACCTCGAAGATTTGTTCAAACTGTTCATGGCTATGAAAATACACTTGTGCATATCACATGGTATAACGCATTTCAAAAACACAAAGAAATTGAGACTTGGTGAAAAGCATAAACCATGTTTTTTTTAAATAAGCGGTAATTCCAGCTCTCCTAGTGTATTTTGTCAATTTTATCCGCCAAAATGTTCAAAAAAATGTTTTTCTGATTATTTTTTTTTTAATGTTTGTGAAGTTAGAACTTGGTTCCAAGTTGACGATCAGTGATCCTAATGATTTTATAGAACACCTAACAAATTTGCGCTGAAAAATCCAATTACACATGTTGTTTTCATCCAACCAGACCATTAATCAGTTAGTCTAGAAATCCCTCAATTGTATTTTATAGAAAAATGATATCACATTATCCTAGAGCTTCTTGTTTTTTTTTTTTGAAAAAAAAAGTGTTCCTCGAATACCCAAACAACAAAATGTTTCTACTTTTTGGAAAAAAAGTGTGCAAAAAATTTCCAATTGAATTGCTGATTCGGTTGAATATTCAAAAAGATCAGACAGAAAAATGTTACTCATTTTTTGAACCTTTTTTTCTCAAAGAACCAAACCAAACCAGAAAAAGTATCTCAATTATTTTTTTGTTATTTTTTCAGACGAAAATTTGACATTTCCTTGACAACTCAGATTTGTGTTTTAGGACATCGTTTCTCGTTTCCCTTATTTTTTGAATTCCAGAGATATAAAAAATAGATGATAAATATAAAAACCTACAAAACACCTGTTTTAGTATGAAAAAAGGGAGAAAATCATCTGCTTTTTTATGGTTTCTATACAAAAACATATCATTTTCAAATTTTTCATGAACATTCATCCGGAAAATGACTTTTCTCTTCCTTTTCAGATATAAATAGATGAAATATTATAGCAAAAATAGTGCATCAGAAAATTGAATGTACTTCATATGCCTTTTGTCTTGTTTGGGTTGAGAATCAATATATCTTGCAGATTTTAATTAATTACGAAAAAACCAATGTGGGCTGAAACGTCATATGTTGAACAAACCAACTAACAAAAAAATGTTTTTGTTTGAGAAAAAGCGGAAACAAGTCGTTAAAATATGAAAATTATATATACATATACATTATTCAAAACTCGAACACTTTATTTTCTTCAGTAGAATTATTAATTTGAAAAAAAGTTTCAAAGATGAAAGAATATATTGTACTTGCTGATGAAAACTTAGCGATGCGTATTTCTCGGAAAAAATGAGTTGAAAAATAAAAAAAGTTGTTTTTTTGTTTTTTTTTCTGAAAAAGTTTGGTAAAACTCATTTTTTTCAATCTTCAAAAAACAAGATTAGACTTCCGTTTCAAATTAGAGTATTCCGTTTCAAAACGTTCAAAAGTTTTGTTCAAAAATTCATTTTTTAACCCCGATCAGACAGAAATAGAATACATGCCATATTCAGAAAAATAGCTGCAACAGTGTTTTCTGGCTTTTGAAAATTAACATGTTTAATTCTGTGAAAAATAATTTATTAGAGGAATCACTACCAAAAAGCTATTAAAATTGAACTTGACGTAAATTCACAAGAAAACATTGAATATTGTAATTCAAAAAGGAAATGAAGTTTTAAGGGAATGAAGTTTCAATCGCTAGGAAAAAATTAAGTTTCATATCCAAAGAATCTGGAAAAACAAGAAGAAAATGTCGGAAGCATGTTTTTTATAACATTTATTTTCAAATATATTTAAAAAATTAAGACAATTTCCATATACAAGCAAGTATATCTCAAATATGCTCCATAACTTGTTCATAAAGCTGGAAATCTGAACTTTCAGACTCAGACTATAGACTTTTATTGGCCCAATTTTAGTTAGCTAATTTTGAAGAGTGTCTAGAAAACGGACTTTGATCCAAGGCTCAAAATCTCAAGTTCCAAATTCCAAGTTCAAAATCAATGTTCTCCAAACTCTCCATGAGATTGAATTTCACCGTGCACAAATTTAGTACATATTCCGCTCTAATTCAATCAAAGACCTACATACACCTTAAACTAGATAACTTCCAAAAAATGATTAATACTAACTAATAATCATATTGTTTTCGCTTCGATTCGGTTCATTTTTTTCTTTTTCGACAAAAAATGACTGCTAATCTTCAATAGAATATTAGTCAAACAAAAAGGAACTCTTCATTTCTTTTTTTGGTTGGACAAGACAAGATACAAAAATTGGGTAAACAAACAGAAAAAAAAATTATATCATTTTCATTTATCATTAATATTTTTGGATTGCGCACACATTGAATAAATTATTTGAGATCAGGATGTTAAAGAAGCATGGAAGATGGTTTTGATGGTAATTGAGTCACTAATTAGGCCACTAATTAGTGAGTTATTTGTCCCATTCAAAGTTGGTTGGGATGAATTGTCCGCGTTTGACAAATCTGAAACGTGTTTTTTTTAAGAGTGCTATTCAAAAAAAAAACGATTAATTTACCTGATACTTGGGACACCTCTTGACCATTTCTTCTCCATTCCAAAGAATGGCACTTGGAAGTTGTCTGGCGAATCAGTATCAACAGAAGATCCTGCTCCTGATGATGGTGCTGATTGCACTGAGCTGAAGAGAACCAAAAGAGCCAAAACAATCATCATTATTTGATTCATGTTTTCTTTTTCCGCGTGCCGCTGATTACCTAGAACTTGTTTAATTAAAAAAATCCACAAAGGAAAATATAAAGAAAGAGGTTCAAAAAGAAGTGAAAAAATCAGCAAATGAAGGCCTCTGTCAAGATATCTTTTTTATTCAACATAAAAATGGGCGGAGCAAAAGAGGTTGGGCTCTTTTTTTTCGAGCTCTCTATTTTTCTCTGAAAGAAAAAAAAATGAGACGGAGAATAAAAACCAGGTGATTTCGAAATGTGAAGTGCGTGGTTGAATACCATGGGGGTTACGGTTAATTAATTGTTATTCGAGAAAGTTTCTATATATGGAAACTTATGAGATTTTTTGATATGATAATTTGAATAAGATAAACAAGATTTAGCGGAGCGTGAAAAATGGAAGTTTTTGGACAAGGAAACTACACTGAAAGATCATTGATAAAAATAATCAAATATTGAGAACTAGATTCCGAGTTTGAGAGAATTTTCCAGTTTTAAGCCAAATTTCGTGAGTTAGGCTAACAAAGGATGCTCCTTTAAATTCTGATCAAATTTTCACAAAGACAAAATAGTTGACAATCTTATTGGGAAAATCAAAAAGTAATTAATTAGCTCTTTTATCTCCAGAGCTCAATTAAATCTACAGTACTCCTCCTAAATAATTTTTTTTAGAATAACAATCTTGTTTTTTCTCCCAATTTCATGATACTGTAGCTTCTGGTAAAATGATGTGTGCTTTGCGTGTATTTTCATTATGAAAACAAAAACTTCAACCGAAAAAGTAGTATTGGTTCCGGGTCACTGTTGATACGTCATTCATTCACTAAAAAACAAACTCTAAACTCAATCTTTTGTTTTGTTTGTGTTGTTTCTGATTTCGTAATGACGTCTGAAATCATTCAGTTTATTCCTAATTTGATTTAACTACCTACCTACTTATTGACATTCAAAAGTTGTCAAATTTCGTTAATACGTAATAGGTTTCTATATAACATGAAAACCCAGCTGATTTTCATTATGAACCCACTGACGCATAACATTTCTCGAAAAAACCATCATTAACGTTTTTTTCATAATTAATTAACTAATCATAAGTTTTTTTTTCATATTATAATAAATACCAGACATAATTTTATTATAATGAGATGTGCACCAAAAGTTAGTCATTATTGTTTGCTCTTTAACTATTTTTCAATTAAAAAAGAAAATTGCAATGCTAGAAGAAGGAATAAAATTCAGAAAAGAAGGAAGCGGATTTAATTTTCATTTTCTCCAAAAAAAAGATTTAGTTTGGTTGAAAAGTTAAATACATAGCATTTTTTCTTCTTCAGGGTTTGGTTAGAAACAACAAAATACACGTCAGCAAAAATAAGTTTTGCATCTGTTTTTGAAATTTGAATACATACATACATGTTGTGTATTTTGAACTTTTTTTTTGTTTTATGTAGGTGGTAAACCAATAAATTTTTGATGCATTTTTTCAGGGGTGACGTATTGACCTAGACACTCCCAACAAGTCGAAAAATTAATATTTGAACATTATTATATAAATCCGGAAATCATTAGTTAGTTTAGTGCATGACTAATGATTTGCAAGCAGAAAACAAAACATCATCTGGAAAAAAATCTGTGGAACGAAAACAGCTCAAAGATTGTTTGTATTCATGCATTTTATGGTGAAATCATTTTTTCTCACTAGTTGTCTCTAACACGGAAAAATTGTTCAAGTAGTATTTTTCAATTTGTACTTCGTTTCGAAAAATGTGGGAATTTTTTTTATAAAAAAGTTCTTGGAAAAAAATGAAATATTAAAAAAGAATAATTCAAAACAAGAAAAAATAAATTATACATCATTGAAATCCTGGATTGTCGTGGGATTGTTCAATTCTCATCCAAGGGGCGTCGTTTTCATAGTCTTTTGTGAAATTGAACCCGCGGATTGTCAAAGTTTCCGGAATGATTTCACAAGCAACAAAGCAATAAATAGTCTGCAAAACAACAAAAGTGATTTTGTATTTTTGGGAAAAAAATCTAACTAAAAATAAGACAAGCAAATAACTCACCAAATATACAACAAAAGTGATATATGCAAGAGTGGCTGGTAGAAAAATAATGAGAACATACCACTCGGTTCCCAAGTTTGATGAAACATAATCGTAAATGAAATATACATTGATAGATAGAATAATTGCTGATGCAGAGATTGCAAAAATTTGGAAGGATCTGGAAAACAAAACAAACTTTGCACGTTTTTCACACACCGGATTTTCTGTTTTGATCGGAAAAAACTTTAGCGTCATTTGTATGTGTTGGAAACAAAACAAAAACAATACAGTAGCTTTCAAAACATTCGAACATTTTTTTTCTGAACGGGGGAGGGTTGCAGCAAGATTGATTTTGGAATGAACGAATGAACCAGTTCCTCCAACTAATCATCTCCACTTTCAAACCTGCGTCGGTTTTCTACAAAATCTGATTTTTCTGAACCCAACATTTATTATTTCCATGTTTCTTTGTGACGTGGAAAATAGCATGATGACATTTAAATGAACGTTCTCCCTATCTCAGTTTCAAAACAGGTGAAAAATGCAGAATACGAACATTGGTGACCTTATTTCTATTTTTTTTTTCGAATTTTGAAACAGCTGAAACTCACTTCGAACTCTTAAAATCGTGCATAATTTTTCGGCTCGATGTAAATGTTATAATAGGGATTAGTGCAAATGGCAACTGAATCATTTGAACACAATTCAACAAATCATTCATTCCAGTCAAATTTTGAACTCCTTCTGCATAGAATGTCAGAATCAATGTTGGTGTAATTGCAATCGCTCGGGTCACCAAAACTCGTTTCCATTTTGGCCATTCAATTTTGACAAAACCTTCCATAACAAATTGTCCAGTATATGTTCCAGTCATTGTTGAACTTTGTCCAGCCGCAAATATTCCGATTCCCCATACAAACATTGCAGCTAATCCAAATTGACAACCAAGATATATTCCACCCTAATTAGATTAATATTTCTTGTTTTTTTTCTCAAAAAAAAACATTATTAAAAGATCATACCTTATAAATATCCACTTCAACAGGTTCGGTGTTGTTTGGAAACGCGTGTCGATCAGGAATTCCTGGTTGATCCAAGCACATTTGATACTGAAATGTTTGTTTTGAGATATCAAGTTTTCTTTTGAAAAAAAACTCACGATATCGGCGTTGGTTTTTTGATAAAGACCATGTGCAAAAACAGCAACAACAAACATATTTATGAAAAAGCTGACAATTAGTGCCAAGGCTGATTCAATGGTAAAATATTTGTTGGCCTCGCTAACATCTCGTCGAATCTTACGATCAACTTTGCGACTCTGAAAAAATGATGTTCTGGGAAATTCCTTACTGATAAAATAAGTTTTTTTTTACGAAATAGTTTTATTTGTCTAGACTTTTTCTTGAACAGAATTGAACTTTTGCTGAAAATGTTCACCAAAAAGACAATAACTATATACTCGGCCAAAAAGTGACATAGCTCGGGGCGACTCGCTACAAAATTTTCGAGACTCGTTTTGTAGCGAGTTGTCCCAAACGCGCCTAAAAAGTGGCGAGTGCCGGGCAACTCGCTACAATTTTTGCTCATTTTTTAAATCATGGTTTTTATGCTTTTTTTCGGTATTTCACAGTGATTCATTGATTAAATGGCCCATATAAATGTAGGGTAATAAAGCTTTAAGTAGATCTACTTTTGCTCCATAGATACAATTTTTGAAAAATGCTTCTGGACACCCTCCGAGAGATTGGATCGGAGCGAGATATGGGCAAGTTGCTTCACGCTCGGGCAAGTCGCCTCAAGCTCGCCCAAACAGCCTCGGGCCAGTCGCCCGAAACGTGTAGCGACTCCGCCCCGATTGGTAGCGACCTCGCCGTTTTTTGCCCGAGTAGACTCCGGCGTTCTCGACAGAAAACAAAAAATCAAAACACCATAATCAAATCAAAAATTGAAACCCACCTTAACCAATGCTGAATGCAAATACAAATTATGCGGCATGATAACAGCTCCAACAACCGAAATCGCTTGCATAAATTCAGTTTTGCCGCATCCTGCACACCACGGAACAAACATTCCTGACAATACATCACCAACTGGTGGTTTCACAACCAAAAATTCATATCCGAAACTCAAAGCCATAGTGGAAATAAGGACAGCAAAGATGAATTCAAGTTTTCGAATACCATATCGATCAACAAGCAGGAAAGTGAGTGTGTCAAAAATCGTAATGAACACACCAACATACAATGGAATGCTGGAAAAATTGAAAGGAGTCTGATTAATTTACTTTGAAAATATTGATAAAAACTCACAGTCCCCTGGAGAGCAGGTAAAATGAAATGGCAGTTCCAATAACTTCTTGCATATCTGAGCAAACAATCGCAATTTCAATCATTATCCAAAGAATTAGTCGTGGAACTTTTGGATAAAAGTTAAACGCCACTTCAGCCATATGTTTGCCACTGACAACACCAAGTCTTGCTGACATTCTTTGCAAAACCATACCAATTACATGAGCTGATAAAAGCACCCAAAGAAGTTTATAAGCTGCCAATGCACCAGATTGTAGATCACTCTCAATATTTCCTGGATCCAAATATGCGATACTCATGAGGAAACCGGGTCCTGTGAACGCCCATAGCTTTTTCCAAGAGAAGGCTTTTTCCTGGAAAAATTTGTGATTTTGTTGGTTTAATCATAATCGAATTATTTAAAAATGTTTGTCGTGTTTTTATTGTATGGAAAAGTTTGGATGGAATGTTTTCAGAATCAATAATTATGTTTATCAAAATAACATTTCGAAAATACAGTAATAGACACCAAAATTCTGATTCCGAATTTTGATAAAATGAATTCAAAATTCTTAACTTCGAACTCTATAACCCAAAATTCAATGAATAAACATTGAACACCCTTATCAGTTTCATTCACTAGCTGTGTTGAATTTCAAAATGTTACCAATAGTTTTTTTTTCCAAAAAACTAAACATAACTTTTTAAAAACTCACAATTTCCTCATACGGAATATCAACAAGTTCAGCTGCACTTTCTTCCCGATCCAGTAGATTATCCTCTGTTTGACCTCTTTGCAACGCTGGTCGGGAATCCTCCCCGACCGGCATTTTTGGTTCTGAAACAACAACATGATTATTTTCATTGAAAAAAATAGTTTCTTAAATCGAAAGATTCTGAAAAAACACTAGCGAGCAAAGGAAGAAAACTCACCATTCATGATTGCGAAGCAAAAACAAAATAAAGAATAAGAAGCGACAAAACATTGTCTCGCCGGGAGAGAAAAAGAGGCGGAGATGTTTTTGTTTTTTTTCGAAAAAAGTGCAAAAAAGATACCTAGCTTTGCAAAGTTTCAATTTTGTGTAGGGAGAAATGTAAATATACTATTTTCGAAAATTGAAACAGAAAACAAGTAACGTAACAAAAAAAAACATTTCTGATTTACTAGGTCTTCCCAGGTTTCACAATAATGGAAAATTTTCAATTTAAAAAATTAAAGTAATCCAAACTTTTTCTTCGGGCTCCTTCAATATTCAAAAAAATGTATTTCCCTCTCTCAATTTTTCAATGAACTTATTAGGGACATAACTAGATTTGCATATTTCAAATTTTGATAGAAAGAATTGTGGTATTTTGAAAATTTGAAACAGTGAAAAACTACAGAATCAAAATTTGATAACAATTATTTTCCCAGAAAATGTTATTAAATCGATAAGAAATGGTTCAATAAAACAATCTACGTTTACAAAAATATTATTCTCATAGCATGATAGAAAACAGTTAAAGCAAAAAAATCATGAAAATCGATAAGCTATTTATTTATTCGACATACGAAAAATAGTAAACAGAAAGGAGACAGAAGAGACAATAAGAAAACTTTTCCCCTTTACATAAGGGGTGAACAGAAAAACACGAAAAAACATATGGCAAGAAATCTACAATAAAAAATGCTACTAGAATATACATTCTCCAATTTAAAAAAATATACTAACATAGAATCTCATTTAATTTTTATTTGGCAAATAGCCAAAGTTTTGTCGGATTTGTTCGAAGAAGATGAATGTCAAAACAGTGTGTGGTGCAAGACGAGCCCAAGCTGGAATGAATCCTTTAAAGAATCCCATTGGTCCGAGCTTGGCAGTGTAAAGGAAACAATCAGCGATTCCTTTGAATTCTCCTGGAGCTGCGTTCATCATACGAGTTTTCATTACATCCAATGGTTGAGTCATAACTGTGGCGACACTAGCCTGGAATTTTTGAAAGTCATTTTTATTTGTAATTTTTTATATGTTTTTGTTTTTGATAGTGAAAAATATACTTTTTGTTAACAAAAAATGTCTCACTAATGTGTTTTGAACCAATTTTTTCATTCAGTCATTCCGAAAAAACTCACCGCTGAGATTGAGCTAGCAAAATGAGTTGTCAAATTATCTTCAGCTACTCCCGAAGTGATCAAAGTTTGTTTGATTTGATCATAAAATGAGAGTTGTCCAATAGTCATCAAAATAGCACGAGAAGTTGCCATTGTTGCTCCGTTGAACATTTTCATAAATCCTTCTTCTCTAGTGATTCTAACCAGTCCGTCAATGGCATGTTTGTAGTTTCTACGTTCAGCTGGTGGGAGTTTTGAGTCGTTTTGCATACGAACATTTACCAAATCTCCTGGTGTTCCGACAATTCCACCACAAGCACCAGCAAATGCGGCGAGAAGAGCTTTTTGGTAGAATGGAAGTGGTTGATCTTAAAAATGTGAGGACGTTGAATTTTTTTTTATTTCAAGGTGAAAAGTTTAGTTTTTCGTGAAATTTTAGGTTCCAGAAATGCTCTGAACTATTTTGAATATCTATAGATTCTTCACAAGAATATTTATTTTTAAAAAACCCACCCGATGGCAATTGTTTCTTCACAGTCTCATAAATTCCAAAACGTGTGGTCGAATAAGTCAATTGTCTCAAAACCGAAGCTGAAACACCATTGTAAAATGCAAGGAATCCATCATTTTTGTAAATTTTGAGCGAAAGCGATGCAATCGACATTTTTCCCGATTGTTGTGTTTGAAGTTGAACCTGGAGATATATATTAGGGATAAATTTGAATTTTTATTCTTATTTGTCAAAAAAACATACCTTCAACAAATCTAATGGATGAGTACAACAAGCGGCTGCTGCTCCAGCTAATCCTCCAAAATACCATCTACCAATTCTATTCTTCTTATCGTCTGTCATGTTTTTAAGCCTGTTTCAAAAAACTATGAAGTTTTGTTGGTCAAAAAATAAAATGATAAAAATATGACCTTGGTTTTGAAATAACCAATAAATTTAAAAAAAACATACATAAAAATTATGAATCATTTTCATTTAAAAAATCAATAAGTTAGAATAAATTAAAGCAGTTATGAAGAGAAATGAGTATCTGTAATCTAAAAAAAACACCCAATTATTGTTCGTTGTGAGATTATTTAAATCGATTCATGGCATGAATGAAAAACACTCCAAACAAGATTGAATGAACAAAATGTGTTTGATCGTGTTGAGATGCTTTGCGATGGAATTTTTTGAAACCCTTTCCAAAATCACCGTTCACATATTTCTCCTTAGTTTTTTCTTTGACAAGATTTCCTGATTCTTGCAAAAATTTGATGATTGCTGGATTGCCTTTGTTAAATACTGGCATGTATTCTTCTTGTACGTTTCTTTTCCAGAAATTTCTGAAAAAATTAAAGTTGAGATGGTGGTGAGGTAAAACAAATGTTTTCATTCACAAACCCTATCAGGTTTCAGATGTACTGGCCGAGACTTTGGCTATTTCAACCAGAAAGATCCCTTCTTAACAAAAAAAAACTCACTTCTCGCCCAATTTCTCATAATGATACATATACAATGAAGCTTTAACAAAATTCATCGGCTCAGATTTGTTGGTGAATGGATAATCCTCAATAAGCCGTACAACTTCAGTAGTATTTTCCATCAAATGATGAACAAGTGATAAGAAAAATGGATTTTGTTGATAAGTTCCTTGTGCAGCAACCCACATTTGATTATCGATTCGTGGAATATGTGGAGCTACAGTTCTTGGGGCTTTTGAAACTGGACCAGGTTTTGCGTGAAACTTAATTTCCTTCCATGGTCCATCAACATTTGTTGATCCTTCAATTACAATTTCTGGTCTTCCTGGTGAACCAAAGCTTGAAAAGATTTGATTATATGATCCAGCCATTCCATATTGCTTGAACGTTTTATGATATGCCAATAATGGTTTTTGTTTCAAGACATCGCCAAAAGTTTTCTTATCGAGTTGCAAAATCGAAATTGTTCCATAAGCCGAGATTATTCCAACAAAAGTGACAACAGCGAATAAATGAACAATATTACGGAACAAATTTCGACTTGACATAATTTTGAAAATAACCATAATTCCAATTGGAATGAAGACAAGTGTAGCTCCCATGATTACAAATTTCACAGATTCACTGGTAAATCCTGGCACACTTCCAAATTTTTGGGCTGAAATGGAGGCATGTTATGATATAGAAAAAGTTCGAAAAGGTTCTTACATAAAATTATCTCGCTTTGATCATTAATTCCACTGATTGTCCATGGTAATTTTGCTTGAATATAGAAACCCATTATTGCTGTTACAGAAACAGTAGCGAGAAATTCGACGTTACTTGGGAATCTTGGGAAGTTTAGAGATGCCAAGAAAACAACAAGAATGTTTAGGTAGAAGGTTCCAAAGTTTCCAGTTGCAAAGTTGAAAAATTGAACAACGATCTGTAAAGCGAGATAAGTTTTGTGAGTTTTTAGAATCAGAAAACTATCGGGGTTTGATTATCTTCTCAAAATTTGAAAAAGGTTGAAATGCTATGTTTTTGATAATATTGAAATTTTTTCATGAAATTTAATGTGCTCTCCTCAAAACTAAGTCATGAACTTTGATCTGATATGATAAGTTTTTGATCAATCCAATTCGGAGATTTAAATTGCATCACTTTGACGTAGTTGCCCAATTTCTTGTTGACTATTTCGTTTTGAGACTATTCTGATAAACCTCTCTCAAATGTTTTTTTCTTGAAAAATTCACTTACCAAAAGTCCAAAAACCAAATGTCTGAATTTTCTAACCGGGAACAATACAAAAATCGGGATGACCAATTCCGCAAAATTCAAAAAGATTTGAAGATATTGTTTAACATTTCTCGGTGCAAAATGGACATCTCTCGAAAGACTTGTAGGCAATGGGATTAACTCAAAATATTGATCGAATGCTATAAAAATAGGATTCATTTAAATTATTATCCTTGAAAAAATGTTCTCTTACCTGCAAATTTGAACCAAGTATCATTTTTGATCTTTGCAATGCCAATTGATAAAACTGTTCTGATTCCGAAGCAAAGAATTGCGAATAATGAGATCTAGATAAAAAAATATTTTAAAAAATTAGTTGAACTTCTTGTAACTCACAATATCAGTAGGTCCATCACCAAACCAAGCTAAAAATGTGACATAACCTGTAGATTCTAAAAGAAACGCATCAGCATCGGTGAAAAAGAAAACATCTCCAGCCTAAAAAAAACTTTGATAAGAAAAATGAAAAATAAAACTGATAATAAAAAACCATACATCTTGAATTGTTCTCAACAACACAAAAAGAACAACAAAACTGATGGCATTTCTCAATCGTTTGACCAAAATCACACCAATCGATAAAATAATACCAATAAAAGCGGCAAGTTGTAATGATACAGATGGCGATAATTTAAGAAAACTTGAGAAAATATGAAGAACTGGCAGACGGCAATGAAACACGTTTGCGTCATCTGAAAAAAAACATTCTTTATAGGACACAAAATTTTGTGAAAATGATTTTATTGAACTCAGAAAGCGAAAATATTTGGGAGAGATAGAAAGTTGCAATTTGCACGTTCTCTTGTTTTCGCATACTATTTCGGTAAAGTGATCTTAGATGCGGATAAAAATAACTGTTTTTTTTCTTGTTTCAATGATGCAACGTACCACAGTCTAATTTCGTTGCCACCGGAACCAGACCTCGCTCTCCAAATAAACCTGAAAATATTTATTGTTGAATTCTCAACCTTCATATCAATTTGTTGTTAAAACTCACCATGAACTTGCCAATAAGTTGAGGAAAATGAAGCTAGAAGCAAAAAAGCTTGTCCCACGATAACATGCTTTTTCAATTCCGTTAACCGCATCTAGAAAAAGCACAAAAAATAGAAATATGTGCGAAAGAGCAAAAAAAAAGATGCACAAACAAAAATCTCACAGGGATGCTTTCGAGGAAGAGAGAAAATGCGCCCTATCGTATCTCTTTTTCTCGGGAATCTCTTATTTTCCCTTTATATTTTCTTTGTTTTCTTATAGCCTCCAAAGAACAGCAAAAAAGTAGAAAAAACATTTTATTTTGATAAAAAAGAGGAGAATGAGAATAAAAATCAATAAAGATGCACAAATGTATTGTTTGGTTAACCTATCTTTGGGACCCATACATATATAAACCAAATAAATAACAAAAGACTTTTTCAAACAAACATTTCCGCCATTATTGGTAAGATTAAGGCTCCATTATTTGAGCCTTTACCAGCAACCGGGTTACCTTCATTATCATAATAGGAATAAAGGGATTTTTGGGATTTAAAGTTTCGAGCGACATGAGAAATTATATTGTTTTTGAGGATTGAGAAAAGTACGTGGGCTTTGTGTTGATTGGGACCAGATTTATTGGAGTATTTTTGAAGTGAACCAAGAAGAAGATAGTTTGCAGCAATTGATGAACCGGAGGTGGAGCTTTCTTGAATTCCCATTTTTGTATAGAACTGCAAAAAAATGAGATTTAGGATACAAATCTGAACTATACGATTAAAAAAAGTACACCTGTCTGGGGTTTTTTTTAACTAGTGTGTGTTAGGCAAAAAATATCGGTCCCTGAGAATGTCATAAGCAAATTTAGTTAAGTTTTTCAGAATAAATTTTTCATTTATGTCGGAAAGTTAGAAATTTTCTTTAGTTAGTAATTTTTACAAGATTTAAAAACATCAATATTCAAAAAAAAAAACTATTTTCTCACCTCGCTATTTTCAATACTATTGATCAAAGTCGCGAGTTCTGTCGAATCAGCTTCAAGAACACCCAAAATCAATGGTGCAAACGGCGAAGTCGACTTCACCAATTTCTTTTGCTGCAAATCTCCAAACTCTGATTTTTCAGAATTCCAAAACTGCGCTCGTTCTTTTCTCAAATGCTCTACTTGTTTTTCATACAAATCAAACGATCTTCCAGCAAGTTTTGCAAGATCCACCATAGTTTCCATCATATCTTCTAATAAACAATTGAGTTCGAGAGATTGAGATTTTGTTCCAGTTTTAGATTTCAATCCAAAAATATCGCTTGATGTTCCAATCCAATAAAAATGTGTGGAATGTTTATAAGTCTCTTCAGCTATGAATTCAAGTTTTGGATACAGTTTGATGAGAAGATTTTTGTAAGCTGGATTTTTGACGAGAACTTTTATGAGTTGGAATAGAAGTGGTTGTTGAATTTTATCAACATGGTAAGCTTCATCTTTCACATAGTTTGCTAATTCTTGAAGCTCATTGATTGTATTAAGCCAAGATTCGAGAGCCTGAAACGTTTTGGTTAAAATTTGATAGAAATTATGAATTACTCACCAATTCAACTCCTTTAACATCAAAACTAGAGGCAACGATCAGACTAAAAATTTGAGAATCAATAGCATTGTGGCCATTTTGAAGATAAGTGACCAAGTCATTTTCACTGTTGAAAAATCCATTTTCATGTCCAACAAGGTTTGTTGTGTTATGATAAGTTATAGATTTTATAACTTCTAACAATGCGCTTCTTCCCATTTCTTGATAGAATGTTGGCAATTGTTTTTCTTTCAATTTGTAGATTTTTTCAAATTCTTCATGATACTTTTCCAATGCCTCATTATGCAATTTGTTCGATTCTTCATAATTTCCAGATAGCTAAAAAAGAAGAATTGAAGAATGACTGAATGAATGAAAGCAGAATGACTGAATAAATTACAATAAAAATAAAATAAAGCGTACTTGATGCTGTGTAAAAATAGTGATATCCTCTTGAGTTCCATCCACCACTGTTATCGATTCTACTTGTGAAGAGTTTTGTGTTGTGATAAGAATTTCATGTTTAGAATTTTGTCGATGTTGATTGAATCCTGCAGCATCGAAGATTAGTGTTAACTGTTCAGCTTGTACCAAATAACGAATTGTGACGATTAGATTATTATCTGAAAATTTTGATGTTTTTATCGAAGAAATATCAATTCAGAGAATGAATTAAAACAATCTAGAGTACAATCTTAAATGATTTTCTCATGAATAAAAAACTAACATTGATACTGCAATTTTCCAACATTTGTTCCATCACCATCTTGAAATTGTAAAAAATCGAAATCCTTCAAAATTTGTTTTTCCGTATTTTCCACCTGCAATCTTGCTGCAAGACTTCTATTCGAGGCATAAAGAAATTCAATTATTCCATCAGGTGTCGAAAAAACACGAATACCATTTCCATAATCCAATTCGGTTACATTAACAAATGTTCTCTCTTTAGTTGGAATAATAACAAATCTACTATAGATTTCTTGAATTATCAAACCAGCAATAACTACAGCAATGGCACCTGAAATTCGGGAGTTTTGCGATAGAAACTTCCTTATACTGTTAAAAAAAGTGTTACCTCCAATACCAATAATTGTTTGGAATTGACGATTCGATTCTTTTTGTTGTTCTGCTGCTTTCACCGGCTCAACCTTCTTCTCTGGAGCTTTCTCATCTTTCTTGGCTGGCTTGGCTTCACCCATCTCTGAAAAAGTAAATAAATACAAAAACAAAAACAAATTTGAATAAATCAATAAATACGTGCATCTGGTGGTATAAAATGAGTAAGAACACTGAATGGCCCAGATGTACTTTACACAACTGGCGTCTTGCAGAAAAAAAAACGAGCAGAAAAAATGACCAGACCTCTCTCTCCATAGTGCACTGATATTTTGTTGCGTTTTACACATCTTCATGGCTTTTGCACATCATCAACAAAACTGTTTATTTGATCAAGAAGAGATGAATTGGAAAAAAACAATTGTGGATATGGTGAAAAAATGAACGGGGGGAGCGGGCGTTATCCCAAAACTGCAACAAACATCAAGAGTAAGAAGGCTTATTGTTAAGGAACAATATATTGAAAATACTTTAAGTTTTTACCGGAATATGGAATAAAAAATCAAAAAAAAAAAACACAAATTCAAACCACGCGGGTTGTTGTCAACTCGGAGTCTCGTTTTTTATTATTATTTTTTGCAATTTTTTTTGGAAAATAACAATTTGCATGAAAAACTATCCCTTTTTGTTGGAAAATAATGCGATCTGAAGAAAAAATTTTGAGCTCGTCTATGGAACAATATTTTTTGTAAAAATAAAAATATTCATTGTTACAACCCAAAAATCTTCATTCAACATTTGTTTTTTAACATTATTTGGATCCATAAACTGATTGATATCCGAATGGTTCATCAAAACTCATATAATCATTTCTTCTGTGTTGATGTCTATTGTAATTACGGCGATAGTTGTATGGTTGAACCATTGATCCAAAACCATGCGGTCCTGGGCCAAATGGACTTGGTTGTAATGGATATCGACCGTTACCGAAGTATGGGCGAATAAAACCTGCACTGATTACAGCAACTAAAACATATGAGATGATGAGCAATTTCATTGTTGATTATTTATATTTCTAGAAAGAACATGGTTTATATAGACTTCCTATTTGAAACGTCACAAAACAAAAAGTGAATCACATGAAAATTATATGATTTTTTAAATTCAAACAAAACGTTTATTCAATGATAACAAAGTTGATTTTTTGAATATTGGAACAATTAAGAAAATGATTCAACTATGAAAAAGTATATCAATGTGAATTACCAAAAATTTGCTGTTCGGAGCCATGAAAAATATAAAATATGGACTGAAAAACAAATGGCGTTCTTGAAGGAAAATATTTATTTTTATCTCCCTGGAGAATATTCGAATGGAAGGTCGATTTATGTTATTGGAATCGGAGAATTTGAATTGTAAATTTGAGTTTTTTGAGCTGTATAGTGGATTTCTGAAAAAAAATAGATCATGGTTAAGAATAATGGTAAAATCACAACAGACTTTGGCAAGTTTTCAAAGCATAACACAACACACACATCGCGTATAATATGAACCTGAAAAGCCAAGGTCTAGCACGCCTTATTGTGGTTTGTTTCTTATTTTAAAGCTGAAACTGGCCAAATTTCTTGTTGGATCCTGAAAATTGGGAAACTATCATTTTTTTTGTGCCACTTTTTACAAAATCCAATAAATGGTTCCAATAATCATGTTCATTCTTTATTTTCTGTGGATTTTAGATCCAACTATTATTATTATTCAAGTTTACATATGATCTTACTATATAAAAAATGCGAATTCAAGTTCAACGGTGAACATGGAAATTGCTCCACTTATAGTTCAAAAACAAAATATTCCAGAATTTCTAAAGAAACCTTTGATGTTGCGAAATCGTTGTTTTCAATTATTCGTTCCTTTTGTTGCTTTTCATTTCGCAAAAAATGGATTCATTCTTGAAGTTACTACTGAATCTATAAAATGATTTTCATTGTTCAATTCTATTTTTGATCATAATTTTCCATGGGGTTCTATTTCCAACAGCAGCGCAAACAACAATTGTTTTTTACAGCCAGAATATTGAAATCTCTTATTTTATACATATTTCTTCACATATACATATGCATATTTGAATACCAATTCACACTTATTTGCAAATAATTCACCATTCTTTATTCATTGTCTTTCCTTTTCACCTTCCTATTTATTTTTTTTTCTTCACCCTGTCAACCTGCAATGCGCAAAGAATACCGAATACTGACGCGTTACTTGCAACCTCTTCCCGCTTGTTTGTTTTTGTTGTTGTTCACTCACTCATTTTTTTTCTTCTTGACTTCACTTTTTTCACTTGTTTCTCGAAAAATATTATGAAAGTGTTTTATATCCGGTTTTATATCTTTCTAGAAACAAAAAAAGCTTTTCTTTTTATTATGAAATCTTTTTCGGAGTTGTCAAAAAAAAAAAACTATTATCTTTTGTTTGGTTTATTGTTGACTCATCTTCGATGATTTCTTTATTTGGAAATAGAAATAGCAATCTTTTTTGAAAAATGTTTCCTTCTTTTTCTGATTCATAATTTCATTTCTTTTAATTTTTCCTTGAAAAGTTTCGAAATTTAAAAGTTCAATGAACATGTTTTGTTTGTGTGGGATTGGGATTAGGTCTAACTTTACATCCAGCTAGTCAGTCGACCAAATAATGAGAAAAATAGTGAGGATGAGGTTAGAGACGCAGAGAACGTCCCTGGCAGGAATGATGATTGGAGGGGGAGGATGGCGGCAAAAAAAACCCGAAGCATCAACAATTTATTGACCGTCTCTTGTTTTGGGTGTAGTTTTTTTCTTGCTTACTTACTATTTCTTTATTGGTTTTTTCATGATTACTGACTTTTCTTCTGAATTTTATTTTAAAAATTGTTCGATTTTTCAGTATGGCCGAATATCAACACGTTTCCACTTTCCCATCATTGCCAAAAACCAATCGAGGACTTCCATTGGTGATTAGTTCAACACCTTCTGGAGATAAGATTGTTTATTGTAATGGAAATTCTGTTTATATTGTGCCATCTGATGTAAGTTTTTTTGAATTTGATTTAGAAATGAAAAAGAAATCAAAATTAAATTTTGAAATGCTACGCTTAAAAATCTGAAATATGACAATCATGATAACTAGAAAACATAACCATTCATTTTGATTTAAAAAAAATTATCCTAGAAATCAAACAAACTTCCACGCATCAGAAAAAGCATGAAATTTGAAAAGAACTCTTATATTTTCCAGAATCTAACCGGTACCGACATCTACACCGAGCATCCAGTTGCAACAACCGTCGCCAAATACAGTCCAAGTGGATTCTATTGTGCATCCGGTGATCAAAACGGCAACATTCGAATCTGGGATACCACTCAAACAACACATATTCTCAAAGCAACTTATCCAATTTTCTCGGGACCAGTTCGAGATATCGCTTGGAATGATGATAGTAAACGATTGGCTGTGGTTGGTGAAGGCAAAGAACGATTTGGTCATGTTTTCTTGTTCGATACTGGTACCTCAAACGGTAATTTGTCTGGACAATCGCGTGCGATGAGCAGTGTCGACTTCAAGCCAACTCGTCCATATCGAATCATTTCTGGCTCCGAAGATAACACTGTTGCTCTTTTCGAAGGACCACCATTCAAGTTCAAAACTGTGAGTTTCCTTCACTAAAATTTTTTTTCAAACTGGAAGACTGTAATTTTTTCCAGACTTTCCACGAACATTCTCGTTTCGTCAACGTCACTCGCTACAATAATGATGGATCATTGTTTGCTAGTGCTGGAGCTGATGGAAAAGTTGTGCTATTCGAGGGTACTGAAGGAACAAAAGTTGGAGAGTTGGCTGATGACGCTGCCAAAGGTGCTGCTCACGGTGGAAGTGTTTTCGGACTCTCCTGGTCACCAGACGGCTCAAAAATTGCTACAGCTTCCGGTGACAAGACTGTCAAAATCTGGAATGCTGCGGATCGTAGTCTTTTGAAGTAAGCATTTTTGAATTGGGGGTAGGGTTACATTTTTCAAGCATATGAATATTTCTGAATCCGGGTTTTTTTTTCTGAATTTCAATGCCAATCGATTAAAATCTAGCAGATTGGGTTTTCTTGATTTTTTTCTACTATAATTTTTCAAATATTATTTTAAAACAATTTCTGTTTTTCAGAACTATCACATTTGGAACTGCTATTGAGGACCAACAAGTCAGTGTTCAATGGTCAAAACAAGCGCTCGTTTCAGTTTCACTTTCTGGATTCGTCAACTTCTTGAACGTTGAACTCGGAACTGTTGAAACCATCAGACAAGGGCATAACAAACCAATTGTCGCACTTGCTCTTAGTCAAGACAAGCAACACATTTTCACTTCTGATTTCGAGGGTCATACAACAAGATGGGAATTGGCAACTGGAAAATCGCAACGCGTCAAACCAACACTTCACAAATCACAAATTGTTGGACTTGCACACGCTTCTAATGGAAATTTGTATAGTGTTGGATGGGATGATACTATCAATGTAGCAACAATTGGAGCAGATGGTGTTGGTGAGTATTTTTTGAAAATAGATATGGAAATAGATTTTCAAAAAAACAAGTTTTTTTCAGAATCTGCAAAAGTGAACCCAACCAAGCTTCCATCTCAACCACTTGGTTTAGCTGCTGCCAAAGATGGTTCAGTCGCAGTTGTTGCTTGTTATCAACACATTGCTGTTCAATCTGGCGGAAATATTAGTGTAACTGGAATTCCATACCACGGTGCTGCGATTGCTCTCTCCCCAGATAATACAATTGTGGCTGTTGGTGGACAAGATTCAAAAGTTCATATCTATAAACTTTCTGGATCACAATTATCAGCTGAAATCAAAACATTGAACCACTCTGGAGCTATAACTGCACTTTCCTTTTCACCGAATGGCGAATATCTTGCAGTCACTGATAGTGCAAGAAAAGTTGTTCCATATTCAGTGGCAAAAGATTATGTGTCAGCATCGGATAAGGAATGGACATTCCATACAGCAAAAGTGAATTGTGTTTCTTGGTCTCCAAATGGAAAACGTTTGGCAACTGGAAGTTTGGACACTTCAATTATTGTTTGGAATTTGGAGAAAAGCGGTGAACATCCAATTATTATCAAAGGAGCTCATGCAATGTCACCAGTTAATGGTGTTGTTTGGATCAACGATACAACTATTATTTCTGCTGGACAGGATGCAAATATTAAACATTGGAATGTTCCTCTCTAAATTTCTCATTAATCTTCTGCCTATTTTTGTATAATCATATTTATTAGAAGCTTTACCATTTTATTTTTGTGTCAAATTTGATTTATTTTTCCGTTTCTTCCTAAATTGTATTTTTTGTAAAGCCTTAACCTTATTCAAATGTATGCGTGGTAAATAAATGAATCTGATATCTCCGAAAAATGTGAAAAATATCGAATTTCGAAAAAAAGTGTCTTGGGAATAATAAATCAATGTGGTTTTTTCTTCAGAAAAAAAAATTGTTGACTCATGGAAAAATTGAAATTTCTACTTTCAAAACATTATCTTGTTTTGATTGATTTCCCATTAATTTGATAACATTTGGCAACGTTTGATCTGTGAAAAACGAAATATTTATTTCGTTCCATTTTGCAAGTTTTCATTTCACTCTCTGATCCTTATAAAAGAAAATTGATAATAAAAGTAATTCACACCATGTTTTTCTTTATCATTTTTATGTACTATCATTTTTGTGTTGATAGAACAACCTGTATTCGTTACCTTATTAGTTATTATTTGAGAGAAATTGTCACGCGTTATTTTTGCAGGTGTCAAAAAGTTATGCAACTTTTAAAATTCACCGCGGAACTTTCTTTAACTTGCAAGGAGGATTGCGAAAAATTAACTCTAGAAATTCTCAAAATTTTGAGACCAAATTGGAGCAGTGAAAATGTGAAGTTTCAATATTTTTCAGTTGGAATTACTAACAAAATTTTTGCTACTCAACATTTGGAAGAAAGTGTGATTTTCAGAGTTTTCGGGAAAAATACCGGAAAAATTATTGACAGGTAACAATTTTATTTTTTTTCAATTTTTTTCCACGTTTTGTATTTCTAGAGATAACGAAATTGTTGCCTGGAGAAAGTTAGCCCAACATGGTTTGGCTGCTCCGCTTTATGCTCAATTCGCAAATGGAATTGTTTGTGGATTTTTAGAGGGAGAAAGTTTGAAAATTGAACAAATGAGACAACAATCTTATCAAAGGTTAGTTTTTTATTGCTTTGAAAAATACACGTTGTGATATGGTGTGATATATTTCTTATTTTTTGGATTCCAGAATTTGAGAAAAAAATCACAAATAAACTTCCCCAACTTTAATATTTACATATTGATAAAAATATAAATAATTTCAGTAAAATTGCACGTGCCATCTCTCATCTTCATACAACAATTCCATCGGACTCTGAACCTTGTTTATTCGACAAAATCCGTCATTTTAACAATGCTTTCATCCCAAAATATGACGACACTAAAAAGCAACAAATATACAGTAAACACTTTCCAGAAAATTTGGAATTAGAAATTCAAAAATTGGAAAAGCTAATTTTGGAATCTGATGAAATTGTTGCATTCTGTCACAACGACATTCTTGTTCATAATATTGTTTATGATCCGAAAAATGATTCGATCAATTTCATAGATTATGAATATGCATCAACTAATTATGCACTTTTCGATATTGCTAATCATTTTTGCGAATACGCAGGTAGATCAAATTTTTCTCAAAATTTTGATTCATGAAAATCAAATGGCCTTTTTTCAGGAGTAGAAGATATCCCAGACTACAGTCAATGTTTGAAAAAATCTCAAAAAATTGAGTTCCTTGAAGCTTATCTTGGAGATAAGAAAACCCCAGAACGTTTGGATCAAATAATGCAAAGAATTCCACTTTTTGAAGCTGTAAGTAATATATTTTTCAAACCAAAATTATCTTTCAAATAAATACAGGCTTCTCATCTTTTCTGGTCAATTTGGGCATTGGTTCAATCACAAAATTCGGTCATTGAGTTTGATTATTTGACGTAAGTTTTTCTCATTGATATATTTTTGGATGAAAAAAGAAAAAAAATAATTCAGCTATGGAGCATCAAGATATGAGCAATACATCAAACGTCTTTCTAAATATTCTGCCTGAATTTGCTTTTCATTTTGTGACGTGTTATTATTATGTGCTATGGGTACATTTTTGTATGAATAAAGTTGTGTTTTTCTGATTATGATTCCGAATATGAGATATAAATGCTATTTTGCAGAATTTCAAAAATCGTCTTTATTTTTCACAAACAAAATAATATCGTAGGTATAAATATTTTTCGATCGTGAACGCGAGAATTTTGAAAAATAGGAACAATGTGCTTTTTCATTTTCCCATCGTTCAGAATGAGAAACAATGAAATAGCGCAATGAAAAATAAATTGTGAGAAAAGGGAATGAAAATAAGACAATTAATTTTTGAAAGTTTGAATCGGGATAATGAAGATCAGTCAATATTACTGGGATATGCGTAAAACAAATTTGAAAAATAAATTAGGATTAAAAACAAAAGAACAGGTGAAACAAACAGGCTGAAAACTAGGAACAAATCATGAATAATGAAAACTTGCACATAAGAAAGAAACAGAAAAAACGGAGAGAACAAACAGCTGGAACAGGTGGAAATTATCTATTAAAAAAACTACAATTCAGTCAAAAGTTAGTGAATTCCGTACATAACAATAGTAACAAAAATTAGCATTTAAAAATGGATAGGACAAGTCAAGATTTCGAATGAAAAAAACATTAAATTCAGTAATGGATGATTGAAATTTCAACGAAAGAAACAAGAAGAAACAAAAAATTAGAAAGAAGTACTTTCAAAACACATTTCTCAATAATAACAGATCACAATCACAGGAAAATTAACAGAATTGCACATAAAATAATAAATATTAAAAATAATTAGAGATAGAAAAACAATTGAAATCGATCACAAATTGTGTGACTCACAATAAAAACAACGAAAATTATTGATAAGAAGGTAAAAACGATTTTAGAGATAGTAAAAACAATTTCAGAGCTAGAAAAGAGTTATATATGCCTGAAAATATTTTCAGAGATATGTATCGAAAAGAATTTAGAGATAGTAAGAAAGTTAATAGAGAGATAGAAAAAAGGTTGTATCAGCCTGAAACATGAAACAAAAGTTGATAGTCGAATCGAAGTAGATTCTGTGGTTTCAAAACGAGGTAGTTATTTCGATCTATAATCGCGTTTCTTGAGTGAAACTGAAATACAATTCGGAAATAATTCATCATAGTCAAGTGCGGTTCTCTGGAAAAAAATTAGAAATTTATGTTATGAAAACCGCAAAGCATACGGAAAATTCTTGTTGAACTAATTCGGGCGCAGAAGGATCTTCGTGAATTGTTTCAGAAGTGGAAGGATCTTCTTGAACTAGTGCTGAAGTGTGAGAAGTTTCTGAAGGAGCAGAAGGATAATCCTGTTCTCCGAGTGAAATTGAGAGAGAGTTCGGGAAGAGTTGATCATCAGGAGCAATTCCCTGCAAAAAAAAGTTATGGATATCATCAAAATAAAAAAAACATACAGAAACTTCACACTCTATTGGAGCAAGCGCTGGAATATCTGTTTCAACTGATACAAGATCTTGAACTGTTTCAGACGCAAGATTATCTTCTTGACCTTGTTCAGGAGCAAGAGAATCTTCTTGCATTGATGCAGGCGGATAATCCTGTTCTCTGATTAAGAGAGAGTTCGGGAAGAGTTCATCATTTTCAGAAGCAATCTCCTGCAAAAAATGTAATAGGTATCATCAAAATCAAAAAAACATACAGAAACTTCACAGTCTATTGGAGCAAGCGCTGGAATATCTGCTTCAACTGATACAAGATCTTGAACTGTTTCAGACGCAAGATTATCTTCTTGAACTTGTTCAGGAGCAAGAGAACGTTTTTGCATTGATGCAGGCTGATAATCCTGTTCGCTGAATGAAATTGAGAGAGAGTTCGGGAAGAGTTGATCATAGTCAGAAGCTGTTCTCTGAAAAAAAATACTATGGATATTATCAAAATCACAAAACATACGGAAAATTCCCGTTCAACTGAGACAGGTGCAATAGTAGGAAACGCTTCTTGAACTGCTTCCGGAACATCAGGATTTTTTGTAACTAGTTCAAGCGCTGGATCATCTTGGATTGGCAATGGCGTTGGAAGATCTGCCTGAATTAGTACAAGCGCAGGAGAAGTTGTTCGAGTTAGTGCAGCAACAAAAGAATATGTGTGAACTGGTTTAGGCGTAGAAGGAACTGCTTGAACTGATGCACACGAAATTGAGAGGCAATTTGGGAAGAGTTCATCATAGTCAGGAGCGGATCTCTGCAAAAAATGCTATAGATATCATCAGAATCAAAACACATACCGAAAATTCACACTCTGTTGGAGCAGGCGCTGGAATATCTGCATCAACTGATACAAGAGCTTGAACTGTTTCAAACAACGCAAGAATATCTTCTTGAACTTGTTCAAGAGAACCTTCTTGCATTGATTCAGGCGAATGATCCTGACATACTGAAAATTCTCGCTCAACTGGGGCAGGCTGTCCTTTAACTGCTTCAGAATCGTACAATTCTGTTTTAACTGGTTCAGCCGCAGGAGGAGCTGATTCAACGATTTCCTGAATCTGCATACTCGAGTTCTGAAAAATAAAGAAAATGTTCAAATTGCAGTAGTCTAACCAAAATTTTTTGCAACTAACCGATAATTCTTGGATATCGACACTTTCCGGAATATCAAAGCATTCACTGTCTTTTCCAGGCGATAACATATGATTGAACTGAAAACAATCCCTTTTATTTAAAAATTCAGGAAAAAAAAACTACAAACCTCTTCATGAACATCTTTTTTACAATTCTCACATGTTTCCAACTCCTCTTTCAAATCATATTGAAAACCATCGGAATTTGTTGAAATATCAGTGCTTTTAGAAACAACCAACGCATCTTCAGAATCGCTTGAATTCGATGTTTCAATTTTGAGTTGTTCAGAGTTTGGCAACTTGGTTTTGAGATCATCTTCCAATTCGGAAATGTCATCATCATTTTCAGAAACAACCAAATCATTTTCAGAATCACTGAAGTTTGTTGTTTCCGTCTGAAGCTGTTCAGAAATAGACAATTTTCTTGAATTAAACCAATTTTTCGGATTCATTTCTTCTGATATTCTATTAATTTCCTCCATATTCACATCATCATCTTTAATTATTTGATCACCTGGTAAAGTCAAAATACAATTTTTAGTTTCTTCTACCAAAGTACGTAGTGAAGTATTTGATATTCCGTACAAATCGAATGTAATAAAACGGCGATATAACCATGGATTGAGGTGAATAGGATCAGCAAATATAGTTCTAATCAAATAGATTTCAGGATTGCATTTAGTGATTGCTTTATTAATTTCATAATCAGTAATTCTGAAATGTTTTCTGCAGTTAGCGATACATTTCATCAGAATATCCAGATTTGTTTTTGTCAATCGACAAGCATAGTTGTATAAATGACGATCATTAAGATGTTGCATAGTTTCTTCAGCTCGTTGTTTTTGGATCTCTGCCAATTTTGCTTCAAACATTTTCCGTTCTTTTTCTAGCTCCAATAAGTTTTCTTCAATTATTTTTCGCTGATTCTCGATTTCATCACATTTTTCTATATATGCTTCTTGAAGACTGAAAAAATATATATTTCTACAAGTTCGATTCTATTCGTAAAATTATATTTGTTGGCTCAGAGTAATAGAAAATCAAAAAGCGCGAAAACTACGACTGAAACACATACTCACTGCAACTCACAATTATACAACACAAACATCAAAGTTACCTCAATTTCTCCCGTGTCTTACCTTCTATATAATTTACAATACGAGTCAGTCACAATACTATATTGTACCAAATTGTGTAGTTTCTCTCTGTTTTCCCTTGAAACATGTTATTTCGTGAACAAAAAAATAATCAGATTACTGTAATTACCTCTCAAACCAATTTTTATATATGTGTGAGAAGGATTCCAATTCAGAGATTGTTGTTCTGTTTTCCCGTTGTATGCTGAAAACAAAATTGTTTCATTCAGTCAGTATTAGGCTATTCTTATTTTTTATTTTATCTATTGAACGCTATTAACGTGATTAAGTACATTAGAAATAATTAGAGCAAATAGTCACATAATTGAATTAAAAAGAAAAATAGGTGGTGGGAAAAAATAAATTTACCTTTGCAAAGTATTTTCCAGCAATGAATTCTTCTTTTGTAATTCACTGATTGCCAATTTCTTCTCACGATCTTTTCTAAAAAAATAAAAATGTTGTATCTAATCAATTAATAAATCAATTATATGACTATAATCACCTTGCCAGAATTTCTTGCAACTCCATCACCTTTTCTTGCAATTCTCCAATTTCCAAATCCTTGGTTCTCAATTTTCTAAACAAAAATCCGTATGAATGGTTTTTATCAAATGAATCACCTTTCAGAACTATTCATATACCAGTAAGTTGACATCTGAAGTTGACCGATATGTGTATCTTTCTCCTGTATTTCTCTGAAAATATAAAAAAAATATTGTCTTATTATTTATTAAATAAAGCTGAAATTACCTTTTCAAAGTTCCTTGTATCGCAAGAGCCTCCAATTGCACATCTTGGATTTCCAAATTCAATTCTTCAAATCTCCTTCAAAAATTCCAGATGAATATTCACAGGCAGATATCAACTTACGCTATCAATTTTTTATTTTCAACCTCAGATTCTTTCCGTTCTTCATAAACTTGTATCAAGCGATCCAAACCGACGTTCCATAGATAATAACTAAAAATATCTTTTCAATGTTCATTAAAAAATTTAAAAAAAAACTCACATGAGGTTTTTCAAAATATAGAGAAACCACATCAATGAATTCTACTTCTAACTTGAGACTAAACCAAGTATGTGCTGAAAAAAAATGTAATTCTTGTCACAAGATAAGATATAACTGATAATTTGCGAAAAAGACTATAATTAATTTCAGTTAAGAATACCACATCACTTTTTGCTCTCATAATCACATATTTACTTGAGATTTGAGAAAAAAAAGAAAAAAATTGTGCATACATTTGAATATAAAAAAAGAGAGAGATTTGCGGATAATAGAAGATTAATGGGAAAAAAATATCAATAAGAACTACAAAAAAGCCAATTGTTTGCTCTGAAAAACAACTATAATGTCAAATTTATTTTTCTTTATTTATTCGAATTCCATTAAAAATTCTGAATAGAAACATTACAAGAACAATATGATCAAAATTATTTCGGAGGGATAACGAAGTAAATAAAAAATTGAGAAATAAGCAGAACACAAAGTGTTGTTTAAGAGAAAATGGGGGGAAAGCAGCTGAATGTTTTGATTGAATTGAGCGGTATAGTGTTTGATGAGATAAAGACGTTTCTAGAATTATTTGTAAATTTATCCTAGAAATTATCAATCGGTTATCGATATGAAACTATTTGATAGTTATGCTTTGAAAAAATAAAACGAATTGAGAAAAATGTTCAGATCAATTAGAGAAAAAAACGAAACCTTTTGAAAAAAAAACAAAAACATGTCCTTGTGTAAAGTATGGGAAAACATTTTCGCGCTTTGTGAAATTTTGCGAGTTCCCATTTGCGCTATATGTTAACACAATTGGCTACACCATTGGAAGTTTGAAAAGCAGGTGTTAAGAGTGAAAAATACATTTTCTGGAGTACATCGATTTGCAACTTTTTTCATTCATTGAAAAATAATGCAAAACGTAATTCAATCTATTCAACTACACACCACGATTTATACTAATAATTTAGGTGAGCTAACAAATGTTTGATTTTCAGTTTTTTGAACATGTTTCCGCGTCCTAATTACATACTTCACTGATTATACTTTCTGATTATTTTGTAAATGTCAAAATTCATAAAAATTTGGTCGAGTTCTCTGATGTTTCAGATTATTTCAGAGCCTTTGAGATTACAAAAATACAGATAAAAAATGACCGTTCATGCAAAAAATTAGAGAAAAATAGCATCGCGACGAGAAAAAAACAGAGACCGCTCTATGAATATATGAGGTAATGGCATGGCAAACGCGCTCTAGAGAACAAGCGGCACGTTTGAATTTTCTGTGTGTCTTTTTGTTTTCTCAGCGATCAGCCTTTTCAAGCAAAATATGAAGAAAAAACTGAATTTTGAGAATAATTACTTTACACAAAATGAAAAAGGAAAAGATTCTCTACCTATTGGAAAAATATATTCTCTACCTACACGGTGTTAGATTGGAAAACGTAAAACAATGAAAATTCACACACTTTCGACAAACACATAAATTGAGGCGCATTTGTAGACACTATTATTGAATTAAATATACGTGAGAAATAAAAACTAAGTCAAGTGACGTGGATTTAAAAACAGTATAGGTAGCCATGTCGTCAGTTGCAATGTGTGTGAGCGACACGTTTTTAGAAATGCAAATAAAAATATCGAGGTCAACACGCAACGTAGAACCGCATGGCGACTGACGACATGGCTACCTATATTTTTTCAAATCCACATCACTTGACCTAGTTTTTTATTTCTCACGTGTTTTTAATTCAATAATATCTGCGTGTTTCGTCGCTGTCCGTCTTTGAGGTATTTCCAACTTTAGGAACAACGATGAGATTATAACTCAAGAAAAATTGAAATTAGGAATATGTCAACTGTTCAAGAATTGCGATTGACGTCATAAAAATGATTTTTGAAAAGAGAATATAAAATCAGGATTAGACTGGATCAACTATTTTGAAAAAATGAAATGAGGGCACAATGAAAAAAATTGAAAAATACTGAAAAATAAGCTCGAATCATATTTTGATCACTAACTAAATCATTGCGTTAGGGGAAATTGTGACGATTCAAATGTTATTCGATCATTAATAGAAACAATTGGGAAAGTGCCAAAAAATTAACATAAGAGGTACCAGGTTGGGTTGTCTAGTGTCCCCAACTGGTGTAGAAAAAGGATGATTTAGTGGCAAAACTACTTCTTGAGAATCAATAAATCAAACACAATTTTTCTTAGACCTTTATTGTCCGAAAGTAATTAGACAAGTTAAAATAAAATAAAGAAATAGCGATTAAAGCACCGCAAAACAAAATAACAACAGTTCTACTTTAGAGAAAAGAACAAAAAAAAAACAAGAATTCAAAATTCCTCAACTTATTACATTGCGCAAACAAGAAATGCGCCAGTGTTGGGCGTGTTGACGCACTTGGTGTGCATTTCCAACTTAAGAATAACTTTTGCTATCAATAACTCGTCTTCAGAGTTGAGTTAATTTGTGATAATAACGTGCTCTGTTCTTGTGTATGAATATTTGTTTTTCATTTTTCAGTATTTTTATCAAACAGTGATCTTTCCAATTCCAAAACAAGCGGAAATATAAAACATTTTATCCGATTTTCTAATCCACTGAAATTGAAACAACATTTTACGAAATATATATTTTTTGTTAAAAAAAATTAATATTGTTTAGTCCTGAATTTGTATTTCTCTCTTACTTCTTCCAACTTGATTTCATTGTCCCTTGTGTTATTTTCTGCACACTTTCGAAAACACAAATTTGTTATTGAATTCAAATATTTCAACCGTTTTTCAATTTTCTTCAAATTAAAACACATTTTTCAAATAAGAATTCATAGAATTGAATGAAATTTTCCCATATTTTGTTTGGAAATAGATTTATTTCATTTCATTATGAAGCTGAATTAGGGTTATTTTTCAAATTGTCTTAAGAGAGACTTTTTGTAAAAACGTAAATAAAACTGGGGTGGTCTGTACAAGAAAAGTGATATTCTCTGATTTGGCCAAACTTTTTTTTGTTTGAAAGGTATGATACTTGCGGGTTTTATGCGCATAGTAGGACCTTATATAAAAAATTGGTTCACGGTGTAGAAGTCGATGTTCGAATTTTGGTCTTGTTTTTGAAAAAATCGTAACTAGGCTCAAAGTCAATATTTTTCGACGATCAAAAAATGATTTTTCTCCATTTTTCATTCCGAAGAAGCTGGAATTAACGAAAAGTGGGTGAGATTTCGTCCTGACTTTTTCCGAAAAAAATTTTCAAAAAAAAAATGTTTTTTTAATATGGGAGTCAAGAGCCCAGAAAATAAGTGTTTTTAAAAGATTCTCCATGCAATTTCACGTATTTTCGAACAATAAAATCAAAAATTCTCAGTACCCCCCGTTTTCAAAAAAATCACTTTGAGATGCCCATACTTTTCTGTATTTTTGGAGAAAAAACACAGTTAACATTCTTCAAACTTCCTTTTTTTGGGTCCATTTTTTCATTTGTGAACTTTTCTGATCGATTACCGTCACTTAGAAACGTTCTAAATAGATATAAACTTCAAAAAAGACCAAAAACCACATAAAATTATATTTAAAAAATGCCAAAAAATATTTATTTTTAAATAGATGGTACAAATGGCTAGAAATTGCTCAATTCTGAATTTAAATCATTTTTAAAGACGATTTACATGATTTCTACCGTTCAAACAATCACAACATCAATTTTTGAGTGACAACATGAACATTTCAATTTTTTCGTTATTTCAAACTTTTTTGTAATCGATTCCGTACGATTCTCTAAACTGTTTTTCAAGTTCATGAGTGTTCAAAATTATGTGAATAACTTATAAAAAACGTTATTTCAATGTTTCAGACAGTTTGTAGTCGTTTCAGAATTTTTACTAGTCAAAAAAGTATGTTCATTTTTTGAAAAATGCATATTTTAGGTTTTTGAGGCATCCAGGGACATAGAATCTAGATAAAGGATCAGAACTGTTTTGCAACAAATATGAACGATTAGAAAAAGTTAAAACTCAACATTTTATCACAAATCAATGCGCTGAAATCAATTATTCAACCTTTCAAGAGGAGAAAATAAGTGAACATTTTAAAGTGATTTTTTTGAAAACGGAGGGTACTGAGAATTTCTGATTTTATTGTTCGAAAATACGTAAAATTGCATGGAGAATCTTTTAAAAACACTTATTTTCTGGGCTCTTGACTCCCGAATTAGAAAAAAATTTTTTTTTGAAAATTTTTTTCGGAAAAAAGTCAGGACGAAATCTCACCCAATTTTCGGTAATTCCAGCTTCTCCGGAATGAAAAATGGAGAAAAATCATTTTTTGATCGTCGAAAAATATTGATTTTGAGCCTAGTTACGATTTTTTCAAAAATAAGACCAAAATTCAAACATCGACCTATACAACGTGAACCAATTTTTTATATAAGGTCCTACTGTGCGCACAAAACTCCCAAACATCATACCTTTCAAATAAAAAAAATTTGGCTCATTCTAAATTTTCGATCCATTTTGTTGTACACCTCGATTTACGTTCTTACAAAAAGTCTCTCTTAATTAAAGGTTCTTTAAATTAAAACGCATTTTTCATTTTCAATATATTTTTCTAAAATAAATTTGTATTGTTCTCATCGAACAAACCCCCGAACAATGATCGAAATCTCCAAAGTACACACGTAAAAACTAAAAAATCACATGGCATTTCCTGGAAACTCTTTCTCCAACTTTTTGACACATACACACTCTAATAAGCTCATGATCTAGTCAGACATCGTATAGTTTTTTTATTACTCATCTATTTTTATACACATATCCCTCGAAGCAAAAAAAAACGCACATGTCAAGAGATTTTTCCCAGCCTAACTAATTATGAATATCCCTTGAGTGAGATAACAGTCGTCACAATGATTTTTCAGACGTCGAACTGTTTGCACTTTATATCATTCATGAATTTTAAATCAGTGATCTGACTGATTAGCAGAAAACGTGCTAAAAAACGAAGAAGTGACGTAAAAATCGAGATTCTTCCTTCATTAATTATTTAATGAACAAGAAGATAAACATATGACTCTTTTTTCTGCTTTCCTCTTTTTTTTCGTTTTTTTTACATAATTAGTAATTCCAAGTTTGACTTGACTTGAAGTTTTGATGTTTAAAAATAGCGCTAATGAAATTTGATCTGCTTTGAACTATGTATTTCCGGATTGGGAAGATAAATATAAATATAAATGAATGAAAAAAGTTTGCTAAATTTTTAATGTGCTTACGTATTTCCTCAGGAATTATATTCAAAAATCAAAGATAACGTTAGAATGTGTTTTGAAATTAGCTCTATGCACGAAAAAAAAACTAATTTTTTCCGTATTAAAGTTCAGAAAAAAACAAGATAAAATAATAGAAGTTATCAACATTGTGATCAATAAAATGAGCAAAATTTTTACTTCTAACTTAATTTTTGACAATAAACTTAGATTCCATGTTTTGTCCTTCTATAAAATGAAAGCCTGCCTGTCTGAAACTTGAAAATCAAAATTTTTAAGCACACTTTTTTTCTGAAAGGACCACCAAGGACTCTTATATTTTCAATCATAAGTACCATTGTTTCCAGACCGAAAACTTCAAAAATCTGTTCGTTCCATTTTTTCAGACTCCCCAAAAATAAACACGGAAAAAGTTTTTTGACTAATCCAAAATGCAACGAATTAAATTGAAATTGAATTGAGTTGTTGTGTTGATCTGAATGCTAAAAAGGTCATTGTAGTAGCTCATATGACGTGACCTACTCATTTATTTCTCTCAACTCAACATGCCCCCTCTTTTTCAGTTTCAGTTAACTTTGTTCACCAATTATATGAGTTTTTATATAAGTGACGTGAAATAATTGGTTTTTTTTGCTGCTCCCTTCTTCTGCCTGTTCTTCTATCCAGCTCATATTTGTAGATAGAAGTCAAAGATAAAAAATTGACTTTGTGGTACAATTTTATTGTAGAAGCACTCTTGACGTCTTTAATAAATGGAGAGTCTATTTTTGACGAAATACGATTTATGGGTGTTTTTTGAGAAGGAAAACAGCATATTTTGTGTGGGTTAATGGGATGAGTGGGCTTAAAATTAGGTCGACAAAAATTTGAAAAAATTGGAAAAAAGTTGCGATATGAAACTTATTGGATACATATGACTCTTACGATTTTAAAGTTTGATGAGAATTTTCAAAATTTATGAAAATTAAAAAATTGGGTTTCTCTGAAACTTCAGGATTAAAGGTTTGTCCTGGTTTTCTAGATTTATTAAAATTTCCCAGATATCAGAATTACAATGAAAATTAGAAAACCTTGAAATATTACAAAAACCTTCATTGAACTTCAACAAATTCAGAAACATCAGAATTTTCCAGAACTTAAATTTTTGGAAACTGAACAATCCCCTGGATGATAAGAAATGTGAACATAATATTTTATGAATTTTGAAAGTTGATCCACTTTCTGATAAATCTCAACTTCACATTTCTCGAAAAATCCGATCTCCAGAAATTTTTCATACCCTGCAGCTTCAATTCTTCCAAACTCTATCAAATAACCTGGTTTTTTAATTTGCCAATGAAAAACTCAAGAAAAAAATCTGTACCGAAAAACATCTGTATAGAATTATTCCAGCTTTCTCAACAAGCTCACATTCTCAAATTTTGCAGAAAGTTTGATTTTCTGAAACCTCCAGATCAAAAACTTATACACATAAAACCAAAAGTCTACTATGTATTTATTTTTGCAGTTAGGCTATAAACATTTTTTGTTGTCCCACAATTGTCTCTCCAAAAAAATCAAAACCCTGATCTTGAAACTTGCAAAAATTTAAAAATTAATGAAATTCATTCATTAAAAATGGGCTCGCCATAGCGATATTTTGCGAGATTTTTGCGCATAACAAACTCTTACATAATCTAAAAATAGTTAATAAACCAATTTGTTCCTTTTATTTATTTTCTTTTTTCTTATATTCATTTACCCTTTGTCTAGATAAAATCAAATGATATGATATGAAAAAACAAAGAAATGTGCACTTTTCACATCATTGTTTGACGTCTTCTAGACAGTCTCAAGAGAAAATCTGAAAATCGAAAAGTCTAAAAAGAAGGAAACAAGTTTTTCTAGATTTATTTTGACCCACATCATTTCGCATGTTTTGTTTTTGTGTTCCTTTCAGCTATTCCAAACTCATCTTGAATTACATAAAAAGTAGTGTCTCTCCCTTTTCCCCTTCCCTTTTTTCAAGCACAAAAAATGACGTTCGAAATGGCATACATATCAAAACACTAGCCTGGATGGTCCCATTCCATTAGAGGATTACATTAAGAAAATAATGACGCCCACACACACACACCAAATTTCATAATTAACATTAGGGTGCAAAAAGTTCACCAAGTTTATGGTGCAAAACAGAACAAAACATTTTGCAAGTATTTTTTGAATTGCTTCCACCCACCCACCCTCACTGAAATTTGAGGAGAAGCAAAGCAATTGTGGGCGATTTTAGTGCTCTTTGTTTTTTTTACTCTCTTTTTTCGTTTTTGTTCTTCCCTGGAACAAAACGAAAACTGACCGGTGTGACGTTATTCAATTATTTATGAAGTACCACAGTGCAAATATAATCTTGGTGTGAATTTTGTGAGGTCATACAAGGAAACTAAGATTGTGAATCATTGTAATACGAAATTCAATATTTTCTGATGATTTTATGCAAATTGTTTAATGAATTTATTGAAATTTGGGTGTGTCATTGTCATTTTTGACGAAAATAGACAATTTTCAGGAACACACAATGAAGCGTAGTGAAATCGGAATGTGGCTGAAAATCATGAATGCCACACAAAAAAAATCTGAAGATGTCTTGTTTCGGGAATAATTAAATGCTCCCAATTTTCTGGATGAAAAGTTTAATGCCTGACGATATCCAGATTTTTCTACCAGGAGATCAAAGTCTTTCAGAGAACTTTTTAAAATTATATTTTCACATCATAACTTTCAATCTCCAAAAACACTACACTTTATGTTCATGTTTAAAAATAAAAAAATATTATCTAAAAATATATATACTCTGAACACTTTTTTATACGGAAATTGAAAATGTTTTCCGAAAATAAAACTGAAAAGCACTTGGCAACAATAATTACTTGAAATTTTTCTAGTAACTACAGTAACCTCTTTGAGTTCTGGATTTTTCTTTTACATATTTAGAATCAGAAACTCCAAGCTCTAATTGATTTTGCATAGCCAAAGCCAGATTCTTCTGATCTCTGATTATCCGAATCCAAAAATCCAAAGGGGTCATTGGAACCTCTGCATTTCTACATAATCATCCTATAATCCTCCACGTCCTTGTTGTTTTTGTTCACCTTTATTCAAAGATCCACATTTCCATTTTTCCCAAAAGTATTCATTTTTCCTTGCACAGTTCTCACATAGTTCCAACTTCATTTTATTTTCCATTCCTTATTAATTTTATTTAATTCAAGGCTAAAGAAGAAAAAACGAGACGGCGAGAGGAAGAGAAAAAGAGCACACACACACACAAAACCAAGTCCAAGAGCAATAGTAAATAGGCGGAGTCGACCCAAATAAATATATCAAGTCCCCGCCCAGAATCACTTGTATTTTCTCATCATTTTGAATATTCTTCAACGTCCTATTCGAACTACAATGCTTCTATCAGCTCAACCTCGAAAATCTATTATTGACTTGGCTGAAGAGTCTGGCCTATTTGATATCAATGCGTCGGATTTGGTTTGCGAATCAAGTGCCAATGGAATATGCTACTATGATTTTGTTTTGAGTTGCAATCCATGTGGAAGTGCTGAAGGTGGAATGACATTGTATTTGGCAAAATTCGATAATAAAGTAAATTTGGAACTTTTCGAAACCGCCCATATTCCAAGAGAACTCTTCGAAGATGGTCTTCCTAATAGCGATCTTGGCCTTATGACATTGGGAGTCCTTATCTGGAAACAAACAGTAGCGAAATCTCGACTTCTTTGCTTGGTCAGAAGTATGGAAGGTGACACTACTCAAGCCTTGGAAGCTCTCAAACGTGCCACCTACAAATTCTCAATCCACCATCATGTGCAATCAACTGGCCGTAGAATGTCTACATCTTCCACTTCTAGTTACGGATCTGCACATTCTTATTTATCCGAAGGAATGCGTATGCGAGTTCTCCTTTGCCAATCGCGAAATGTTGTTGAAACAATCCCAGCACAAGCTGTCCGTGAAACCAAAGCCTTGTTAAACCCATCAAGCAACCCAATTTTATGCCTATGCTTCCCTCTCGTTTGATAATTCCAAATTTTTTTTTCTCATTTTTGATCGCTTTTTGTTTATTTGTGTGATTTGCCTACCGGTTGTAGTCTCGGTTTATTTTCGATTTTCGATTTTTATATTTTTTGTATATTTTACGCGTTCTTTTTTTCCACGAAAAATAAATCTGATACATGTCTTAACTAATTGGCTAACACAACTTATGCAAAAAAAATAAACAAAAAAATATAAATAAAAAATCTTTTGATCCGGAAGAGCAAATAAAATAATTTTTCCCACAGAGGATTTGCTCTAATGATTTATTTTTAGCCCAATTTTCATTTTTCAACGTAACATGATTCATATCAAAAAATCAAATGACAAAAATTATCGGGAAAAATTCCTTCCTCTTTCTTGTTTCTCAAAAAAAAAATAATAATAAGAACTAGAAAAAGAAAACAGCAAGAAAATTTCAGATTCACATATTACTTGCTTGTTTGTCGACCATTTCCTGTTCCACTATACAACTTGCTTTTTTTTTCGGGAAAAGCGAGGGAGAACTTTTTTTTGTTGCAAAAAAATTTTAAAATAGAATTTTCATTTTTTCGGTTGTTGCAAAGGTCTTTGTGTGTAAATTGTGTCTTGATTGACAATAGGAAAATTCCCGAGTCCTGAGCTAAACCAAATAATATATAATAAAAACATCTATTTATTAGAGACCACTAAAAATGTCCTAATCCAATTGGATTAACATTTTCATTTTCATTTTCCTCTTCCACCCACCCGCTCTCAAAAACCACAAAGAATAAATCAAATTTTTTGTTGTTTCTCTTCAGCTCAGCCAGGTCAATCTTGTCATTTTCATTTTCATAAAATGACGTGTTCTGATGTTTTCAAAAAATTCAACATAAATGAAAATTGGCTAGTCATAATATGCAAACCTTTTAGCAAATTAAATTACTTATTATTATTATTATTATTGTGGAGAAAAAAAATGAAAGAAAACTTTTCAAAAATTCTATATGCATATGTGAAAAGGTCAATCTCAAATTACTGTTGTGGCCAAAAATTCAAAAACTTTTTTTTACATAGTTAATAAATGTTTATGTATTCTTGACTTGTGTAATTATAGTTCAAAAGGAAATGCAAATTTGTTCCGGATATGATTGTTTGAACTGATTGTGAATATGGAGAAAGAAAAATGATAATCACAGTAGTGATTAAGTGAAAAAGCACTTTTTTCTCAGCCGAACAAAAACAACCACCCTTGTGTTAACGTCACATAATTTAATAGTATATTATTTATATAAATGTAGAACATAACATGAAAATGCACAATTTTTATTGGCAGGGAACCCATTATATTATTAACAATTCTTATTAAAATTATTATCAGAAAATGAATGAAACAAACAATTAGCCATGATGAACTGGACAACAAATTCTATACAAACTATCGTGTGATGGGAAACAATTTGTATTTTCTGGGCAACGATTTGGTGTCCAAATATCTTGATCCAATCCACAAGCAATCACCATATTTGATTGATCTCTGATGGCTGATTCCTTCGAGCAAAATCGGAGAACTATAAAAATACGATTACTATTGTCCTAAATATATATGAAATATGAATATTTTTGTTTTGTTGTGAATTATAGTACCGGATATTAATGCGGAGGATTTTGATTTCCCTTGTATTTTTATTATTCGTTTCTTATTTTGAAAATACATATGTTAACTGGAAAGAAATATGGGTGGTCTTAAGCTAGAAGGTTTAGAAAGTTTTTCAGGAAAAAAAATGCGCAGATTTTCGATCAGCAATGTTTGAAGTTGGAAAAATCTTGCAAGTGACAAAAATAAATATAGCTTTGCAACATTTTTAATACTTCCGCTAATCAGTTCAAATGAACAATCACACTTTACAAAAAGTTGTTCTTCATGTTCGAAATTACCGTAGTTTATGCAAAGACTCCAATTAATTTTTTAAGATAGAAAAAACTGTGAGAAGTTAAAGATTGTTGAAAGTAATTGAAGGGGTCTGAATTTTTTATCTGGGAGTCCCTAATAACAACTTTTGATTGTTTTTTTGCCACACTGTTTCTTGATTCCTACCGTATTTCATGCAAAGTCTAACTAATTCTGAATACTAAATAAAGTGAAATGTCGTGGAGGTCTAGAAAATGGCTACTCTTTTCAGATTTCTCATTAATAATTTTGAATAATGTTCAGACTACCGTGATATTTTTTGCAATGCTCCAATTGTCTTTGAGTTTAATAATTAACATGAATGTATAAAATACAAAAAAACGTCTGCACTTTTCAGATTGATACTGAATTCTCATAAATAATTTTCAAGAATTTTTCAGACTATCGTACTAGCTTGAATTAATTATTCGAGGTTCCAATAATCAGGAACATTTTGAAAACGTCAAACAAGTTAGACTACCGTAGTTTCAACACAAACTTTGTTATTTCCGAATCCAATAAAAACGTTTTGGGTGGTCTGAAAAAACTCACTCGACTCTTTTTTCATTGGTCTAGGTCTTGGAGTATGATAAAAATTGATTGGATCATAAACAGTTGTGGTTGGAATTGTAATTCTCTCAATTTCCGTTGTCATTTCAGTTGTTGTTGTGGTGGTAGAGTCCTCATCCTTCTAGAAAAACAAAAAATGAATCACTACTCAAATTTTTCAAATACACATGTTTTATTTTTAATTAATCCCCTTCTATTCATTGGGTGCTTTCATGACGTCTGGAAAAGAAAACAGAAAAAAGTATAGTAGTCGAAAGAAAAGCGAATTAGTATTATAGATATTAATATATTTTTTCTCGGATTTTTGGGGGTGTTTGAGATTAGGCTTGCTATTGTTCGGCTTCACTGGATTAGCGCCTTTTGCGCAATTCTCTGTTCACACAAAAAATATCATGTATTTTATTATTTTTATTGAAACATGGGGTGTTGTTTTTTTCAAGGATGAGTGACATATGACAAATTTTCTAGACAATTCTGGTAAATTGGAAAAAATCGAGTGGGTGTTTTCAAAGAGGTCGTAATTTTTATGAGGGGGATTTTCCCGTTTTTTATGTTTTACCTTTTTTTCATCTTCGTCTTCTGCTTCTTCGAAATCTTGTTGCTCAAAAGTCACTTTTTGAACATCTTCATCATCTCCATCAGTGGAGAATTCTTCGAGATTTGTAATTGAGATTGGTTCCATGTTTGGGAGCTCTGGAAAAAAAAAACTTCAATTGGGAATATTAAACATTGAATATTTCTTTTTTTAAATTATTGGTGCTTGAGGAGCTCAGAAGTCTGATATTTTTTATAATATTATCATACTCATAAATTAAGGGATTTTCCAAAAAATTCTTACTAATTGGAAGTCCAACATGTGTTCGAACTCCATCCTTCTTCCTCATTTTCTCTCCAAATTGAGCTTCAGCAAATGTATTTCTCACTGGTGCTCTTCGAATATCCGATCTTCTCATGCTCAGCTGCAAAAACATAAAATTTTCCTTTTCCTACGTGACATACAATTAAACTTTTCAATTTTTCTGATAAACAACTTGCCCATAAATTATAGGGGTGAAAAATTGAAAATGTTACAATGTAATTATGTACCAACCTTGCTAATTACTTCTTCTAACTCTTCATCTTCTTGGAACTCGATCTTTGGCATTTCGTCACTTGGTTTCTGTAATAAACAGAAAGTTTTTGTACATACAATGGTTACGTGGAAAAACACATACTTTTGTAGTAGTTGTTCTAATGATCACATTATCTTCCGCAATTGGATCATCAAATGGTGAAATTTGTGTTTCCTCATCAATATCTCTTGCATTATCAATTTGATTCAAATGTGTTTCAGCAGTTTTTCTTCTGGCTGGAAGATCTCGTCTAGCTGAAGGAGTAGTGGTTCGTCCGCGGAATCTACGTGGCTCTGGAGTTGCTACAACTTCTTGCTCATCAACTTGTTCGCGTTCAATTTTTTCCATTGATGAAAAAAATGAACTTTTCATTTTTCTTGTTGTTGGTCTAACTCGTCGTGTTGTTGGTTCCTCTGTAGTAGTAGTCGCTGCTGTTGTTGTTGTTGTTGTTGTTGTTGGTCTCACTTTTTTAATAATCTTCTTGATAATCTGAAAAAAAAGAACCATTGGTCAGAAAACGCGCGAGTTAATCTATATATAATCTTTCCAGCATTGACGACGTTACGAAAGATTGAAGAACACCAGAAAGTGCATTTTTTTCTGAAAGTTGAAAAAAAAAACCTTTCTTGGTGGAGGTTGAGTTGGTTGAACATGTCCCTCAACTTCATCCATCAAATCTTCTTCGGATGACCAGATATCCTGGAAAATATTGCACTTTTGTCACATTTTGAATTTAACAGAACAAAACAAAAAAAACTGTGATTTTGAGTGATTGATTGGTGGACATAAATTAGAATTTATTACACAACACAAAGAAACCAAATGTTATTATTATTTTTTGAGACAATTATACAGACATTGAAAAACTAAAAATAAAACATCAGTCGGACAATTCATCAATGCTTACAACGTGTGGGCGATGAGTTCGAATTGGTGAACGACGTCGTCCATCAAGATTTACTGGTTGGAGAGATGACAAATCATCGGCGTCGATTCCGCGGCGGAGAGGCTGCAAAAATTTGTTGGCTGATGAACTTCAGAACTTTTTGGAAGAAAACGTTTGGCTTAACTTGAAGATTAGAGGAAGTTGAGTTTAGGTTTGAATGACTGATTAGAGGTTTTGAAGAATTGTTTTCAAAAAAATACCAAAAATAAATGGTGATATTTTTATTACATCAGCAAGCGTTTTCAATCCGGACGGTCTTATTTTATATAGTTTTTGATAAAGTCCACCATAAAAATGAATTTAACAAATAAATTATGTCTGGTTTCTGATTTTTAATTGTCACTTTTTAACCGTCGTATTCAAGTTTGTCAGTGTTTCATTCGAAAGAAACGGCATCACAGTTCATTCAATTTCAAAAATTGATATTGCTATTATTAATTCATACATATATGCTTTTACTGAAATTAGATGGATAATCTGAAATACATTTTCTGCATTTTCACGGATAAAGAAAGATCAACAACGTTTTTCATATTGAAATAATATGTATGTAAATTGAAGGGATGTTCTTTGATCAAGTGAATTCTCAATATCGTTTTGTTAATTTTGAAACTAAAACCTCGAGCAAGGAATTTTTGAAAATCAATTTCACGATCACTTATGTTATATTTTGACACCAAAAACCTGTGAAATCAAAGGAATTCTGACTTTGACATCATTCATCAGATAATCCGAAAAACAGACTAAAGTTGTAGAAGTACGTTGGTCAGAAAATTTGTGAAAGCAAAAAATATGATCATGATCTAACATAAGATTTTTGAAGGGATCTATCGTGAAATTGGAGATGTCTACGAGAATTTCAGGGACAAACTTGTGCGATAAATTGTGAAAATTGATTTTCTGCTAATTCACTGTCTGCATTCTTTGTGAGGTTCCCTTTTCACGTGTCAAACTCATTTATCTCTCCAAAATCTGATCTAATCCAACTTACCAAAAGTTCTTTTGAGAATCGTTGTTTAGCAGGTGGTCGGGGAAATTGTTGATCATCAAAATGCACATTATCCTCATTTTTCCTCAACTGGAATTTCTTGTTCTTCAATTGTATCTGGTTCTTCTGTTGTTGTTTGTGACAAAACTGGTGGCATAGCAGCTGGTGGGCCAACATTTGGGAGTGCATCTTCAGAAAAAACACTAATTAAAAACAAATTAAAATCTCTCACCGATTGGCTTTTCATTTGCGTTTTGTAGAAGTTTGTTCAACGATTGTTGGAAAATTTGTGCAGCTTTTTGTTCGGATTGAGCGCTGCCAATTTTTCTGACAATATCTTCAACGAGTTGTTGGCTGAAAATTGGGGTTTCTTGGGGGAATGTGGATTCCTCGACAACTGGAGCAGCTTGAGTTGTTGTGGTCGTTGTTGGAGGTGCAGTTGGAGGTTGGGTAGGGGGTTGAGTTGGCGCTTCAGTTGTTGTTGTGGTGGAGGTGGTGGTAGAAGTTTCAGATGTGACCTTCAAAATAATAATTGTTTATTCTTTTTTTAACTCATAGGGCCTTTTATTTTTTGAAAATTTGTACAAATATTTATTTAGAATTTCGAAAATCATCGTCAAAAGACTTTTTCAATAACTCAAAATTAGTTTAAAAATATGAAATAAATTTAATCTAAAAGAGATTTTGATGTGTCGAATTGACAAGAACTTTGATAATGAATATTTGTTATTCTAAAAATAACAGCAATCCTTATTGAAAAAAACTATGAAACCTCCCCAAAAATTCCTACCGCACTGATATCCAAATCATCAGAAACATCAGGAAGATCAATCGATGGAACAAGTGGTTTCTCAAAGTTCACACTAGCCACAGCTTCAACACGTCTTGGTGGATGCATTGGAACACGGATTTTTGGTGAAATTTCGTTGGTTTTGTGGGTTTTTTGAACCTTCCTATAAGAAACAAAATATTTTCATTACATAGTGCAAACAAAAAAATGTGAAAATTATGTACAGTAACAAGTGAAAAAGTAATAATTTCTTACAATGGATCAGCTTTTGGTTTGATTTTCTCATCAGCTAAAATATCTCCATTTGCTCTTGGAGCCAAGTCGCAGAATCGAACAACATAATTTCTTCCCGAAATTCGGAGCGCGTTAATCAATTGATTATCATTCTCGATAACAGTGCTTCTTGAGAGCCCAATTGGTTTATTAAATTCAATTTCTTTGCAATTGAATTCATCACGAGATCTCAATTTACAACACATTGTTTGAATGCGGGTATCTGATAGTCTTGTGATTCCTGCAAGATATTCTCGTGGGGCACATGTAAAAGTAGTATTCTCATCAAGGATAGGATCAACCATATCAGAATAGTGACAATCTTCCCGTTCAATATCAGCAATTCCAACAGGAATATTGATCCATGGATATAAATCTTCTACAGTTTCACAAGACAAATCAAATACAATATCTTGTCGTTTTTGACCAACTGATTCAACCATTCTAACAGCTAGTTCAGTTGCAGCTGCCTGAATTTCAACAATTCATAAAAGCTTTTCGAAAAAATGTTTGAAAAACTCACTCTTTTTGGACATTCAATTCTAAAATTATCAAATGGCGAAGAAACAAAAACATTTTTCGAAACAACAGTTCCAAAAAGAATCGCTAGTAGAAGCATATTTTGCTTCATTCTGAAACACTTGGCTTTAAATATACCAAAAAAAATAAAAAAAAATGAAATACAGGAAAATGAGTGATCAGATAATAAAAAAGTGAAAAGGGCGGGCAGCGCTTTTTTCTCGAGGATAACGAAAAAAAAAAGAGAAGATTGAATGAATGAATGAAGTCCAGATTTGATAGGAAGAATGGATAAGAATTTGGGAGAAGAAAACGAGATGACAATTGATAAAAGGCGGTCAAATTCCCGAATCAGTTTGGATAGGGGAATTGAACAGAATTGAGAATTGATAGTGAAATCCAAAAATTGCATAATAATCAAAATCAATTTATCATTTGGATTAGTTCATGGGGCATAAACAGTTTTTTCGGAATTGAAGTTTTTGGAAACCATAAATCTAGTAGGAAGAAATAGAAAAGTTGGGAGAGGAACTACTAGGAACTTTTGGATTACTAGGAAATAATGTTTTATTTGTTTAATTTAGGATCAGTTGAACCTGTAATGCGATGTCCAAAGTAAAAAATATAGCAAAAAAATGCGAGATTATATTGTGCAAAGCTCGCCTTATATTCGAAATACAGAACAGAGAAATAGTGTGTATATTCTAGAGACGCAGACACGAAACAGAGAAATAGTGTATATATTCGAGAGACACAGACAGCTAGAGTTTGGACGATATATTTTAGCATTTTTGTTATACTTTTTACTTTGGACACCGCATAAATTTGATTTTTTTTGGAAAGTTTTGGAACAGGTTCGTAGAATGTTTCTCTGAAAATTTGTAACACGGTTTTTTGAGAACGATTTTTTCTGAAATTGACGAACATTTATAAATAAAATGGTATGAAAAGCCAGCTTTTTCAAATTTCAAACTTCAAACCAAAAAAAAAAACTCCTGAACTTTTCCATTTGATTAACTACCGGGTAAAACTAGCCAACAAAAACCAAAAAAATATCCGTCACGAATACCCACGAACAAAAAAACGGAAAAAAAATGAATAACACCGTCTGTGTGACTGTCAAAAACATCGACAAGAAAAGACAAAAAAGTTTCATGAAAGCGAAATGTTGACCCCGTTTCGAAAAAAGAGAGAAGAGTTCATCACTTTCACCATCAAACAATATCTCTTTCATCAATAATAATAATAATATTTTATTTTCAATTTCATTATCACCATGATTATTTTTCAAGAACAATTTTATATTTGACATCTTTTCCGAATAGTTTGCCGTGCGAATTATCGAAAACGAACACATAGTCGCCGCTCTCTTCGCATTCAAAATGTCCAACTTCGGGATAAAATTCGGTCATACAACGAAAAACTGGCCAAACCTGAATATTTTTGTTTTCTGTTTCTTTCTTGATATTCTTTTTCTTATTGGGTAATCGCATAAATTTTATGTTGATTATATAATTCAAGACAAACAAGAAACTTGACTAACAAGCTTGTGACTGTTTTTTTGTTAAGAATTCTAAAAAAAATTGGGAATAGAACAATAAGATTTCTGAATTCAGAAAAAAAGTAGAAACTTACGACTCTTCCATCTTTTTCAATGCTGAAATCAAGATCACCACTGCTCACACGCCATAACCAATAGAATTTCTTTCCAGCTTCTCCATAAACTTTAATCTACAAAAAATTATGAAAATGTAGCCTTATCAGAGAAAAAAAAATAATCACAGACTTCTGTTTTTGATCTTGCTCCAACTGACACTTTGGTTCTTTCACCTTCCAATCTATGATTATCAGCGTACCTGAAAAGGTCGTCATAAAATGTGAAACGTTTCAAAAAAATACCATAATTTTTCCGGAACTTTTCCGCCCATTCGAATATCTCCAGTATCTTTTTCACCCAGTTTTTTGGTTCCTCCCCATTTTGGATAAAGATTTTCTTCACCAACATCTTCGATCAAATGTTTTTTCCAGTCCTTGTCCAAAAATTTGACCTGAAATCAATTTTTTTTCAATTCTGAACTAAATTTGAAGAGAAAACTCACCTTTTCCCTGGTCTGTTCTGACAAAACTGGAGAAATCATCTGATATACAGTAGACATCATCAATGGACAATTAAGAATATAAATTTTACGTGCGAAATCTGGGAAAATATTTTGGAGCATTGTAAGAAGATTCATATAGACTTTGAGAGTTGGGGTGTATAACAAATCCATACTGAAACCTTCCAAATCCATACAAATTATCACTCCTAGTTTGTTTCCAGTGTTCTTCTCTGCTTCTCTGAAATATCATCAGTTCAGAGTTTCAAATAGAGGTATTTTCAACTCTGACACAAATGTTTTAAACAAATATCTAACACTTTTCCAAAAAACCAACCTCACAAGTTTAAATGACATCTCTGTTTCAACCACACACAATTGATACAATTCCGAAGTGGTTCCTGATTTAATCAATGTTTTTGGATGAGCCATCGCCATAGCTTGCATATAAATGACATCACCCCGTCGACTTTGACCCATCAATCCCCCTGGAAAATATTCAGCAACTGTAGATTTTGATTTGATCATTTTATTGATTTCTTCACATGACTGTGCTTTCATTTTGTGCAATCCCAGATTTGTCAAAATCTCAATTGCATATCTTAATTTTGGAATGATTGTGTCAATTTTGTAGTCCCATCCCATCAACCAACGAAGAAGCGAAAAATCGGTATCATATTCTGGGTACCTGAAAAAGTTTGATAATTTTCAGATTGATAAAAATTTTATGTTCTGATATTCAATTTTTAGATTTATGTCTTGATAACAAAATGTTGCAGTTTTCAGATTTTATTTATTGGAAATTCAAAGTGTTTATTCGAAAAATCCGGGTACGGAAAAACCATAAAAATCATAAACGGTGAACATTTGATAAAAAGTTCGCAACAATAGTTTTTTAGATAAAAAATCGAAAAAACTCACAATGAAAGAATATCGGCAGATTTACTGCGTAACTCCTCAATTTTGTCCTTCTGATAACTTGTCAGTTCGCTGATATGTAAATAATGATTTTCAGCTACCATTGCTGCAAAAATTCGAAATTGTTGTACAACTGATAAAAAAATGTTTGGCAAATGTTTACTTGATCAAACTTTTATCGAAAGAAAAAAACCGTTTCAAAAAAACTCCGCTTTTTGATAATTTCGTACTATTAGATGTTTTTTTATAAAACAAGAGAAATTATTGTTAATTGTATAATCAGAAAATAAATGAAAAATGATAAAATCGTTTTTTTTTCATGTAAATTTTGAGAATAAATCATGGGAGAGAATGCGATGAAAAAAGACTAGAACAAATGAAAAAGCAACCTCAAAAAAGTAGATTAAGAACCAAAAAAATAATGGTGTTCTGATAAGAATTATCGCTCCCATCATTTGCCAGACTAAACTCGAAAAAAATGAGGAAAATAATGAATTGAATTTGGATGATAAAAAATAAATTTGCCTGGGGGAGGGATGGGATTATTTGTACTTTTCTAGGAAATAACAGATATTATCTGAAAAATAGATTTATAAATACACAGCTGATTGTGAGATTTTTTGAAAATTTTCATGGAAAATCTCATAATGTTTGGTTAAAGGAATTGTTTTTGAAAAAAAAGAGAAAAAAAGTGGACTCTAATGAAAAACAATTCAAAATTAATCAAGAATAACGTTAGTTTTTGAATATGAAAAAACGGTTACACATATTTCTGAAAGTACGACTTTGAATGAAAATTCTATCTAACAAGTAAATTGTAGTTTTAAGTCTTTTCGTACAAATCTATCTTTTTTTGAAGTTTTTAACTAATTTTTTTTCAATCGGAATCGACCTGATTTTCAGCCGAATATCAATTTTTGAGAAGACAATGTTTTGAATTCGAAAAAGTATTCAGAAATTTTTCAAGAATCTGAAACATGGAAATTAACTAAAAAATTGTTCGAAATGTGTCCAGGTAAGTTTCAGAATTCAATTCGTAATTATAGATAATAAATCAAGGCTTAGGACCATGTTTTTAACATTACCCCACATTTGAAATTCCAATTTTAACGTTTTTGTTAAATAACTATCAACTAATTTCAGTTCATATTAGGAATCCCCATTTTTCGTTCTCAACTTTTTTTTGTTAATATTTTTTTCGAATTGTACCTCCATATTCTTTCAGCCAACATTTTTCATTCCGGAAAATTTATATTGAAAAAAAAATCAATTTAATAGTTTTGCTATCTCATCCAGATTTCACTATAAATCCCATTAATTTCATCTCGTACCTTCGTCTATTTGATCCATCCTCATTCTCATTCTCATTTTTTTTTTGCTAATCGCAAAAGAAGTGAAAAAGAGAGAAATGTTGGATAATGACGATGCTCTCCAAGAAACAGCTAGAAAAAAATCGAGGCGCCCACAAAAATTGAGAGGGTGTTTTTTCTTATGTGTAAAAATGCCGATGGCAGGCATTTGTCAGATTTTCTCTGCTTTGCTTCTTTGTGTGTGATTTTTTCTCTTGAATATTCTAGAAGTCATTTTTTTTCAGAGAAAGAAAAGAGAACGATCGATTATGGATTTGTTATCATCGCCATCATTCCACCATATTTCACCATTGACTAGATCAAGAAGTGATGTTCGATCGTCTTCAGTTAGACGGTAAGAGATATTACAAAGATCAGTAATGTGTTTGAGTTTTGAAATTTTTTAGAGATAGCTTACAAATTGAAATCTGAAAAAATTTTGATATTAAAGTTCCGTCATATGATTCCTTGTAATATTGTAGTGTTGAAATCTTCATTATTTTTATTTCAAAAAACGTTGTTGAATTTTTTGGTAAATAATATTTGATCATAGGAATTTATTTAAAAATTTAAATAGTGTATTTAGGATCATTAGCACTGATTTTTTTATTCAAAAATACATTTGGGAAGTAAAAATACAGTAGTTTTTTGTTATTATTTGTTTTGGAGTAAGAGTTCTTTCTAGGAATTTTGAACGAAAAATAATTATGATAAAACTTTTGGGAATAATTGTTGAAAAAACAACAATGTCTTTGTGGGAAATAGCGATTTTGAAGTACCTTAGTTTTTTGGGATTTTTGAGTTAAGATAACTTGCAATTTCTCTAAAACACGTTCTACATATTTTTGAAAGTAAAAAACACAGTTTCAGTGTCAAATTATCAATTTTTTGATAATTTTCTGATCAAAAAACTATCCTACATTTGTAACAGGATTGGTATTACAAACAAAGTTAGTCAATATCAAACTACAAAGTTCTCACAATTTTAGAAACGTTTTGCTGTTTGATTTTATTAGAAATTGTAGATTTCATCTCGATTCCTACATTCATTTTCACAATGAACCATTTTTGTTACAAATTTTCAGAAAATTAATGAAGTTTTTCAGTATTTCTGCCCACTCCTTTAATAATTAAAATTTTTTTCAGATCTAACTCATTCTCTGGGGTCACCCGTTCAACATCATCCAATCGTTTTACTCGACCAGAATACGGTTATGGTGGTGGTTACATGGCTCGTTCAGTCAACAAAGGCGGTAATTATTATTATTCATACCCTTCCAAAAACTGTGTGAACGTTGAAAGTGCTTTTTTGATTGTGCTAGTTGTCCTGATCAGTGTGATGGGTCTTTATTTTTGCGTATTTTTTATATGACCCCTTTTCTATTTTTCTAATTAATTTTTCCAAGATCAGGGATGATGTATATAATTTTGAAAAAAAAACATATGAATCGGGTTGTTGTATTGAAATGAAACATTTTTGTTTTGATGTTTATTATAATATACAACAAAAACAATGAAAACAGAAAAAACGATGGCCAATTTTTTTGATATGAGACCAGCTGTTCGAGAAAAACACCCACGTTTTTTTTCCAAGAGAGAAGATAGGTTACAACAACCCGATTCATTCATAAATATATGCAAATTATCTACTCACTAAAAAAGATTGTGTAAAAAACATAGCATTTTCAGGAAGCTCACTTTTCGGAAGAAGTTTGGCTGCTACTGCGCTCACCAAAACTCCACCATTCCACAATGTCGGAGTTCAACGTAGCACTCCACATTTCACTGATAAGTATGAATTTTTTTCTATAATTATTTGGGATTAAAAATAATTTTTTTCAGGTATCCTTATGTTAGATACAGTTATGGAAACACTGACACCGCTCTTGGAATTTTAACCCAATCGGAATCGGTAATTTTAATTTTTTGAATAATTATTTATCAAAAGCAAGCTGGAGATTTTCAGGTTTACAACAGACATGCTGGTGTTCGTGATATTGGAACAAAACGTTGGTTGGAGGGAAAATTGAACGCCTACAACACTTCGCTTTTCACTAGACCTGATTATCAAAAACGTGTTGAGAGACCATTGGCCCCATCAAGAAATTATGTTAGGTATGTTGAGAAAAATATGTGATTGATGTGAAATTGAAATAATGTAGTAATTATAAATTCCTGGAATTCCAATTTTCAAATTATTTTTGAAGATATATGCCAGTTGATGACGCTTTGGATATGTACAAAAAACGATGCATGACTGTTGGAACCTTGTCAAAATATTGGTTGTCCCCAGCTACCTGGACATCCAGACGTGAAAAAGAATTGAACCTTTCATCCTCTTTGAGCCGTGGAAATTACTCTTATTCAAGCAGATTTGACAGGTAAACATTTTTCTTTCGACCTACCAAAATAATTTCTGATTTCAGACTCGGAGGAAGAACTTTCTAAACACATCAATAAGGATTATCATAAATAAAATTCTAAAAATATAAAAAATAATTTTCCAATTATTCTTTCATTGCGAACAATGATTTTCGGCAATTTTTTGAGGCCTTGAAAATTGTTACATTAATTTTTTTTTTCATCAAATATGAGAAATAAACGATTCTAAAATTATTTTCGAACATTTGTGATTCATTTATTTTTGTTATTTTATGTGTGATCTGTGTTGCCTCTTTTATTTTTGGTTTTCATTTGTATCAAATGTGTTCGAATTTTTTTCTTCGATCATTTGAAATTTGGAAAATTTTATTTGTGTTAATGAATATGTAGAGTCCTAGTTAGCCATTTTGACGCAAGCTAAAACTTGAAGAAATTCAAATTCTATCGAAAAATTTCTATTGAACAAGATCAAAAAGTTTCAAAAAAACGAACAAAAAATGTGTTCAATGAACTCTCTTCTCTTTTTCTCTGCCAGTCTCCAATTTTTGTGCATTGTATATAAACGCTCTCTGTCTTTTTTCTATGAAGGGACATATTTGTTTTATTATTTTTTGGTTTGTTATTTTGTAGTGATCAGTGGTGCCAATTTTTAAAAAACTTTTATTTTTCAGTTAAACTTTGACAATGGTTGTCGGCGGCTCATTCACTCTCAATTCTGGACATGAAATCCCATTAGTCGGTCTCGGAATTTCTGGAATTCATGAAGAGCTTGGTGTTGCTGTTGAACAGGCTCTCCTTGCTGGATATCGTCTCTTCGACACGGCAAGAATTTACAACAATGAGGAGAGATTGGGACAGGTTTTGAAGGAAAAATTGGAAGCTTTGGGTATTAAGAGAGAAGAAGTTTTTATCACCACCAAAGTTCCAATTGTTAATGAGAACACTGTAGCTGAAGTTGAGAAGAGTATCACCGATTCTTTGCAACGTCTCCAAGTCGAGTGAGTTTTTTTAATGGTTTTTGGATGAAAACATTTTCAGAGGGCTCTTCTTCTGTTCCGCTCTCTGAAAATGAGTTTTTCAATGCTTAAATTTATTAATACGGCTTATGAAAAACCAACACATCCAAAAAAAAACTTTTGAAAAACCCGGAAAATTTTTGATATATTTTGGAACTGAAAATTGCAGTTTTTGTAAATGAAAAAATATAAAATGAACATCGAATATCATCTATGATATCATAATTAACTTGATTTTTGGAGAACTGGGTTCTTAATCAAATTTTCTTATCTCTGAATTTGCTCTGTTTTCAGATATCTCGACCTTGTCTTGATTCATTATCCTAAGGATCGTTTCACTGGAATTGATGGAGATCGCGAAGCCAACGTCAAAGCTAGAAAACTTGTCTATCAAAAACTAGAAGAATATGTCGATCAAGGTGTGATTCGCTCCATCGGAGTTGCTAATTACGAACCATATCATCTTCATGAGCTCTTCCAATTTGCTCGCATTAAGCCAAGTATCAATCAATTTGAATATCATCCATATCTCACGAAACCTCAGACCGTCGAAGTCACCAGACAATATGGAATTTTTCCACAGGTAAACTTTCAATTTTTCAAAAATTTAGACTGGTAACTGAACAAAATTTGTAGGCGTTCTCAAGCTTGTTGACTGGCAACAAAGAGATCTTCACTGAACCATTGATAATTGAACTTGCGAAAAAGTACGCTGTCTCGGAGCAAACGATTCTCTACGCTTTTGCGCTTAACACAAACCTTGGAATCATTCCGAAATCGGCAACTCCTTCAAGAATCATTTCGAATTTGAAAGATGTTATTGGTGTGAAGTTCACCGATAGTGAAATTGCACAACTCTTGGATTTGGATAGAAATGCTGCCTTTTCCGATTGCTCACCATGGAGAGTTCTTTAATTTTTTAATGATATTTATTCAAGCTAACTTCAATTTCAAACCTATCTTCTATTTAAATAAAATTGTCTATATATTTTGTAATTCAACCCAAAAAACAAGCGAATATTGATTAGTGAACTTTTTGACCGAGAGGAGCGTTTAGCACCTAACATCAGGTCACACAACATGTTAACAAAATTGTTTCTCTCTCTACGTCTCCACATCTTGCACACTATCTCGCTTTGTGCGATATTGTTTTCTTCTTCCCATTTATAAAGATGTTAGTTGTTGTCATAGTTCGCACAACTATTTAGCGTCTCTTTTATTTTGTGTGTTTGTTTTTAATTTTTAAATTTATTTATTGAATAAATCAAGAGTTTCAGAAGTTGGAAAATGGTTGTTGGTGGAACTCGCAAACTGAATTCAGGATATGAAATTCCATTGATTGGAATGGGATGCTCGAGAAACATCGAACAGCTAGATTCCAGTGTAGAAGCCGCTTTGAAGTCGGGTTATAGACTTTTCGATACAGCTAGGATTTATAATAACGAGAAGGAGTTAGGGGAATCATTGAAGGTTAGTGTTTTTTTCTTAAAGAATACAAGAAAATGATGTGAGCCTATTAAAAATAGGCACTATTATTATGAAAAAGTTCTTAAAATTAACTGTCGAAATTAAATTCACAATTTTTTTTGACATTTTCAAATTAAAATTCTCAAATTCAGACACACCTCGAAGCATTGAACATCAAGCGAGAAGACATCTTCATCACCACCAAGGTTCCAACCATCAACGATAGTCCAGCTGCATCAGTAGACAAACATATTGCAGATTCACTAAACCGGCTGCAAGTTGAGTAAGTTAACTTGAAAATGTGCTTCACAACATTCTTTTGCATAATATTTTCATTTCTAGCTACATCGATCTTGTTCTCATCCATTATCCAAGAGATCGTGACACCGGAATCGACAGTGAGAAGGAAGTCAATGTTCGAGGAAGAAAAGAGGTCTATCAAAAACTCGAAGAATATGTCGATCGTGGAATTATTCGATCGATTGGTGTTTCGAATTATGAACCTTATCATCTTCATGAGCTTTTACAATATGCTCGAGTTAAGCCAAGCGTCAATCAAATCGAATATCAACCATATTGCACGAAACCACAAGTTGTTGAGATCTGCAACCAAAACAACATTTTCGTTCAAGTGAGTTTTTTAATTGTGTGAACTTATCTATTTTCAATAACATTTCAGGCCTACTCAAGTCTTTGTTGGGGAAATCAAGAAGTTTTAAATGAGCCGATCATTGCCGAGCTTGCCAAAAATCACAATGTTTCACCACAGGTACTATTGTTTTGTTTTTCTTGTAAAATTTTAATAAATAACACTTTTCAGACAATTTTGTACGCGTTCGCCGTCAATTCTGGTGTTGGAATTATTCCAAAATCAGCAACTCCTTCTAGAATTTCTGACAATTTGAATTTGGTCGCAAGCATCAAGTTGACCGAATCGGAGTTGAAACAGATTTTGGATTTGGATAGAAATCAGCAATTCTGCCCAAGATGTTACCCATGGAGAGTTCTTTAAACTTTTTATTAAAATTTATTCAGATTTTGTTATGTAATGAATGATTCAAGAAAAAGTATCTTGAGTGAAAACATGTATTATGTATTTAACAGAAATTAAACTTGAAATATGACATGGAAAAGTTAGACTAAAACTATTGAAAACCAGAAGTATTGCAAAATTCAAAAAAATATCATTAAATCAATAACATGAATTCGTTAAAACTATTTGATAAGTCATCTGGTAAATCAAATAACTTCCAAGTTTCAGAACTTCATCCGTCAGACTTTTAAAAAATTGTTAAGTGTCGAAAAAACCTTTTCTCAGTTTTCTAGTTGACTTTTCCGATTTCTAGTGTTTTCTGACCCCGGTTTTTCAATTTCTGATGTGTTCATAGAACAGATTCAAAACTCTCAATAACTCTCGTCATCTCCTAGCTTGGAAGTTTTCTACCAAATGTCAAAACACAATAATGTATTTTCACATAAATCTGGGAAAATCTTTTATAACAAATATCACTTTCAAATCTCTACTAAAAAATAAATAAGAATAAATACTTTATTGACATTCACAATCAGGTTTTTTACAAGCTAATCACAGGTTTGTTTTTTTCTTGAATAATTCAAGTCAAGTGCATAAAAATTTGGAATGCTCATTAACAAAATTATTTTTACAAAGCTTCTTTATTTGGAAGTGGAGCGGCTTGTTGTTGTGGTGGTTGTTGCGAATATGCAGGTGGAACCACGTTTGGATTATATCCAGGTTGTGTTGCTTGTGGAACATTAACATATGCTGGTGGAGCTGGAACAGTTCCAACAGCTTGGAATTGCCCTGATGGATATGGTGTTGTTTGTCCAATTCCTGGATATGGCGGAGGAATGTCATAGATGTAGACATTTCCAGCTGGTGGTTGTTCTGGGAACACATTTGTTGGCGCTTGGAATCCTTGATAAGCTCCTTGTTGCGCATAATAATAAGTTGGAGCAGCTTGATAATATGTTTGTTGTTGTGGTTCTGGAATCAATGCACCATACGCTGGCGGTGCTGAGAATGGTCGAGAACGTGATGCAAGATCAGCGGCACGCAACAATGCTTGACCGAATTCGATACATCCACCCTTTGGGAATGATAATCTCCATTCTGGGCAACCATCGAAATTTCCGCCGGGGATTGGTTGAACCCATCCTTTGAGATAGTTTGGAGCGAGAAGGGGTTGCTCGAGTTTAACATCACGGAAACTGTGGAATGGCATAGCGAATGATTTGAAGTCGTCTTTTTTGGATGAATTCATGAAGATGATCTGAAAAAGATGAATATGGTCTGCAATTTTGAACTCTATCCAAAATTAGGTTGAAATCTTCTCAGACTTTCACTAATCTTTACTGAAATTTGGGACTCATTTTCATAAAAATAAAAAAAAACAATTTGACTCTTCAAAATAAAATTATTCAATTTCTTTTAGTTTTTTTTTCATTTTGATCAAACTATAATTTTTAGGTATTCTTTTTCGGTTTTCGGTACCCCCGCACTTTAATAAGAAATATGAGATTATTTTGTAAACATATTATCGGAGAAAAATGAAACGTGATATCCCAATTTCCAATTTGAATTGTTTTTTCAGCACCAAAAGTATATATTTTTCAGACTCACTCTGTGTGATGTAAGATATAGAGCACCGGATTTTGTAGATTTGAACGATTTCACATCATATTTTTCAAACTTCAATTTCACGTCGGTGATGTAGAGAAGGATCCTGAAAATATGATATCATAAGTATTGCGAAATTTTCTTCATTTTTTCACACTTAAAAAACAACTGAAATAAACACTAACATTTCTCCATTGTAGATCAAAACTCCATTTCCGTCTGGTGTATGTGATGTGTTTAGTGACATTTTCTGAAAATTTTAATTCAAAATAAAATTTTGAACACGGAACTAAAATAAACCATCAACGAAAAAATAAATCAAGAATGAATCACGAAAAAAATGAGAAGAGAGAAAGAAATCGGTCGATAATGATTTCGAAATACCTTTAAGATAAGCGAGACGAGAAAGAAAAAATGAATAAATAAAAAAAATTGCCATGCAATGCACCTGACTCATTTCTCACAGGGACGGAAATAAACAAAGAATGGTGTCATCGAGCGGAGTGTTGTTTGGAATAATAATATTTTTGATGTATTTTGAAAGATTTTGTAGATCTTAATGGAAGAAGAAGAAATGACGAATTGCAAACAGAAATCCGGAAAAGTTGTTTTTCACAAATGTAATATTTTTGGTGTTGAGAAAAATCCTGAAAACAGCTTTGTCGTTTTTATTGGAATTGAAAATTAGATCCATCAGAACATTAGATTTTATTTGATTAACTGAAAAAATTTTTTTGTAAAAAATGTTTTTTTTGAAAAATTTCATAAAAAGTGTGTCTCAAAAAATTCCGTACGGTTTTGGATATGGCTTTGTTTCAGATAAGGTGAATCAGGTCAAACTTGTATCCAGCACTTACTATCATCTAAAAATCAAAAATAAAGAGAGCTAGAAATATTCGAAAGCAAAAAATTAATTTTTCGCATTCATTTTTAAAGTTCAATATCTGCTAATCTGAATTAAGAGAATTCTAGCATGATGTTAAATTTTATTTTCAAGTCCCCTGTTTGAAAAAAGTTAGTTTTTTTTTAAGCCTTTTCTACTTCTGTTTACATTGAAAAAAAAAATATCCACGTCATCAGCTTTGAAAAGTATAAACTGATGAAACTACAGTACTTGAAAAACAAGAAAATAATTTTGACGTAACTAAACTTTGTATCGTCGTGGATTTTTTGAATAACAAATTCATTTTTACGATTTCTTTCAGGCTTCTCAATTTCAGTTATTACTGTGATCGATAGTTCAAGCATATTTTGAATATGAATTTCCTAGACTGACATTTTAGCAAAGTTCAACACATAACAATTCTATGTATTCCCCTTGAAAATTAATTTCCTCCAACTATTGATATAAAAGATATATTCTTTCTAGCTACAAAAAAGCTACAAAATTCATAATTATGTCCATTTCTTTTTCTATTCGGTTTTTCTCGAGATTTCTGAAAAAAAAAACACATTTACTCTCGACTCTTATTTAATTTTGTTTTGTACAAGATAGGCTTTATTTAATATCCGGCATAAAATAAAATGAAATTTAATCGTCTCTGAATATCTTGTACTTTTGTTTATTATGTTTTTCTCGTTATCCAACAAAAACCAACCAAATAAGAGGGAAAATCTGCTCAAGAATTTCAGAGCAGAGTATGTCTTGAAGTATGTACATGTTTATTTTTGGGAAAGGAGTACACAAGTGCGAACTTATGAATTAGTTATAACTATTCTTTTGTTTTAGCGCGTATCAATAAGATTCCAGTTCCAGCTTTTTTTGTTTCCAGGAAGAACTAGTTCCTAGTTTTTTTCTTTACGCAATTTCCGTTGTTTTGCTTCCGAGTTCAATTGTTTTTTGATGAAATGAAATGAGTTATGCATTAAAAAAACACATCCTATGAAAAAGATAAATAAATTTATTTTCATTTTGAAATTTCTCTTTTTTGTATTTGAAAACGAATCAGAACGATAAATAACCCTAAAATCAATTTGCGTATTTTTATTTTTCGACCCTAAATCCAATTTCATTCCATACAATTTCTATTCAAAAAAATATTACGATTTATTTGTTTTTCTATCTTTTTTTTTGAAAATCCCTAGAAAAATTGTTGCGCAAACTCCGACAATCAAAAGCAATTTACATTTTTTAACCTTTTTTGAGTTTACTTTCTCTAACAAAAGTCTAACTTTGAGAAATGGATAGAAAAAAGTAATTTATGTTACACAATCGAATTCGTAGTAGCCTTTTTTGTAATCCCAAATTTCCCTCAAAAGAATTGAATTGTTTTTATGTTTTTTTTTCTAGATGAAATCATATCATTTATCATAAGTAGATAATTAATTTGTTTTTCTTACTTTTTTCTTGTGCTTGCCAACGTTTTTTTCAAATTTGCGAATGAAAAGCTCATAAATCAGATGATATCATTGTACTGCATATATATGTGAGTATGTGCTAATCAACATGCAACATCTTGAAATTATCCAAGCGTGACAATCCAATTGTTCATTTATTCACCTAAATTTCGTTATTCATTTGCCGGTTTTTCAGCAGAAAGTTTAATTTGTCTGAAGCATCGTAAAATGTCTGAAAATTATAGGAAATACGCTCGATTAGTAAATTTTGGAGAACATTATTTTTAATCCAGCTGAAAATTTCATAGACTACTTGGACAAGTTAGTCAATGTCTGGAAACTCAAAAAATAGGTTTCCAAATTTTTATAAAAACAACTGATATTAAGAGAATGTGAAAATAGCATGATTAACTTTCACAGGGGAACATGAATTTCGATCATTTTTCAAAAAAAAAACTTTCTCTTCAATTTGATAGATGTATTTTTCAATTTCTTATCTGATATTTTTTCAGTTCCAAAAAATAATTTTTGTAATTAAATAAATCTAAAAAATCAATTGATTCTTCTTGAAATACCACTTCCCTTATGTGTATTATTGAAAGCTTTGAAAGAAACTGACACATTTTCAATAAAACTTTCAAAATCCGAGTTTTCTTTATTGAAAAAATGTTTCTCAATGTTATATTTCTGAAAACACTTTGTGTTATTATTTTAAAATCATTTCCATTCTAAAAATATCTATGATTCTTTGAAACACAGTACCACTCCAAATCACTCGAATTATACCAAAAAAAAATGTGTTCTGATTTTCTCAACATTTCCAATTTTCCAAAAATAAACTATTTTCTATCATGAAAAAATGACAATTCCGAAAACACGGAGTTCTCCATAATTTTGAATATTCGTCAAAGAATGCTTGATCTTAAATATTTAAAATGTTATTTTTCATCTATTAATCATATATCTCATACATAAATAATCGGATCATTCTAAAAATGTCTTTTTATCTCCCAATTTTTTTTTGATTTTTGTTTTTGTAGCAACTTTTTTTGCAACCAACCAGACGTGTTTTAAGAGGATTCTTTCAGGATCTTTGATTTTTCTTATCATTCTTTATTTGATTTTTTTGATTTATATTGTTTTATTTGATTGATAGTTTTGATTATAAGTTGGCCAAATTTTTTTTCGGGAAAAAAGTTCGGCAAAAGTGCATTGTGTCATTTGATTATAATTGTCTATGTCTATCAAATATTCCACATATTGAAAAAAAAACAACATTTTGGAAGCAGATCAAGAAAATCGGATAATCCCTAAAAATATAGAAATGTCGAGATTATTCTAGTCATCTATTCATTCGACCGATTTCAGATGTTTTTCCCAATTTTTTGTCTATTTGTATTTGTTCACGATGTTTGAATCGGAGCAATTTCGAAAATTAATAAAAACAAAAAAATATTTGGTTTTTAGCATTATTAAAAAATAACCAACGGATATTTTTAGGTGGATGAGGTGGGATGGGATGGGTTTTTGAACTCTAAACTCTGATGTGTTTTTTTTTTCAGAGGATAGTGAGGTTTGAGAAAATATAAAATTGTGTTGAATATTATTTGATGAACTTCGTTTTGACAATATAACTCATTAATTTCCACTCGATCGGTTATAGACTTTTTGTAACATAGAACATTCTCATTTTTTGTAAGGAAGCAATTTTTTTTTTCGAAAAACTACGTATCATTTAGAAGACCTTGATGGTCTGTTTTTCAAATATCAAAATTAGCAAATTCAAAAATCTTTTTGAAAAAATGAGTGTTTATGTTGGCTTCAACCGTGTGTTTTTCTGCAAATATGAATCAGAAACTGTGAAACCAAACTACATTCAAAAACATTCTGGTTTTGCCTATTTTTTGTTCTGATCAATTTTGAAAACTTCATGAGATTTTTATGTGGTTTTTTCTGAAAATGTTTGTAAGAGAACTTGGTTACCGTGGTCGTTAAATTTGTCGAATTTTTTGAGACTTGGTATTTCATAGTTTCATAGTTTCCTGACTATAGTTTTTGCATTTTCATTACTTTTTCTCATAAAAAATCTAGTTTACTGTAGACTGATGGATAGTTTTTCATAAATGATCTCTGATATTAAATAAACTACATTCAAAATTATTGTGGGTTGGGTTTTTTTTTCGAAAAATTTTTTTTAAATGAAACATTTCGTCAGTTATGACTTTTAAATTGTTCAATTCAATGAAACTTTACTGTAGTTTTCATTTCTTCGGCTAAATTTTTCAAAATTTTGTTTTGAAAACTATGCTTTCGGTGATCGATTAAAGGTTCTAGATTAAACATAAATATGCGATGGGATTTAGTTTTAGAACTGCTTCTTGATCTTTTCAAAAATGTTTTTTTTTTATTTATCACGTCTTCTGAAATCAAAGATTTGAATATATCTACCTTGTACTCCTAGTCCGTTTTTCTGCATTGGTAAAAAGAGTGTTCCTGAATATATCTTGTATATCTGACACCGTCCCAAATTAATCGAAATTTGCTGATTCAATTTGATCAAACTAGATTCATCTTCAGAAAGCACATTTTCGCAATCCCCTAATTTGTCTTTCATGTTATGTTTTCCGATATCTTGTCACTTTTCCGCTCGTAAAAATTGCAACAAATGATTAATGTGACTATTGCATATTCAATTTCCAGCCATCTTTCATCAAAATATTAATCAATCTTTTTTTGCTCCATCAACTATTCCTCCTCCTAGGGATTTTGTGACCCCAAAAATCCTTTCAAAAATATTAAAACATGGCGAGGTTATGATTAATTTACCACTTTCGCGCGCTCTCTTGAAGACATTTTTTTGAAGAGAAAAAACGTGTGTTGAGTAAAGTAAAAACTAGAACGTCATTAACTGGCGTGACTGCAAAAAAGCAGCAGCAAAAACAAATTGAACATATATTAAATAACTAGCATAAATTTTGATTATTCATCAAATTATTTCGCATCACTTCACCTTTTCTGTGTATTTGGCGGTGGAGGGAGGAAAAAGATTGCTGTAAGCTGAAAGAGTTGGCAAAAAAAGAAGCGAAAAAAACGTCTGACTTCTTTGCGTGTGTTGCTCTTTTTAGCTCAAGTTTTGAGTATATAAACGAGGAGACAACTTGAGAAGACATCTTCATTCGATTGGTATCAGAAATATTTTCTAAATATTCTATTTATTTTGAATCAAGGAGGAAGCGAGATTTTTTTCCTAGAACACAACATTTTTACATTCTCAATTACTACGTTTTCTGCTTTGCTTTATTCACGCTCGTTTTCGTCTGTCTGAAAAAAGGGGGACGACGACGTTGCGTTTTTCCTCTCCTCCTATTTTTTTCGAGAAAACAAACAAACCATCCATCCATCCATTCATACACATCCATCTATTCAACCAAAGAGAGACCTTATTCTTTCTGTTTGATTCAACTCAACCTCCTCGATTATTTTGACTTCTTGACTAGCGATTTTCTATCCATCCATCCATCCATTCAGAAATGCAAGAGATTTTTGTGTCGCGTGAATATTTTGAGGTTGGTTTTTGACTGGGTGGGATATTTCTTTTTGTCTATTTCTAGACAGGAAATTGTGGAGATCAAATAGCCGACTATTCGGTTTCCTGTATAATTTTTGGTTTAATGATCGAATTAAAGTTTTATTAGAGTGTTCCTCGAATCAAAATGTGAGATCACAAAAGATTTCGTCGATGATTTGTGGTTCTCGGAAAAAGATTATGGCTTTAGAAATGTAAAAATTATTTTGAGATGATTGCTTTTAATGAAACCATTTAGTTTGGTCATTTAAATTTTTATTTTCTAATTTAAAATATTCTTTACAATAAACTTAACTTATTAACTTATTCTCCTTGATTTTATTATTTTGAAAGTGCAATTTTGAGTTATTGTTATTAACAGTTTCTATCTCACTGAAATTAACTCATTTGGTTTGTTTATTTTTTAAGTTATTTTATTTACTTTTCTTGAACTTTCAATTGATGACTTTTAATTTGACTCATATACGGTATGAAATAACTTCAAAAAATCTTTTATGTCTTCCGAATTACTTTAAATTTGTTTGTGATTTTGAGCTAAGACATTATTAGCAAAGTTCTCAATGTTTGTCTTCAATTTGCCTTTAGAACTTTCTAACTTGCAAATCACATTCATCATTTAAAAGTATTTTGGAAGTTCTTTCTGGAAATCCATCCAGGAAAACATTTTGAAAGTACTCCAATTTTGCATTTTGCATTTCCAGGTTGTTTTGGCGTCAAAAATCTATATATACTGTACTTTGAGTTTTCCGTGAAAAGCAATTCTGAACACTAAACACCAAAGTTCCGTCTGAAAAATTATCTTATCAACAATATTTTTATTCGTGTTTTTTTTCTGGTAACTGTCTGTCGATCATTAGCTTTTCTCATTTTCCCCTTTTCTCAAACTAATTGACCCTAAAAACAAAAATGACGTAGGTTTCTGAAAATGAACTTTTTTCACGTCATCGAGCCATTCTAGACAATAAAAAAGTATATGAGAATCTCAAATATCAAGCAAATTTTTTATATAGAAAATACTTCCTTTCTAATATATTCAAAAATTTGTTGGTTCGAGATTAAAAATGAATATCTTCCCAGAAAAAGGCATGTGTTTTTTTTTAGAAAAAAAGGTTGGGCTGTAGAGAAAAACAAGATCAGTAAGGGGTTAACTAGATTATTGTTTTGTTATTTTTATTGTTATTTTTTCTCAATTTTCATGCGATCTGAAATTTTCAGTTTTTGTTTTACCAACTGTTCAAATAGCCCTAGGGTTCTTTAAGAAAAAGAAAAACAAGAAAATTGAAGTTCGCAACATTTTCCGCCGCTAAATTTGATTTCCTTTAAATCAAGCTTACTCATAAAATCTAACCAAGAAAAAACACTTTTTTGAAACATCATAAAAAAAAGTTATCACGCTAACCTCATTTCTTCGAAATAAATAATGAATCCATCTTTCTTCCAGGAAGCAAAATTTTTAACAAAGTTCACCTGTTCATATTTATATAACGACAAAAAAGATAATTCGATTTATGTTGTTTTTCCAGGCTCAAGAGGTACCCCCTCAAGTATTTTTCCAATAATTTTTGATCCAGTATTTTACTTATTTATTTTTAGAAAAAAAGTTGAAGAGAAAAAACCATCTACAGTGACGTAAATAGTAGATAAAACTATTTTCTCGGTAATTTTGGCAATTTGTGCGGTAAAAAACGGACGGGATAAACGAAGCCTATTATTTCATGTAAGATCGTTTCACTTATGTGTATACTGCGAAAAAATTACTCCTAGTCAAAAATATTATTTTTTCTCGCATTTTTTTTCGAAGACGACATGAATAATGATACCGAGGTAATTTTTCCAGAAATCAACACTAATTTATTCAAGTTTTGTTTTTGATTTTTGTTAGATAAAAAAGTGAATAGGAAAAAATGGCTATCTTTTGTCTTTCTCTTCTTTTTTCTTCAATTTATTTTCTTACCTATCTTCTTTTTTCCAATTGTCGAATCACCGAAATTGAAAGATGTAACGTGTGCGCCCGGTTAGCTCAGTCGGTAGAGCACCAGACTCTTAATCTGGCTGTCGCGGGTTCGAGCCCCGCATCGGGCTGATGCAAAACTTTTTTCGTTTTTTACGAAACTTTATTTTGGAAGAAGAGAAAGAAAACATTCGGTACGCATGTGGAATACAAATTTAGTGGGAATTAATCTAATTAAAACTACAATTCTCCTTAGAAACCAAACCAGAAAGTTTTCTGAATAATTTTTCTGTGAATGAGTAGTTTTTCAAGTGCTCTTTTTTTCGATGGCGTATCGGATTTTCAGATGTTGAAATTTCCTGGAAAACGTTCCCATTTTTTTCAAAAAGCAATCAAAAGCTTTTCAAAAAATGAAGGTTTTCCAAGTGTTAAACTTTTTGAATCGCATAATAACCATTTTTGAAAAATTATCTCAGATATATTCCAAATCTCTCGAAAAAATATGATTTTTTTGATCTACCGAATTGAAAATCCAATTCTCGAAAAAAGGCACTTCAAAAAGTCTTAATTTTTGCAAAGAGGAACTGCACTGTAATCCAGCAGAAATTTTACTTGTCTCCTGCAAAAATTTGAAATGTTTGAAAATTTCTGATGTTTTGCACTAACTCTAGATATTTTTTTTGATCTTTTGAGTTTAACATATCATTCAAAAATGTCTTCTTGAATGAAATTATCTGACGTTCTGAGAGTATATAAATACGAATTTTCGGAAATCGCATTTTCTCGGCATTCACAATGAAAAACACACCTTTAATACAATCTCAATATCAGTTGATTGAATATTCTTTGGTTAACCAGGTGTGTTATGATTTTTGTGCCAAAAAATTATATTGTTACGGCGAAAGAAAATAAAGCACATTTCATTCTTGAATTTGTTTCGCTAATAATTAAATTTTCTTCAGAAAACGTTAATTTTTGCCGTCGTTTCGTTTTCTTCAATGTGTACTTCCGCATTTTTTGTTTTCTTTTTGTTTCCAGACAAGAGCAAAATATGTATCTAGGTTCAACCCTTATTATTTTTCATTTTATTTTTTAGATTCTATACAAATTGAATATCCTTCAGTTGATGTAATTATGACTCACATTTTTTTCATATTTTACTTTATTTTTTCTAGGAAATTTCGTGTTTTTGTTTACCTCGAAAAAATTGGATTTTTTTTTCGTTTTCTTATTCCATCACAAAAATTAGTTCAGGGTTAGAAAAGAAACTAATTATAGAATATGGAAATTCCAAAAAAAAATTATTTTTGTTGGTTTCATTTTTTTCTACATGTTCATGTTCATTTTCTATTTACGTAACATGTTACTCATCAAGGATTTATGACAGAGAAAGAGAAAAATTAAAATCTATTCAACTGCAAAAAATATATAACATTTTTTTTAGTATTTTTTTTTCATTTAGCAGCTGACAGGTTCATCATTACATTTGAAACACTTTTTTTTTTGCCACTCGTCATTTCTTTTGAATTTCAATTCTTTTTTTTTCATCTTCTTTGTTTTTGTTTGTTTTTCTTTCAGCCATCTCAAGATCCTACGATTCTAATTTAAGGTTCAAAACTTTTTTGATCTTCACATATATTTTCAAAATTGCCTAACAAACAAAAACAATGACAAATTTTCGAAAAAAAAAAATTCTTTGTAGTTTGAATTATTGCTGCAATTGACAAGAGACAGAAAATTTTGCAAGGTTTTAGTACCTGAATCTATTTATTTTTTATTTATCTAGCTCATTTTTGCAAGCAAAACACACTCATCACTTACTTATCCAAAACCCGCGGTTTTGTGAAAAACATTTTCGAAAATCCGATTTACTAAAATTTCTCACGTTTTGTTTTGTTTTTGAAACAGAACCCTTTAGTACCTTCTGGCTACTTGGGAAACTTCCGCAATTGTTTTGGGTTTCTAATGTGAATTTTTTTGCATCCTCTAGTTATATCAATTGTTTTAAATATTTCTAATACCTTCGTCATCATTGAACAGAAAATGAAACTTCTGCGCATCAAAAAATGGACTTCGACATTGACCAAGCTAATCCCCTTGTTCAATTTTAATGAACTTTTGAAGCCATCTAGACAGTGTTTGTTGTGTCACGAGGTTAAAAAAAAGTTCATTTTTTCTATGAAAGTTATTTGTAACTTTATTGGATACAAAATTCCAAAAAAATATATCCAAACCCCTTTTTTTAAACCACAGTTTTCAAACTACTGTACTATAATTTCTAGAATTCTGCACGGGTTTCGTATCTTTCGTATCTTTCAATCTCAAACTTTTCACCGATATATAATATTTTCCCATTTCTGTACCTTATTTACACCACTACCACCAATTCCAAAACTTCAGCACCAATTCAAAATCAGAAATCATCATGACCTCATCCAGCTTGCACTTTTTCCTTTAGACTAGACAAATTCAAATTTTTCACGCACTTTCGATGGTCATTTGAATAATTATGAATTCACTCATCTTACTAATTCAAGATACCAATTTGCATCAACTAGATTATATCAGATCAGAACAAAACGGAAATTTGACGCACCGTGATTCGAAAATCCTCTTTTTTTTCAGTTAGTAAGTCGGTCAGAACAAAAAAATGAAAAATAAATAAAAAATGAGTATTTTGGACCCGCCTCCTTTTTATCCCTTCTTACTACGATTATTAGAAATCTCAAATATTCTTTGTTCGACAATACGTTTTTTGCTGTGCCAAAACACTTTACCTAAAAAAAGAACACCTCTCTCTTGGGAGTGATCCATATAATAATAATGGTGAAAACTTTTTCCAAAAAAGGAAGACTTTTTTATTTATTTATTTTTTCTTTTTATTCCTGCTAAAAAAGAATAAAAAAGAAGCAAAAAAACCTATTCATCCATCGTTTTTCGGACCGCTAAAAAACGGCTTTCTTTATTCCTTCTCTCTGAACCTTGATGCTGCGCCTCGTCTTTGTCTATTTTTACTACTATACATACCATTGCAATTAATTTATTGTGCACAACATTTTTCATTTAGTTTTTTTTACGTCTTCTGTTATTGCTTCCTTCTTGTTTTGCATCATACCTTTCCTTTCTAGATTTTTCCGTTTCACATTAGTCATTTTTGGGGAAAGGTGGGAACTTTTTTGCTACATTTTTCCTTTTTTGATCCATAATTTTTATTGCGTAAATAGCTTTTTTCTATTTTATTATTCAGAATCAGAATTATTCGGAGACTAGATAAAAACAAGTTCCTCTATCTCAAAAATCAGAAACTTTGGCCTTTGTGCAAAAACAAACAAAACATCCTAATTTGATATTTTTTCACACATTTTCAGTATTTATCCGTTTTGCATTCATTCCAAAACACAACATTTTTTTCGGCAAAGTGGTCATATATGGGACCAATGAATGAATATTTTTTAGGACATCCATCTCCAAATTCTTTTTGTTTTTCTTTTTTTCTGTTTACCACAAAATTGCAAGACGACCTCTTTCCAATTTTAGGATAATCAACCTGCACTTTTTTCTAATTTTATATCCATTCATTTTGCCAATGAACATACCTTATTTACTATGCATAAGTTACTCATCAAGTAATACTTTGTTACTCTCAAAAATTAGTTCTTCTAAAAGTGCATTTTCCAACTTCTCCGTTTTTTTATGTATAAATTTCCAGAGGCTAATTATTGTTTGCCTTTCCGTGTACTTTAAAGGCTCCGCAAAAACAATGAAATTGAAAAAAGAAGGGAATTCTTCTTTTCATTTTATTGCATTTTTCCAACAAAATAAGTATATCTGATTACAACTATTTTTATTCTAATTTTTCATTTTCAATTTCTCTTGTTTTTTTCTGTCCAAAAATCACTGGATTTTCCTTGTGTGTCAGTTTTTAATTGCTCGATTCCTCTTTTTTTCCGAGCGCGCGCACATCTTTTCGACATCATCATTCAATCTGATTCAATTTTTTCTTGACCTTTCTTTTTTTTCGTTGGATAGATGAAAAAATGTACGAAAAATTTTAGAAAAATATATTTATATTTTTGATTGGACCTAAAATATTCAAAATATTAATCCAAAAACTTTCAGCATGCGATGAGTGATTCTTCGCAACATCTTCGTCTCGCTTTGACGGTCACTCATTTGATGCTCGTTGCTTTGGGCTCAGTTAATTTAATTGTTATTCTACTAATTATCACAAGACCGTAAGTTAAAAATGTTCTGCATCTAAAACCCTAAACTTAACATTTTTAGGTATCTCCGATCTATCACAAATGTGTATATGATTGGACTCTGCCTAGCAGATTTCATCTATTTAGCAGACCTTGTTTTGGTCGCAGCCACATCATTGAATGGTAAAAGTTGGCCATTTGGTGATACATTGTGTCATATTTTCCACGGGACCGAAGCTACTGGAAAATATGCATCGGTTTTATTTGTTGTTCTTCTTGCTGCGGATCGTTATATTGCAATGTGTAAAACTGATCTCTGTGGGCGTTACAGGTAAATACTAAACTTTGAGAATTCAGGTTCAAAATCTCAAGGCCGTGTGTTCCCCATCAATAAAAATACAAACGTAAAATCTAAACCAAAACAATAATCCCTTATTAATCACATGGTCAAATGTCTTATTCCAGAACGTATCGCACAGCTATCCTATTATCTGGTTTAGCATGGATTGCTGCGGTTATTTGTAGTATGCCATTATACGTCTATGCTGACGCGATTAAAGTCCGACTTCGAACTCGTAATGAGACCGATGAAAATAGCAGTACCACTCTGTGTATTGCTCATTGGCCGAGTCCACCGCACGCTCAATGGTATATCTCAATTTGCTCGATTATGATTTTTATTCTTCCCGGTTTGGTCATTTTCTATTGTTATTATCACGTGTTTTGCAAGTTGAGAGAGGCTGCAAAGGTATGATTTGTGTGTAAACAAATTTTTCTCAGGTCTTGAATCATGATGGGAAAAAAAAGTCGTTGCAGAAATAATTCGAAAAATTTTTTCAGGGTTCTCGCCGTTTACATCGCAACAAAACGCGGTCATCGTATCAACGTGTAACTCGAAGTGTACAACGTGTTGTTTTGTTTCATTTGCTATGCTGGTCACCATTTTGGTTGTTCAACTTGTTCTCGGCGATTTTCCGAGTTCGTATAACTACCCAACTCATGAGAATCGTTGTTAATATCATTCACTTGTTCCCATATGTTAATTGTGCATTAAACCCGGTACTCTATGCTTATCGTGCTGAAAATTTCCGTATTGCATTCAAATCTCTACTTTTCTGGAGCAGAAGGTTTGTAGTTCAATCATTGAACACTAATTAATTAGTTGAGATGTACGAATTAATTAGTTGAAATTGCGTAGGCATATGTACACAAAATGTATCATCATTCATCCTTCTTTCAGAAATCGACCACTTCCGATGCCGGAAGATATGAGAAGTACAACACATAGCACTTATTATAAAAGTAGTGGAAAGTAGGTTTTATAATTAATCTCGGAATGAAAAATAATATTCATTTATTTAAATTTTAGTGGGGATGGCTCACAATTATCAATAAAAGCTCAAAAAGAAGCACAATCCGTATATCAACCAGAAGAAGAGAGTCCAATTGAGATTGCAGATCAAGAAGAACTTGAAAGGTCAGTGACCTTTTTAGAATGATAATTAGCTAAAGTAACATTTTTCTAGGAAACGAGCTGAATTATCGAGTTGGCGACCTTATGATGGTACAAATTCGGAAGTTTTAGAAGTGCATTTTGATCATCATAAATGCTCCGCTAGAAGTATATTGCTTCCAACAAATTTGGACATTGATGAAGGAACAAAATTGTGAAACGTGTGATTTTTCGCATTTTTTTTATTTTCAAATGAGCTTGAAATTATTGAAATTGAGAATTGAAAAGTTGTGTAGTAAACGGGTCGCTTTCATATGTATTTTTTCCTGATATTTTTTTACAAACACGTCTTATGTTAAAATATTTTATTGTCTTTTCGTTGATGAATAAATAGCATTTGAAAAAATAAAAGAAGAAAAAGAAGTTCATGATTTCCATAATTTGTTTAGGACTTGCAACAAAGTGAATTAGGAGATGCGGGGTCCTGCAATCAAATAAGCTTTCTTTTTTCCTTTTTTCAGGATAGATCAAGAATGAAAGAGGAAAAAAGAGAAATTTGTGTTCTTTTTTTTAGCAGGAAAGAAAAAAAGAGAAGTAGATAAAATTTGATTTTGAAAGAACGAAATGAAATTGAATCAAAAACTAGACTCACACTTCCCTTTGTAAAATCTGTACTACTTTTTTGACATGTTGAACCGGATGGACAACCATCATCTCCATCAGCGGGATCACAAAGAATTGGCAAACCCGAATATGAACCAGATGAACATTCTGTAAATTTTCACACGGTTGACTTATTCATCACCTCATCATCATTGCATGATCTTCTACGATACAATTTGAAAATTCTCACTGTGTGAAAAAAGACTTGATGAATCACATTTTTTGGAAATCCAAAAGTGAACGTTTCATGGTTATTAGAAGTGAAAAAGGGAACTGTGACTCTAAAGGCAAGGGATTTTTGAAACAAAATGAGATGTTTTTATTGACACTTTTAAAAATTGAAATTATAATTTTCAGTTTCTGAAAATGTTTATTGAAAAATCATTAGCTTTTTTCTATTATTATTCAAATCTCAAAAATCAAGGACCCTTTCATTAACATAAATAAGAAAATACTGAACTCTGATTATTTTATTCAGAGCTCAAAGTATGAGTAATAAAAATTCTCAATGTCAGAAGTTTCTCGTGTCACTAAAATATTTAAGAATAAAAAGCCCCAAATATAATACTTTTCAAAATCACAAATGATCAATTTAATTACTAATTATCATCCCAGAAGTTAACCCACTTGGTGAAATAGTTCCAGGTTTCGGTTTGCAACAAACTCTACTTCCACTATTAATGTCCATAACACAAGCGGAACCACCACAATCCGCATCACTTGAACAAGGCCCGGTTGCCGTCAAAAACGGAAAATAACAATCAGCAGCTTAAAAATTGGATTTGAATCATGCATAACTATGTTTTCATTAAAAACTTACCAATAACCGCAATAAAAGCCGAGAGAAAAATCAGAGAAGTGTTCATTTTTTTGTTGATAGTTTCAGTTGAAAATTCCGAGACTTTTATAGAAGGTTTATTTGCACAGGTTGTCCGACAATTTTTGTGTACATTTTGTTTATGAGCTTTTTTGTCGTTTTTGATATTTTGAGATGGATAGAATGAAAAAGGTTAACATCAATATTTTTGTTGTCCTTGGAATCGAAAAAAACATGTTATCCAGAAGTCAATAAATATCTGCGAAAAACATTGTTACCCAAAGAATGCTTTAAAATCTTCATCAACAATACATAACCTGGAAAAAATATTTTCTGAAGTTCTGAAGATGAAAAAAAAAACACTTTTCATAGCCTTTTCAAATTAGGTAAATCATTTATGCAAATATTAAAAAAAAAATATTTTTCATTTGTTATTTTTCAATAAATTTTCAACGGCTATTTTTCATATGTTGTTAATTTATAATTCAGATTTCTTTTTTATTGTCATGAAAAATCAATAGTGAACTCCTGGTCTCCAAATGTTCAAAATCCAAAAATCCGAACACTGAACAAATATGATTTATTTGTTACGCAATCTTGCATTGTTCCATTGTTTCACAAATTGGAAAATCCTAAAAACTTTGCTGAAACAATAAAATATTATATACACAATAGAAACATGTTCTCATCCAAGTTTTTAGGATACCAGTATTTATAAAATTAATGCACAACATTGTTAAGCAACAAAAATAAAACATTCATAATTTCAAACAAAAATCTGGGGGACTCGTAAAAGTTCATGGAAAACTTGTGTTTCACAGAATTTGGGTGTTATATTCAAAAAACTGTGATTTTATTTCCGAAAAAAAGTAAAAACCCTCAAAAAAAAATAAAAATCGTTAATTTTTTTAGAAAGAGGACGTGAAATTAAGTATTTTCAAAAAATCTGAATTCCGAATGAACATTTTGACATATGGCAAAAACATAAAAAATATGTACATATGAGAATTTTTTCTTTTTTTTTTTTTGATAGTGTAAGTGAACTCATTACAGATATGACACGATGGTTTTCAATTATCAATGGACCTTACTACATTAAGTTATCACTGTTTAGTTCTAACTATAATTAATCATAAACTCATTGAATTCTAGCAAAATGATGTTTGATATTTGGATTAATAGCATACATTTTCAGTTGAGATTTTCGAATACTTGTTTGGAACTTTCCAAAATTTTTTTTCCAAATTGCTTTTTTTCTATATATTAATAAATTGAATGAAGATTATGTGCCTAACATTGCAGTTATATCAATTCTAGACTCATATCGATATTTTCAGTGAGACTTACTTGATATTTTCTGATGATTGAAATTGATCAATTGTCAAATTACAAAGTAGTAGTATACAAATTTGAACATGTCTTCGGAGCTTTTTAATTATTATTTTGACAATTATGAATTGCGAATTTTTGTTTAGATTTTTAAAAAGTTTGAAAAATGAGATCTGAAATTTTGTGAATACCAGCCATTCAAAGTCGAATCAATTGAAAGTAGCTGCTAGTTAAACTGAAGATACTGGATTGTTGTTTTTTGTTGTAGTTCAGGATTGTGGCCCAAACGTTTTGTGACCGGTGTGTCAAAATATAACTGAATGTGAGAAAGGACGAACATTTCAAACGTCTCCCGAATTGTTTATCTCAAATTTCTCTAGAATTTTCAAAACATTTTCCAAGAATTCAAAAAGTTCAACACTGTTTTTGTTCTATATAATTCATCATATGATTTATTAATAAAAATTTTCTCCAATCGCATCATGAAAAAACATGAGTCATATTTTGACTGTTCCGACAAATCATTTTTCATCATTCAACGAGCCTCGTCTTGTTTTATCATTTGTTGTAATTTTTTTTAGAAATTTTCAAAATGAACAAAATGAAATAACTTATTTCGATTCACCAAGGAATGCACTAATTCGAAAATGATTTTTTGAATAAGCCTAACTTAATTCAATCTTAAACTTCACCTTAACAAAATGAGTCATTAACCTACAAATTATTGTATATGAGCCTTCTTTTTATCCAATATTATTTTGATCATGTTCTTTGTGTGATGATTTTTTCTGTATATTTTCCATATGGTTTACCAGATGTACAATCCTACAATCCATGTGTTCATTTTTCTCACCAAAAAAATCATTTTGTTTTTCATAATAAAAATAAGAATAAAACAACTCAACTATATATATTCAAGAAAAAGAAAAATGTTCGTTTTTCTCGCTCTCTCTGTGTTTTTTCTCCAAGAAAATACGAAAATTCGTTTCAAGCTTTTCCCCTTTTTCCTTCTGCTGCTTCTTCTTTTTTCCCCCTACTGCTCCATTTTGCCCTTTTCTCTCGTTTTCCCTTTCTCAAGAATTATTATATTTACTTTATTTTCAAATTTTTATCAATTCTTGTTAATTGATAAGCTTCAAAGAACAACAAAGAAAACCTCGTGTTGAAAAAAGTTTATTTATTTTATTTTTCAATATTTATTTATATAAAAGTTCTAGAAAAACGAGAAAAATGTGCAATTTTCTCTCGTCTTCTCTTTTCATACAACATCTGTATGTAAAAAAATGGATTACTTCAGAATTTTTGCACTTTTCTCTTATTTTTCGCTGCATTTTTTCTCTTTAAAGATTCTCTCGACGTTTTTTTTGCGAGATTTCTGAAGATTTGCAATTTCTGCACGTACGTTCCAAGAACTAATAGGCTTAATTTTTTGTCCTCAAATTCATAATCCTGTGAGTTTTGTAGCTCGAAAAATTTTCTATTTCTTTTTTTTTTGTGAAAGAAGATTGATAGAAGTTTTTTTCTGATTATGAGTCAAGTGTTTTCTAGTGGGTCACAATGTTTGAAAAATCAGCTGCCACTTGATCAAAGTTCTACCTCAAAATACTTTGAAACTTGGAAATGGTATCCAGAAATAATGAAAAAAAAGGTTGCTTGATGGTTTTCAGTATCTGTGGATTTCTGAATGAAAAATTGATACTCGGAAATTCAAATTTCCGATATAAAAACTTGAAATCACTCTCAAATTAAGAAAATTGTTTGAAAAAATTGTAGCTTATTTAGGAAGAATTTTCATTTCATGTTTTTACGAAGTCGTTAAGTTATCAGATAAATTGAAGATTCTCAGTTTTTCAAAACTACAGTACTATAATAGCGCTTATTTTTTAAACATACAAAAACAAAAGTTTTTTTTCCCAATCTCTAATTTTTTTTAGTTTAACAAGCAAGCCTATCATTTCACATTCTTTCCTTTCTTCCGTCTCGAAACATCTCGAAAAAAAACCAGTTTCAATAGTTTCAACCTAAAAAATGTTTCGTTTCGCACAAGAAAAATGTGATAATCTGTGATAAAAATGAACTTTGCAATTATCAACCGAGAAAAAACAAACAAAACAAATAAAAAAAAGTATCAATGTTTGTCATGTGGCCTGTCCTATGTCCCAAAGGTCCTCCCCCATATGACTAAATCATTCATCATTTTTGAAAACATTTGAAAAAATAAAACAGTTGCTTCTTGTTAGACCTGACCCATGACTACTCGAAATTTTTATTATTCATTTTTAGGATAGATTTTTTTCAGAATTTTTTTCCGTTTTTTCTTAAATTTAAAAAATATTCTAACTCGAAAATTTTCTAAAGATACATATGTGTTATGGCTCTAAAAAATACCGTATTGGAAAATCCGCCACTTTACTTTTTTAAGTATAATACATTTTCTTTTGACACCTGTTTTTTCAATTTTTTACACAATTCTGAACATTTTTCCTGATAAAAAATTCCGAATCGGCAGCACTTGAAAATCGTCCAAAAACCAATCATATGCAACCATTTTGTCCATATTGCGCTCAAAATAAGCGCAAACAATTCCAAATTCCAATCGAATCCTGCAACCAAAGCAGCAAAAAAAGTGTTTTAATCACTAGTTTTGGGCGGATATATATCCGCTTCTTCTTTTTCGCTTTTCCAATTTTTTTGTCACAAAGGACAGCTGCTCTTATTTTCGCCATTCATTCGTTTTTTCTCGAATCGAATGTTGTAGAGGTTTCCACCCACCTTCTTTCGAGCAAAATTTACGATTTTTTTTCTTGAAAAATTTTCTTCTTCATTTCAAGTTACCTCTAAAACTCCATTATTTTCAGAAAATGTCAGAAGCCTGGGTCACTCTTGCTACAAACGATTCATATGCTCAAGGAGCTTTGGTCCTTGTGCATTCATTGAGAACTGTTGGAACTAACCGAAAAATCCATTGTTTGATCAGTAACGAGGTTAGTTTTTTTTGTTGAAAAATTGGTCTTGTTTATCAAGTGCATCGTGATCATGATTAGAAAACGAGAGAAATGAGAAATAATAAAAAAAATGTTGTATAATAAATAATGAGCTACTTTTTTGCAACGAGAATCTCAAATTTCGAAAGGAAAACTGAGAAATATAGAGGAAAGTTTTGAGGATTTTTGAGAAGCAAAAAATCAAAAGTAGTTTTTCTAGAAAAAAAAGTTCCAGGACAATTTTTTCTGAAAACACATTTGGTAATAGAAAGCAAATTACGGGTTTGCTAGAAAGAATAAAAAGCTAGATTTTGAGAGCTTTTTGTTAGTTTATTGAAAACTCAACGTTTTTGGGGTGGTTCTCGATGTTTTGATATAAAATTATTCCGTATTTCATTTTGTTCAAAATTCACAAGTTTCTCAATTCCCAGGTGATTCTTTTTGCAACTCTCAAAATGTTTTCTATCCTTATTTGGACATTTGAACTTCAACTTTAAAACGACAAAGAAATCAAAAAAACAAAAAATATCTAATCAATGATCAAAGATACATTTATTTTTAGATACTAGGTCACTCCACAAAAAAAATGACGACATTTCAAAAACAACATCATTTTTCAGGTCTCCGACCCAATTCGTAAACAACTCGAAGATCATTTCGACGACATTTCAGTTGTCGATGTTTTCAACAGTCATGATCAAGAAAATCTTGGACTTATTGGTCGACCAGATTTGGGTATCACTTTCACCAAGCTTCATTGCTGGAGATTAACACAATATACAAAATGTGTATTTTTGGATGCTGATACTTTGGTAATTAGAAATTCGGATGAACTTTTTGCTCGACCTGATTTCTCAGCTGCTGCTGATATTGGATGGCCAGATGCGTTCAACAGCGGAGTTTTTGTCTTCATTCCAAACACACAAACCTACAGTAAGATTTTTTAGAGGCAGGGGGAAGGTGGGAAATTTAATTTTCACAGTTCGGAATGAAAAATTAATGTTAGACATAAATTGAAAAAAAAAATCACGTGTACTGCAAAACCAGAAAATTCTAGTACCGTTATAAATTTTCAATGTTAATTTTCTTTTTTCAGGAGAACTTGTTCAATTCGCCTTGAATCACGGAAGTTACGACGGTGGAGATCAAGGACTTTTGAACGACTTTTTCAGCAACTGGAGAGATCTTCCAAGTGAGCATAGACTTCCATTTATCTACAATATGACAGCTGGAGCTTTCTACACCTATGCAGCTGCCTACAAAAGGTAAGATTTTGGGGTTGATCTTTTTTTAAGAGATGGGGTTTTTGATAAAAACTAAAATCTTGGAGCATTACTGCTCATCTAGATTTCAAGTCTACAAAATTTTTCATCCTAAATGATATTAGAGAGAACTCTGTAGTTTCTCCAATAGATTCTCATTTTTACAGATATGGTAACAACACAAAAATTGTTCATTTCATCGGAAGTGTCAAACCGTGGCATGGAAGTGCAGCTGTTCATACCGGTGAACATTATCAACACTGGAAAAATATCTATCACGCACATGTTACTCACACAGTAAGTTGTTTAAAAACCCTAACCTGATTAATGAATATTGCATGGTGTTATTGTGTTTTTGTTAGCCCAGTGAGAAAAATGAGCAATCTATTGTTCTGCCATCTCGACATCATCAGCAAATAAAAGAGGAGAGAAATGAAGGTATTAGACGAAATGATTCACTTTTTGGTAGTTTTGTGGAGCATGTGAAACATCTGATAGTGCCTACATCTGAAGAGCCAAGTAGTTCGAAACAGCAGAAACAAGAAGAAGTTCACGATATTGTTGGTAGTGGTGATTGTTTTAGTGGTGTGCACCATCTTCAAAACGAAACGGAGCCCGAAGTTGAGCATGGTAGTGTGCATGAAATTGAGCTTGATTCAACAGATAAAGAAGTTGAAGATATTGTGAGTATTTTTACAGCATGTCTAACACATTTGCAGTTTATTTTTTCCAGACTAAACACTCTTATTGCCCATGGTTTGTATCGCAAGAAAACATCAGTGTGACAGTAACCCAGAAGGTATTCAGAATTTTGATTTCATTAGAGAAAATACTTTTTTGAAACCTGCTGAAAAAAAGCTTTCAAAAAACACCGTTCTGAAAAAAAAACAAAAAATTTGCATCAGCCCGATGCGGGGCTCGAACCCGCGACAGCCAGATTAAGAGTCTGGTGCTCTACCGACTGAGCTAACCGGGCGCTGTTTCTCTCGCTGTTGAAATGTATTGACAATGTTCTCACAGCTGCCTCGCTTTCTCTTTCTTTCTTTCATTTTTTCCCCACTATCTTTTTTTTGTTGGTCTTTTGCAGAAAGACAGTAAAATAACATCTGCTTGGGGAATGAAGGTGGTTTTTTTTCATTTCGAAAAAGTGTCAGTTTTTTTCGACAATGTGAATGAACGTTTCAATGAGGTGTAATAATTTTTGGAAAAAGAGGAAATGTTCAGAGATGAAAATGTGAATGATGGATTATTTTTAGAGGGGTCGGAATTGTTTTGGAAGTTAAGAGAGACTGTGTGTGATTTAGTACGGTTAGATAATTTTAGGAATTCACTAGAACTTTCTCAAAATATTTTTATATATTCAGGGCTTTCAAATTTGAACTGAAAAGCTAAAATTTAAATTCAATACATCAATCTTCATATTTTCGAAACATACCCATTAAAACTTGTCTAATGAACTCATTATTGAAACAAATAAATATAATTCTTGCGTGGTTTTTCTAACTCTGTTTGATTTATTATTTAATGACCAAAAAACTTATTTTGAGAGAACTTTAGAGATTTTCAATTAATATATGAAAGGATCTTATCAGAAAATTTATCCTGAAAGTTTTCCTGGTTGTGAATTACACTTCATACCTCGATTGTTTCCAGACTCCATCTCCATCAACCGAAGAACGCCGTGAAGCTTGGGAAGCCGGACAGCCAGACTATTTGGGTCGTGATGCATTCATCCATATTCAAGAAGCATTGAACAAAGCGCTCAACGAATAAAAAATCAATCAATAATTCAACTAAAAAAACTTCCGGTTAACATTATTTTATTCTCCCCGTATTTTGTTTCATATCTTTTGACCATCTTTTCGCTAGTAATTTAACATAACTTGAAAAAAAAACAATTATGAATAATCGAAAAACGTAGAATAGTTGCTCAATGTGTCTTTCTATTATGGAAGAAATTCTAAATTTCATTTGTTATGTGAATTTTTGTGAAACAAAGTTATTTTTTATACAAAAATGATATCTTCTTCTCCTTCCAATTATGCCTATTATATGTGTGTATGTGTTTCTTCCCATATGCAAACAAAGCGCGCGCGGGTAGACAACCAAAGAAAAGGGAGAGAACGCTTGTCCTCTCCGTCTCTAACACTGTTTTTGAATTTGTGTCAAAGCGGGAACACGCCGTGTTTGAATGAATCAGTTAGTTTTTCTTCTCTTTTACCTCTTTTTCGTAGTTTTCATGTTTCGTAATTGATGTTTATCGCAATTTTTGGGGCTTGATAAATTGACTTTCATGGTGGTTAGTGATTTTATGAGGTGGGATAGGTTATTTTAAGCGTTTCCGGTTAAAAATATAGGATTTTTTGAATGAGAATGTGTTATTTGTGTGTGGTTTACAGAATTTTGATTGGAAAATTGTTGGTTTTTCCGAGGATGATTTTTGAAGCCAGGTAATTTCCATTTGAAAATATATGTTCGTAGGAGATTTTTTTGTTTCAGAAATGTAATTTTTGGAATAATATTTTAGTTTTGGTTTTTTTTTTAATTTTATTGACGTTCAAGAATGATTTTCAGAGATCTTGAGCAAAAAAATTAATAAAACACGATCGTAAAAAAACTACATTGTTTAGGTTAAGGAAAAAAATAAGCTTTACCGATTATTTATCATTTTTTGTTGTGAAAATCAATGAATTCCCACGCCTATAGGAAAATAGCGTCATTTGGGTTAGGATAGAAATGGCTATTTCCGATTATTGATTTTTCCAAGTACTATTTTGTGTTAGGTGTGAATTTCGGCAGATTTTTCTTTGGAAAATTTATTCTGACTTTCTACCGCAATAAATTTTTATTTGGGAACCTAGAAATTATCACCAATTTAGTTCTGAACAATTGATTTTCTGATCTTCATAATTAGCTAACATTCAAAAAAAAATTGCTCATTTTCCAAGCAATCGTTCTCACAAACACCTGCCTCTGTTCATTTTTTCTTTCACAAAAATATATATATTATCCAAATTCAAAGCTTATGTATTCATTCAAATAATTTATACTCTACAATAGCTCACATTTTCCTCATTATCAAAAAAGCATTCTATTCGTTCCATACAAATTGACTTCAAATAAATCACTATTCACTATTTATTGCCCTTGGAATTCTTCCTACTTTCTATACTTCTCTAATTGCGTAATCAGCGTGCAAACAAAAACAAGTTTATCTTTTTGAAGTTTACCGACACTACATACATGCCTCATAAATTCCACTCTGTTCTACCCACCCCCAACTCACCATTTATTCACTTTTGTTTTTTTTCCGGATCCTCAATGTTTTTTGTTAGCTGATTTGTCTCTTTTTCTTAATTCATTTTTTTCCAGAGAGATGTATAGTAATAATAGAGTGAAATTGAATTTGCACAAATGCAAGACGGTTGGAATGAACCAGTTCAATATCGATAAATTATCAGATGATGATTTTGATGAGGAGGAGGATGAGATTGAAGAGCAATCATCGGAATCCGATTTGGATCTTGATGATGATGAAGACGAGTTTTCCGAGTCAGGAACTGAAAGTTTTCCGGATACTGAATCGACTGGACCGTCTGAAGCAACAACTGAGAGTAGTATACAAATTGATAGGTATGTTTAAAGGGAGTTTTGCTTCAATTCTAACATAGAGCTAGAGGTTAAGATTTCATACCTGATGGAATACTTTTTAAAAACCAAACTTTTTATGGATAATCGATAGTTTTCGAAATTTCAAAGAAATAATGTTAGTGAATATCATTGTAAATATTCATAAGAATTTTTCAAAAAAATGTAAATTTTCAATGATAAATAAATCAATGAAATTAGGGCTTGGAAAACTGTTCGATAAGATTTCATAACTTTTAGAATTATAGTTTTCTAATCATATTTTTTGCTCCAAGAATTTAAAATTACATTTTTCAAGTAGAATGTACATATAACCATTATTATATTTCGGGAATTCAGTCGATTCTTTTTGAAATTCATATTTTCAAATTACTTGTGTTTTTGTCGGAAAATTTAGACACAATTTAATTTTAATCCCATAATGATAATCATCCCAAAATTTGATTAAAAAAACACACGAAAACTACTTTTTCCCGAATACCTTAGCATTCCACATTTCAATCAACGAATAAAGTCCTACCCGTCTGATTTTCCAATAAATTCATATTTTTATCACGAATTTCAAAATAAAATGCAATGGAGAATTAAATTATCCGAACAGATAGAAAATGAAGCCTAAAACTAAAACTAAAACTTGTTACACTCACTCAAAACTTTCAAATAACCCCATTAAAAAACCATAAAATGTCGACAACCATTCCCTTTTCCCATTCCCATTGTCTTCTTCTTCTACACCCATCCATTTTCACACCTCATCTTTATAAATCCAAATCTCCCTAAATATATTACGGTAGAGTAGACACAGGAGATTGACATTTCAAGTGCTCATCATTACAATTATATAGATTTTTGTATCCTTATTATTATTATTACTATTATATTATTACAACCACTTCTCCTCCCCCTTTTTTCTCCCTTGAGACAATTTTTTTATGACAGTACCCCCCTACTGTGTGAGCAACGCAACTAACTTACTCATCAGTCATTCACTTAATCAAACTAGTACTTTTTGTGTCATATTCTTTTTTTCAAAAATTATTTGAAAATATGACGATTTCTAAACCAAGCCTTCATAGTTTGATGTAAGCTAAAATTTTTTAAATTTCAAAACATTTTGAAAGAATTTTGTTTTGAAAAACCAGCTGGTTCTTCAAAATGTCTCTGGGTTACTTTATTTTCAGCCCGGTCCGAAAATCCCCGTATTACTTTTCATTCAAAAAAAAATAAACTCAAATTTCAGAATGCGAGCCCCGATGCTTGGTATGAATGCACATTCTCGTCGAATGTCTCTCGACGCAAAAATCAAACGAGACATGCATCGACCAATTCTCGGCAACAACAAAAACATTTTCCAATCTTATGACGATATAAGTATTGATGATTCTTCTCAATTATATTCAAGAATTGAAAGACGTCGCGAGTCTTCTGAAAATCATTATCCCACATCATCATCATCCTCCTCAAATCGATTCAGAGTTCCAAAACAACCAAAATCAAAGGGTCTCACTATGATTGAGGTGAGTTTTTATTGTAATTCATTTTCAAATTGATTTGGCCATTAATGGACTTATAATTGTTTTTTACTAATTGCCAACCAATTAATTACACCCCCTCTTTAATGGGAGGGGGTTACCCTTTACTTGGCAAATTGAAAAAAAGATTGTATCTTTTAGGAATTGTCGCCAATTCGATCAGATTCACTTGGCGACGTGCCGCCACCAATGCCACCATCGCTTCGCAGCAAATCCGAGTGGAACCCTCAACTCACATCTACCACAACATCATTCCAGGTAGATCAGTTTTTCAAAAAAAAAATCTTTTTTCATAAATCAAAACTTTTGCAGCCACTCATCCCACTTATTCCAAAAACCAATCCGCGTGTTGGTCATCATCCAATTTCACACAACACTCAACATCAAAAGTTTATCAGCTCTACACCACGCATGACATTAACAGAGAATAATAAAAATTATCAACAACATCATCATAGATCAAATAAAAAGAGCCACAGAAATTTATATAGTCGGTTAGAGAAGACTGATAGTCTTACAGGGGTATGTTCAACTTTTTCACACTGAAAATGGATCTGAAAATGTTTTTTTTCAGGAATCTGATTATTATGAATCACCGATACCTTGGAGTCAGCCAGCTAATTTGCATCCAATGAATAATCCAGCGTTCTGTCGTGCTGAACACTATGGCCTGCCTTCAGCGCTTGCCAAGAATCTTGGAATTAATGGTGAGGAAATTTTAAAATCAAATTTCATTTAACCCAATATTTTGGCACAGAATAAATTTAGTACGACTATGGATTACTGCTAAAAAACGTCATTCATAATTCTCCAAAACAAATTTTTTCTTCCAGGAATCGTTTTCCTCACCATGTCACTCTGTGGCCGTCGTCTAACAGTCAACATACAAAAAGGAGTCTATTTCCGAGATTCCTCGCAATCCAATATCTGCTCTTACGTGAGAGTGAGTTAACAGATTGCTCAAATCTGGCAGCACCCAACAATTGCACCATCATCATAATATTATTAATATGTATTACAGGCTGAATTGCGCAACCGCTCAAAATCACACCAAATGCCAAAACGATCTCGCGCATCATCATCAAATGGTGGCAGATATGAGGAAACGTATCGAACACGTCTTGTCCCAACAACAAATCGACCAACTTTCCAAGAGACTTTTCAATTGTAAGATTTTTTATTCACCGAAGAAAAGAGACAGAGGGGTGTCATTATCGCGATAGCGATCTTTTGGCGCCAAAATTTTTTGAAACACATGAAAAATGTTGCGTTTTTTCAGCAAATTGTCGGAGAACTGTGGTCGTGATTATTTGGCACTTACTGTTTATTCAATGGAAGCCGACGAGCCACAAAAGAAAAAAGTGCTTGGATGCATGGCTTTTCCAATTTCAAGACTTTTGAAAAAGGCTAGACAAGCGGTAAGTTAATGGCCCCCAGCGGGACTCTATTCTGAAAAACAGTAGTTATAATCAACTGTAATTCTCGCTTTTTGAAAATTTCAGTTTGATAAGAATTCCATGTGTCCGAAAAAAAATTCAAGTTTCCTAATCTTGTTAAGTTTATATTCCAGAATAGTTTAAATCACAGTCCCATTGATTCCTCTGATGTTCCTTAAAAATCTCAATTTTCCAGAACGCTGATTACTTCTACTACCAACCCGAAAATGAGAATGTCGAAGAAGTCGAAATCAACAATGACGGTTATTTTTTGCTCGACCCAAAATATGGCGAAAAACGCAATTTGCCACAAAGCAAAGTCAAACGCCAAACGTATTATAATGATCCAACACTTTCCGGAACTTCTGGCTCATCTTTCAATTCGCAAGGAAAGGTTCGTAATTTTTTTGATTAATATTCTGAATTTTTCTCGGAAGAAAAGGGAAAAAACCAAACCGTGAGAATTTCGAAGTGCGTTTTCCCAACAATTTTCGATGAAAAAAATGAAAAAATATACATATCCAATTAGTCTACTATGATGTATGTAGATAATAACTCTGTTTGTCAAGAACATGGTTTTTTCTTTTGCTCCACTCCAATTAAAAAAATAATAAAAATGAAAAAATAAAAAACTCTGGTATAGATAGATAAAAATTTGGGCGTTTGATGACATTGCTTATCAATTTTTTTTGAGTTAGTTTCACCGATTTCTCGGTATTTTTAGAAGACCTTTTCTAATTGATAGGATTATTTTCTTGAAGAAAGAACACTTGAAATTTGTCATGCATTGTGTTTTTTTGTGTAATAAGAATAAAACCTGGTGAGAAGGGATTAGGTAGATTAGGATGCTCTGAACAACATTTTTCTCCTTCTTTTAGCTCCTTACACTAAAGTGTGTTTGTTTTCCAAATAAACATACACTTGATGATGAACGCAAATTCTCTCTTCGGTTTCGACAAGAAAAGAGAAGAGTTTCGATTTTTGAGCTGAACAAGAAAATATTTGTCTACGGTTTGATTAGAGGGGCCATTTAACAAGTACACCACTTGACAGCCCCCCTAAAAATACATATATTCATTTAGTTGTTCACAAATTTTTTTGTCTTCTTATCACTAAAACAAAAATATTTTTTTGTGCTTTTTTTTGCTGTTCTTGGGAAAATTGATTTTCTTTTTTTTATTTTACAAAATTTTGCATTCCAGATGACCGCCACTTCTTCACGCTTATCTGTTCCAAATGATTTGACAATGGGTGATTATTATTGCTCATCATCCGATGTTCGAGTTCGTGCAAATCCAAATCATAATTTGGATTATACTTCGGCTTCATCGAGCACAAATGAAAGCTCATCAGCTGCTGGAGCAGCCCAAGTCAAATTTCATCGTGCAACTTTGCCAAGCATCACTACAACTACAAGTGAGTATTTTGGAGAAAAAATGAGGTTGTTTTTGAATTGAAAAACATTTCAGTTTTTATGTTAAGTTTTGTGGAGTCAATTGAGTAGTACGGTATTATCCTCAAATTTAATTAGACGTTAAATCTGACTTACAATGAATTTTCCGAAAAACAACCCAACATTTCTATCATATTTATCATAGGTTCAAAAAGACATTTCCACATATTTTCAGACTCATAAATTTGATTTGTGTGTACTGTAGCTCGTTTTCTTTTCACGTGCAAATTTTTAATATATATTCTTATGTTAGTGTCAAAAAATTCCCATAATTTTCTTGAACAATTATCTTTGACTACTGCTCTTTTTTCTTGAAAAATTTCATTTTTAGAATCATTACCTTTTTTTCATTTTTAAGCTTATGGCAAATATTTTTACTTATTAGTCTGAAAAGTCCAAAAGTTCAGCATCCAACTACGGTAGCCCAAAGACCGCCTTATTTACCGGAAACCCGATGATTCTATGTCTACCGTAATTATCTTTTCATTCAAGTTTCGTTTTTCATCATTATTTTTCCGTCGTCCTCGTGTTTTTTTTCATTCAAAACGAAACGAAGTTCATTTCTTCTCATTTAATTTTCATCCTTATGTTCATATTCATATTCATACTCATTTTTATTTGAACAAAAAACGACTGGGGAGACAAAAAAATAAAAAATCGAAACCATCAATTTTAGTTATTTTTTATCAAAACCCACAATTTTCTCAATTTTTCATGTTAGGTCACATTATTATTAGGTCTTTTAAAAAAAGAGAGAAAGTGAGATTTGGAGTTAGTTAGTTACATATGATTTTTATTTTTATTCTCAAAAATATTAACAAGGGGTATTATAGTATTATCTGATTCTTATCAGAAAATGAAAATGAAAATGTTGTCGTTTTTGTGAGTGTGTATAGAAGGTTTATTTTTAGTTTTTGTGATTTGATAGTGATACTTTTCCTCGTTTAACCTCTCGTTCTTTTTTTTTGAATTTCTTTCTCGAAACTATTTTTTGATTGACCATTTTTATTACTCTTGAATTTTGTAGATAATGAGTGAAAAAGTCGATGAGGAAAAAGATAAAGAGGGCAAAACGCCTAAATTGAGCTTTATCAAAACTAGACTTCGTGGGCGATGGTCTGAAGGAAGTTCCAAATATCGTGGAAGATCTTTGACTTGTTTGGAGGAAGAGACTAAACGTTGGTTTTAACTCGAAAATTTATATGAAAAAATTTACTCTTGCTCTAGAAAGTTACAGTATATTTGGAATACATCATCATTATGATCGTGGAAGACATTTTCTTAAAATAAAGTTCAAACCTTTTTTCTAGGAGTCGATGAACATTTTTAATTTCCTAGTATAATATTATTGTGAATCTTTATCCATATTTTGCCACGTCATTTCACTCGTTTCCTATTTATATGTTTTCCAAAAATAGACTCCTGGAAATTATAGGTTACCCGATTTTTTTGCTGCCATAAAAACCTGGCGCCAAAAATCCTCACCCAATAAAAAAATAATGTCGAAACTTATCAACTAAAAAAAACAATATCTAATTCTACAGTAGGAAACACTAAAAATTATTATTTTTCCGAAAGTAGATTAGAAATTATAGGGTTTCTAGGTTTTTGAAGAGCCCTATGAGTTTTTTAATGTTTGAGGGTTTCCCGAGGATCTATGAAGTGATCACGTGAGAAACACAAATGTAAACAGAGAAGAAAAAGTACCGTACTACTTGATTGCGTCACAACAGCTGATCACCAAAAAAAATCGAATCTAAAATAAGAGAGTCTGTATTACAAATAAAAGTTCTTGAGCCAAAAATGTTAGAGACTGAGATTTTCAAACGCGAAAAGCTCTCTTCAACAAATGTATCAGATTCAGTGTAAACCCAGTAGCTCCCAGATAAAATTCTCGATTTTTCAGGTGAAAACACATCTGACGAAGCTGCTGAAGAAAGATCGGAACGTGCTGTGAACGTCGATCATCACTATCTTTATGCTGAAAATGGCGGTGTTTATGGGGCTGGTCCACTGCGTGACGAGAGTCCAAAACGCCCATCTTCATCATCGCCAGGTGTCTCAGTTCGACGAGCCGCCTCATTCACTTTTTCGCCAAAAGGCACAGCCGCCAAAAACAATCAAAGACCCGCGGCATTGTTGCGAACCGAAGAGGAAAAAGAGAAACGAAAATTCTTGTGAGTTTTTTTTTATTTCTTGTTGTTTCATCTTTTCACAAGTCCACACAAAAAATGTGTGTCAATTAGCATAATTGAACAAGTTGGTTTCTAATGGGAAAGGAAGGAAAAAGGTAGCTGGAATAACTTTGGTGAAGATTAGAGATTGCCAAGTACACACGTTTTGCAACTTTTTTCTTCGGGAGGGGGTCTTTTTTTTAATACCTGATTGATTGATGACTAGGTTAGCAAAGGAGAAATCATATGTTTTTGATTCTACGTTTTCTGAATCTACTATACTTCTGAATAAGATCAATTTGAAATCAAAAATCAACCTGGCTCAAAAAAAAAATATTCCTGGAAGCCGTAGAATTATATTAATGTGATGTCTTCTCATTTATTTTCTCGTTTTCTGGTGGTTTTCAATCCGTTTTCGTTTTCGTGGCGCGCAAAAAAAATCTTCCACATACATTCTCCGCCCATCTTCTCCTAAGGCCACTAGAAAAGTGGAGCAAAAAAAAGGCGAGTTGGTCCGTCCGCACTCATCTGCTGTTTCACACCAACACAAGTTTTTTCTTCTTCTTCTTCTTCGCCGCTCACACTTTGCTTTGTGTATTATTCATAGTTCTAATAATGGATAAACTTGTTGGTGGTGAAGAACCAAACAACAACAATAATAATAACAATGAGAAGAAAGGCAAGAAAAAAACAACGACGGCGGCTGACAACAAAATGGATGTTCGCCGAAAAATTAGCGTTCCTCTGCCGGCGAGCACTTCGAAACGAATTGTGCATAAATGGGCTTCGGTTCGCGAGATGGAATCGTTGAATGTCTCGCCGCCAAATACGACGACGACGACCACAACACAACCAACTACCAGGTATTTTGGTGGATTTAGATTTGATCTACAGTAGTTTCAGCTAGCAGGTCCTGTTGGATAATGTATTTGAGATACTGTATTTTGAGATAAGGTAGTTAGGTGGATACAAAGTTGATAGAAATATTGGATTAGGAAAAGTTGATTTTTTTTTGCTTTGATTTCATTCAATTCTAGAATCAGTTCAGGACTTTTTGTAGTTCAAGATTTGTAATTCAGAGTAAGTAATGTTTTGAAGATTTTTTTGTTAGAATTTACGCAAATGGTTTTTGAAGTTTCCAAATGTTTTGACTGAGACAAGTGAAAATGAATTTTGTAGATAAAGAGTGTTCGTTCATTTTTCTAGTCAGCTTAACTAGAAAGTTTTTTTTTCATTTTATGGTGTTTGGGACTTAATGGTGCAAATATCCAAATCCCCTCTATGAATACTAGGAATTTCCCACATTTATTTTTCTGCTGATCTTCCTGATGTTCAAGAATTTCTAATTTTTCCGAATGTTTCAATTTTCTTGGTATGTTTCAAGTTCATTGAAAATATTTTCAAAAGTTTACAACTAGAAGTCTTTTTAGAAAGTCTTTTTCAGTTCAAAGTACTGAACTCAAGTTAGACATTGAGCTCAACTTGGTTACTGTAGTTGTTCCTTTTTCTCAAGCTGGTTGACTTTTCGTTGTCAAATGTTCTTATTGAATCCCAATTTTCTTATTTTCCCAAAAACAGCAATTTTTCAAATATCTTATCCCAAGTGCTCTTTTTTGTTTCAAAAACCGCCACCTGCCATTCAACTTGTGTTGATTATCATCAAAAACAATAGGGTCAGGTCATAAACCAATTCCTATTTTCCTAAAGGCGCTAAAATATTCAAACTTGGTCCACCTGAAAAGATATCAATTTCGGTTTTTTCTCTTTTTTTTTGTTGAATAATTGATTGCGTGAATAATGTATTTTTTGTGATATGTACATACACAAAAAGAAAAAAATTGCGTGCTGAAAGGAAAAAGTGTGATTTTGCACACATTTTAAGGGTACAAAGTGAATAGATTGTAGTTTTGAGATATCGGGTGGAAAACAAGGTGTCACCGCCTTTTAGCGTGATACATTTGAAATTCCGGGTTCTTTTGAATGAAAAAAAAACATTTGGTTTGTTAGATATTCCAAATTTTATTAAGATATGCTCTGTAGTTTGAAATGGTGGGTGCAAACTGATATTGAAATGATATCATATATTGGTTCTCCGAAATAAAAAAAAATCACTGATAATTGAATTATCATCTATCGTACCATGTGTGGGAAGCTGCAAAGTTGGACTTTGTGTGGGCTTTTTTGTTGTATGAACTTGTTTGATATAATCATAAAATTTTATGAAGTATATTCAAAATATTTCCGGAATTTGGCCCATTATCAAAAAATTGATAAACTTTGATCCACTAATGAAAAAGGTGTGGTCGTGAGTCTCTACAAAAGCACGTGTTTTCTCTCAAATAAATTGATTCCTTGATTCTTCCCATAACAATCAATGATAGTTTTTAACACATTTTTTGTTTTCTGTAACGAAAAAAAGCTGTTTTCCGGTCCCGTGTACTGTATTTTCACACATTTTGTTTTCAAACATGGTGTTGACATGAGAATGTGTTGTAAAAGTGGGCGGAGCCTGCATATAGGTCACACCCCCAACCCGAAAAAGGATGGGTAGCAGAATTAGCTCATTATCAATTTCATTGGTATTACTTTTTGGTGACTTTTCTCAATTTCTGCTGAATAAATATGCGCACCTTGGACTTCTTGAGATCTAGCATTCGTTTCAAGTCATCGTCATCTAGTGAAAAATATTCGAGTATTACTCCATCGTGTTCTAATTCGGTACACCCTACTCCTCTTCCGCCACCAACAAATCTTCGCAAAAATAAACCGCTGAAGATGATTGTTGAAAAGGTTGAAAGTGGTACCCACGACGATAATTTTGTCTTTGAACGACACACAAGTTTTGCATCTTCGTCAACTCGGTTAGTTTTAAGTGCTCCATATTTTCTGATAAGAGAGTTTTTTTGTCTTTCTGATATTTTTACAACTGATGAAATGTTGTCACTAGTTTACCATATTATGCTAGATATTGCTCATGGTATACATCATAAACATGAAGATGAAGATCATAAGAATCATTTACAGCAGCATCATAGGTTAATAATTATAATTTTTTATTGATTAGTAATCAATCAATGATTACCCAAATAACTTACTGAAATTCTGATTTTTTCAGCGGTCCGATCTCAAAAACTTTGAGTTATCTCCGAAACAAGATGGACTCGGCATTGTCGACATCGTCTCTATATCCATCAAAAGAAGAAGTTCGTCTTTGGGAGCGCAATTTTGAAGCGTTGCTCAACAGTAAATGTAAGTTTTCTCAAACCAATTTTTAGTGGGTGGGGGAGAGTTCAAATAAAAAACCAATCCTTTACAAAAATGAACAAATAATTTTTCCAGATGGCTGCGCATTGTTCCGTCAATTTTTGAAAAAAGAATTCTCCGACGAAAACGTTGATTTCTGGCTGGAATGCGAAGATTTCAAGAAAATGAAGGATGGCAAAAAAGGAACCACCCAGAAAGCAATTGAAATCTATCGGGAATATGTTGTTGAGCATTCGCCAAAAGAGGTCAATTTGGACAGTGATACACGGGCTGCAACAAAGGCTGCGTTGGAAAATGGATGTCGAACTGATACATTCAGTTTGGCGCAAAATCGAGTCGAGCAACTTATGGCTAAAGATTCGTACAGAAGGTTTGTAATTGTTTTATTCTGAAAATCAAAGACTGTTTGGTCCACTTTAGAAGTATCTCCTGACTATGAGTTGTTTTAAAATTTCAATATTAATTTTTTCAGATTCCTGCGTGATCGACTTTTCTTGGATCTCATTGAAAGTTTCGAATCTGACAGTCAAGGAGCATCAACATCCTCTGAAGGACCATCAACTTCCAAATAATTAATTTTTTTGAAAAATGTACAATCCCCCTTCCCCCAATCCAGTCTAACCGCTTTGTCATCTAATGAATTACCCCCTACCCCCCAAAAATGTTTTTTTCCTGAAAAAAATTAATTAATCAATTAATCAAACAAATCCCTGAAAAATATGTTTATTGTCAATTATTTTTACCATACATTTTGACGTTTTTTAGAAATTTTCATTCTCGATAGAAGATCTCTCTCTTTTTTTGAAACTATTTCGTTTTTACTTGGTTCTCCTGTATTTTTTCTTACTTTTGTATCTTTACTTTTGGTATTATTACTGACACCCCCAAAAAAACAAATTTTTGAAATTTTCAATTTTGTTGTATATTTTCAAACCATTTTTTTTTCTTTCTGTCTCTGTCGGTAGATAAATCAATTTTCGAAAAAAATGTTTTTTTTTTAATTCACAGGAAAATTAAAACATTGAATCATCTTGAGCAATTTTTGACTTATCAGGAAAAAATAAGGCAAAACAACAACTTGACGTTTGATGCTGTTCACAAGCAAAGTTTTGCATCGAAAAATGGAATGATAAGAATGAAAAGAATCTTGGAATCTCGGAAAAATGGTAATGATAGTGTTCTAGTTTCTGCTAGCTCTAGGAGAATTTTATACGTAATTTTTTGTAAACGTTTCACGAAAAACTATTATTGGTGATCAAAGTGATTTGATTCATAGATCAAGTTTTTTTTTTCAAAAATAAGATTTCCAGGAAAAATTTTCTTAACAAAATTAATTCAATGCATTTTCTCTCTCTCCCAGTTGAACAATTGAACTATGGAATGTTTGTAGTTTGAACTGGAAATAGTGATGAGAGATTCAATAGTTGATCACAAACTTTTTGGCATCCTTTCTGCTAAAAGATTACTGTGATTGCACTCATGTTAGAACCAAAATGTATTCTCCCACCTATTTAAAAATTGCAATTGATCGGAAAGTTGTAGAAATTGATTTCAACCGAAACGTATTTTGCAGTCATGTTTCCAAAGCAAAATTTTGGTTTGGAGGCAGTCATGCTTCCCTGCATTTCGTTTTACGGGATTATTGTAGACCTCCCGACGTTTCTAAAATGGTGTATTTGAAAAATAAACTGTGTTGGCAGAACTTTATTTTCACAGTTTGAAAAGAGGCATTAAATAAAAATTAAATGAAAGAAGATAAATAAAATATGTCAAAAAAATAAATAAAATATTATGCGTTTTGAATCTCTGATTTTCCATCAATCAATCGCGGCATATCCCATAATTCCAATGTTCCAATCAATTTCTGAGTTCTCCTGAAAACAACAAGAACTATATGTTTAAAATAAAAATTAAAAGTAAAGCTCACTTGAGGCATTCAATGAATGGTTGATTATCAGTAACCAATCTTCCTGGATTATGATCATCAAACGGATCAATGATTACAAGTCCCAACGATTGATTTCTTTCCACCATTTCATTGTTTTTCATATTGATACTGAAAGAGCATATCGGTTTGTTGATGTAATACTCCAAAAAATGATATAGAGTTTGCGCGGGAGTCTCATTTTTTCCAAATTCCAAAACATCATTGTCCGGAATCATTTCGAAATCCCAAGTGGCATTTTTCGGATCAAAACGTTCGGGATATTGTTGATGCAAGTTTGGCAGAAATTCTTTTTCGACGAGAAAGTGTGTTATCATCATTGAAAGTGCATATGAATTGGGGAAATATTGCTGATTATTACCCAATTGATCATTCTTGAATGTCCCTTTCAAAGCAATATGAAGTATGGCAAAACTTGGATAGAATTTCATGACATTTGTTATGAATCTTGCTGCAATATAACTGGTTGGCACAGAAGTTCCATAATGACTTGTAATCTGTATCGCAACATTATCCTTGAAGCCTGTGATAGATGGCACAATCTCATCAATATAATTGATTTCTTCATATCCTTCAAGAGTTTTCAGTTTCTCAGTCAAATAACGCAAAATCGCATTGTTATCATTTCCAAAGAACTGTCCTTCATCACCATCAGTTTTTTCAATGCAAATAATTAGATTTAAATTACTGTAATGTGTGGATAAGCTCATTGCAACACTTCCAATTGGCACAATTCTCTTCAACGTCATTTGCTTTTCTTCGCACTGGAAAAAAGAGGTGTTTATTTGAATATAATTATATTAACAGGGGAATTACTCTTCACGACAGACAATTGGATATCCTCCTTTAATATAACAATGAATAAAACAAACTCACTGGTGTTTTCAAGATATTATAAATATCTACTCGAAGTTGATCGAAAGTTCTCGTTTTTTTACCTATTGATATTGGAGTTTCGCGTTGTTCTTCATACAAAGCCGACATGTCATAATTAAGAGCTTCCAAATTCATATGCAGTTTTGCTTGATCCATTTTACCTGAAAAACGGAATATTATGAACGGTTGCATTTTCACGGAGCGCTTTCCTTCACGCGAGCACCCGTCAAAAAAAAATGGAAAAAGAAGTAGAAAAAGGTCAGAGAGGAAACAAGTGAGAACATGATGGCGCAATGAGAAAATTGTGTGCGATAGAGCGCGCTTTCTCCCCTCTTCTAGAGAGAGAGAGAGAGAGAACACAGCTACGGATCGATGCTAATCATTATTTTTTTGTTTGACTCGGGATAGCGGTCGCTGTTTTTTTTTTGTGACAGGGGTTTTCTCTTCATTTTTTGCAATGTGTTTTATGATGTGATGAACCACCCCAACTCGATTCATTTCCTCTGCCAAGATATAACTTCTTATTTGTTAACCAACAAATTGTCAATTTTTCATTTTCTTTCATGTTTACTTTGTCTGAAAATCACGGTGCGCTTTTCTTTACGTCGCCAAACGAGAAACGTCGAGAATTTTTTAGAAGAGGAGAGAAAGCGCGCTCTATCGCACACAATTTTCTCATTGCGCCATCATGTTCTCACTTGTTTCTTCTCTGACCTTTTTCTACTTCTTTTTCCATTTTTTTTCGACGGGTGCTCGCGTAAAGGAAAGCGCACCGTGAAAATGCAACCGTTCATAATATTCCGTTTTTCAGGTAAAATGGATCAAGCAAAACTGAATATGAATTTGGAAGTTCTTAATTATGACATGTCGGGTTTGTATGAAGAACAACGCGAAACTCCAATATCAATGCGTGAAAAAATGAGAACTTTCAATCAACTTCGAGTAGATATTTATAATATCTTGAAAACACCAGTGAGTTTGTTTTATTCATTGTTATATTAAAGGGGATATCCAATTGTCTGTCATGAAGAGTAATTCCCCTGTTAATATAATTATATTCAAATAAACACCTCTTTTTTCCAGTGCGAAGAAAAGCAAATGACGTTGAAGAGAATTGTGCCAATTGGAAGTGTTGCAATGAGATTATCCAAACATTACAGTAATCTAAATATAATTATTTGCATTGAAAAAACTGATGGTGATGAAGGACAGTTCTTTGGAAATGATAACAATGCGATTTTGCGTTATTTGACTGAGAAACTGAAAACTCTTGAAGGATATGAAGAAATAAATTATATTGATGAGATTGTGCCATCTATCACAGGCTTCAATAATAATGTTGCGATTCAGATAACAAGCCATTATGGAAGTTCTGTGCCAACCAGTTATATTGCAGCAAGATTTATGGGAAATGTCATAAAATTCTATCCAAGTTTTGCCATACTTCATACTGCTTTGAAAGGGATATTCAAGAATGATCAATTGGGTAATAATCAGCAATATTTCCCCAATTCATATGCACTTTCAATGATGATAACACATTTTCTCGTCGAAAAAGAATTTCTGCCAAACTTGCATCAACAATATCCCGAACGTTTTGATCCGAAAAATGCCACTTGGGATTTCGAAATGATTCCGGACAATGATGTTTTGGAATTTGGAAAAAATGAGACTCCCGCGCAAATTCTGTATCATTTTTTGGAGTATTACATCAACAAACCGATATGCTCTTTCAGTATCAATATGAAAAACAATGAAATGATGGAAAGAAATCAATCGTTGGGACTTGTAATCATTGATCCGTTTGATGATCATAATCCAGGAAGATTGGTTACTGATAATCGACCATTCATTGAATGCCTCAAGTGAGATTTACTTTTAATTTTTATTTTAAACATATAGTACTTGTTGTTTTCAGGAGAACTCAAAAATTGATTGAAACATTGGAATTATGGGATATGCCGCGATTGATTGATGGAAAATCAGAGATCCAAAACGCATAATATTTTATTCATTTTTTTGACATATTTAATGCATTCTCGCCTATTTAATTTTTATATTATGTCTCCTTTGATCTGTGAAAATGAAGTGATTTGAAAAAAATGCCAACACATATTATTTTCCAAATAGTCCTACCATCAACTAGGATGTTGATTTTTTATCAACAAGTTTAGGCTTCCTGTTTGCCACCTAATCACAATTTCATAAATTCGATTATGGTCCTGTGATTCTTTCTCTGTGACTATAAGAATCGAATGATTTCCCAATTCAACAATCATGAAATCAATATTAATTTTTCTGTATTTTGCTGCTTTATCAACAGCAATTTTGACAATTGAAGATCAAGATATCAGAGATGTCGAAAAATGGATTCAAGATTTGCAAACCAATATTCAGAATCAAGAAAGCATTGACATATTTTTCCACCCATTTTTCACTTTTTCAGGATGCAAAAAAATTTATTTTTTAAACGAGAGTTTGAAATACGCCAAAAAACAAAGAAATGCGCAAGTTATCAATATCAAGAAAAACGGTAAAGGTCGTCTGGAAATTCGTATCATTGTAGAAGTTCAAGGCAAAAATCGTGTTGTTTTGGTGTCAGCACAAAAATTGAACGGGCAATATGTATTTTTTGACGGCAGATCTTTAGATTGTTCATAATTTTTATTGGCTCAAAAAGTTTTTCGCAAAATGAATTTTCATATTGTGAAAAAGCCTTTTTCTTTTTTTTTAAATAAAAAATAAGTGAGCCAATTTAAACAAGGATGTAAAGTAAATTATTGGTGCCAATCAAAAAATGGCACAATTTTTTTAATATTAAAAAATTCCCAAAACTGTTATAAAACATTTGTGTTGTGTTGTAAAAAAACTGTGCGTTATCATTTTTTTCTTTTCCGCCTCTCACACTATAGTAAACCCCTGTGAACACATCTGCACTTATTGTTCTTTCCAATATATTTATATTTATTTTGAATTTTTTTTATTCAATAATGAATTTTTTGTATAAAGTATTTCTCAATGTCTGTTAGAAAATCAAAGCGAAAATAGTTTTTTTTTTCCGAACAAAAAAAGTACTCATGCATGCATTTAATAGCATATGATTTGTTGTCACCTTGGTGATTTCGGAGTATTATTAAATCTCTCATTTAGCTTTTTTTCCTTCTACTTTTTTCTTGTTTGTTCTATTTTTTCTTCAATCAAAAAAATATTCTTTCGGTAGAAAAAATACTGGATTTTTCAGGATAACATGTACTTCTGGATCTCTGACAGTTCTGGAAAAATTTTCTGCTTACATCCAGACGGGATCATAAATCTGTTGCGAACAGTTATGCTAAATCGTAGAGATGAGATGATCAAAGAGGCTTTGAGAAAGGAGAAAATATTGGAGAAAGCAAAAATTAAGACGGAAGTGCCTGAATCGGAGAGATGGACAATTCGAACAGGTCGTATGATGAAACAATGTATTGAGATTTTTGAGCAAGATGTTGCTGAGAAGAAATTAGATGTTCCAAAGAGCCGTAATTATCAGGTTGGTGAAATATCATTTTTTCTGAAATCCACGTCATCAGCTAGAAGAAACCCGTCTCATCCAACTGTTCTATTTTTAATCCTTAAAAAATCCGTTGATGTGAGATCTTCCTGTTCAAAAATCAAAATACACAAAAAAGGGCGATCGTTTTTTCTCTTTTTCTCTGCCGTCTGCTATCAGAAGCTGGACGTACAATTAGACTAGCCGTTTAACAGATTTTTTTGAGTTATTCCTAGAGATTTTTTTGAGCGCGGCGCTTATGCGTAGCGGTTTTGGTTTTTTAGACAGCAAGAGTCACGGTATTGCGGATGTTTTTTGGAATACAAAATGGGGGAAGAATAATATAAAATGCTATTGGGATGTTTGAAACATGAATAACTTGAGATAACTTTTTTGAAATCAGAGAGCTAATTTTCGACTATAATTTTTTAGTTTTGAATAGTCAAAGTATGCAAAAACTGAAAAACCTAATTAAAAAAACTTAGAAGCTGTTGGTTTTGATTTCCACGTCCAAAACTTTCATATAGTTTTGCTTTGGTTCAATTCAGGCATTTATTCTGGTAGAGTTCTCAAGAGTTTTGCTTTCCAACTTCCAGAAGCTGAAAGTACACCACTATACTTTTATCTTGAATTAATTATGAGAGTGACTTCAAGTAATACATCTGAATTTATTCAAAATATCATGATTCGCGCCTGCGCCGCGTGTGCGTCGCGTTTTTTTGTGAATTCATGATTATAGCTAGCGTGTGTTCATGATTATAGCTAGCGTGTCATGATTATAGCTAGCGTGTGGCTGATAATTATAGATTTAAACGATAAAGTGCACAAGTGAGAATTAGTAATACAACCATTAATTATGGAATTTTCCGAAAACAGGAAAAGCGCAAATGATATGTTGAGAAACTGAAAGTAGTTGAGCTTGTACGGAAAGGAAAATCTGAATTTTGAAGTCAAAGCTCAAAAACATAAAAATAATAGTTGAAGTTGGAATCTGGAAATTGAACCAAAAAAAAAAGAAATTCCGTGAACAACTAAACCCAACCATTTATTCCAGCGAAACCGCAAAATCAACCAATATGTGAAATGGTTCCGCCGTGCAATGGATATTCCAACCGCCTCCAAACATCTTTTGCCAAGACATCGTCTCAACGAATATCGCCATCGTTCAAACGCCGAAGATACAGTCCGCAAAATCTACAAAATCTATCCAGACGAGGCAATTCGTTTTCCAAATCACACGGATTTATTCAAATTGTATCTGGATCTTCGTTTGATGAAATGGATCGAGACAAGCCAAACGAAAATCGAAGATTTTTATAACAATTTTGCTGAGGTTGACTAGTAGGTTTTGTTTACATTACATCGGGCAAAAAATGAAGAAGGAAGACAAAATAAAATAAATCATAGTTTTTTTCAATTTTCGAATCCAAACAAAACACATTTAGCAAATGGAAAGTGCATTAAAATCACAAGACAAAAAGCCTCATTTGGTATTCAAATTTGTTTATTTCAGAACGTTCGGTGACCAGCTCGTTTCTCATTTTTCGTTTTTTTCCTATTCTTCTTCTTCTACTTGAAAATATTAATTTGTATCCTTTTTTTGTAAATTACTGTACTTTTTTGAAATACTATTTTTTTCTGATTGTGAATGTGAAAAATTGCTTTCTAGCAACTCGAATGATAATAATATGTTGCACTTATTGAATTTTCTCTCTCCTTGGTTTTTGCCATAAAAATCTCACATTATTTTAATACAATAATGTGAAATGCTAATGTCTATAGCAACCTTTTCATTTGTATTTTTCTCCATTGATTTCCAGTGTTTTTTCATATATTTTTTTAGATTTTAGGTTTTTACTGATTCAATTTTTCTGTCTTTTCCCTTCTTCTCTTTTTAATTTTACTTTTATTTATTTATTATTTTTGAGATGAGCAATGAAATGGTTCCCGCGAGTGTGGCTTTCCAAGAATTGGTTAAAATTTTTAAACAAAAAGGTGCTGAGAGAATGGCAAAATGGAAAAGAGATACATTGGCGGCGTTGGCGTTGAAAGCATTTCTGCAAAGATATCGGGATGAAAAACATTCAGATTTGAACATTAAAAGAGCGTTGGAGATTTGGGAGGAAGAAAGTCAGGGTGATGATTTTTCAGTTTATGTGAGTTTGAGGGAGTAGGTTCACAATCAAAAGTTCTAGAATCTCATCAGATTATCTAATTAATTCCATTTGGGAATTTGCCTTAACTAAATAAAAAATGCCTACCCAGACTAATAAAAAATATCCCAAAAATATCTTCCAGGAAGAATACGTCAACATTTTCTGCACCGAATTACGCACATTGCATCAAGTTCCATACTTGGAACTTGGCGAAGTAATTGGTTTGAATTTTGAAAGTGAAGATGATTGTCGGTGTGGAATGAAGGCTTGGATTGAGCTTTTCCCTCACCGTGAAATCAAAATGCCATTGTTCATCTCGACCATCAAATTGTATTTTGATTCAGTTTTCTGCAATCTTCGTCTCACCGACACTGCAATTCACAAACTTAAAAGGTATTTTTTTGAAGATATCGTAAATTATTAATCAGAGAAATTTTCAGACTCTCGCAATAATCCAATGTAATTCTTATTATACTAATTTTGACAATTTGCTTATTTATTTGGTATTTTTTGCTTCTAATAAATTAATTTTTCAAAAAAAAATAAACTAGTTTCATTTTTCAGCTTGATCTTCAAACTCATAAAAAGCTATCACATTTTCATTGAAATTTACAATTTTCCTGAAATCGACAAAACGTTTTTTGAATAATACGATTTTATTGTGAAAAATCATGACAATGGAACATATTTACAAAAAAAACGGTTTCAATATTCAATCAAAAATTATTATAATTTAAAATGTTTTGTGAAAAAAATGTCAAATAGAGCCTAATCGTTGAATTATACCTATCAAGATTATGGCGGATTCTTGACAAAAAAGGTGTTAGAAAGTTTAAAAAAAGAAAAGAAAAATCCCGATTTTAGTCGAAAAAGTGAACAAAAAAAGAGTGAATTCAAAGAGATCTATTCTGAAAAAGAAAGGAATGGGGGAATTGGGCAAAAGTAAATCTATGAAACGATAATTGTGACCAGAATCATGAAAAATGCAGCAATTGTAGTTTTAGCCGTGTTAACTTTTCCGTTGCGTAATTTGGTGAGAGCCAAAGTATGCCATTTCTCTCGATTGTATGGGATTTCTTGAGCATCAGTGAGATTGGCGGGCAGCTCGTCGACTATGAAAATTCGACCACCCATGTCGAAATTTGTGGCACTCTGAAATTACAACACAGTTCATAAAGTTCCAATTTTTTTGAACTATAGTTTTAATTCGTGAAACAATTTCCAAAACTCACATTATAGTACAAAACACTTGGTGTAGTATCATTTGGTGTAAAGACAAAAGTATGAACATCTTCTGGCCAACCATCACACTCCAAGAACATATCAGACGCATTTTGATGTGGTTTCAATTGTGACCAAATACAAAGTGGACCAGAATTGCTATCCACTGGGCCAGGCGAGTAAATTGTGACTTTCTGAAACATTGTTTATTTTAAAAACCCGCTAATTTTTTATTCAAAACTTACCTCTGCTTCCATTGGGGATAATTCGTTATAAGCTCCATGTTCATCATTTCCAATGTAAAGAGGATTGAAAAACTGTGGGATTGATTTGTCTTTTCCTCCTTCGATGCTGAAAAAAAGTTTTTTTCTTAATAATTCTCTAGCTGAATTTGAAAATGACTCACTTGAAAGTGTAGGTTTCATTTCTGACCAAATACAAATCTGGTGTTTGCACACTATTCACAAACCACACATATTTCGGTGCTCTTAAATATGGAAAACCTGAATATGGTTTGATATTATTGGTCTCCGCAAGTTGGAATGTGAGATTTCGACGATCTTGAGTTCCACGAAGAATTCCTCTTGGTTTCATATTTGCAATTTCTGGTTTTCTTTGGAATGGTGGGACATATGGAGGAATATTTGCTAGAGTGTCGTCAGTTGGAACAACAATATTGCCGAAGTTTACACGATATTTGACGCAGAACACGGAGATCCAATCGATATGGAAGATGTCATAGTTTTCTGGGAGTTCGAGGATCAAGTCTTTGCCACCTTTGTAGTTCTCGCTGATTTCAGTGATTCTGGAAATGTGGGATTTAGTTTGGGTTCGAATATTTTGGACTTTACAATTATTATCTCTCATTCTCACACTATTTTTTTTCAAAACAATAATATAGCCATGTTTCAAACTACAAATTTTTCCAAGAATATTTTGATCAAATGATTCCGGACAACCTTGAAAATTGACATTTTTCAAAATGTTCTGAATTTTTTTTGATAAAAAAGTTCCGGGAAAATCATGCCACCAGTTCCTCGGTATTTGGAAAACCAGTTTCAATAATTTTCAAAAATTCCATAAATGGCTTTTGTCAAAAGACCTTGAAACCCAAAAATTTGAAATTTTCCAAAACGTTTTTTGAGGTAGAAAAACAATCCCAGCCAATTATCGTTAAACATTCTTTCAAAATGATACTCAAATTTTTTCCCAAATATTGAGCGATTGGGGCCATTCAATTTATTTTCTTAACGATGAGAAAGTAGAGAAAATCTATTCAGGAAGGCTGAGAAAATCGGAAAATGGTTAACAAAATGTATTTTCTCTGTTTTTCTTACTGTGTTGAAAATCTCGCCGCACAACAAAAATAGAAACTCACAAAAATTGAAGAGTTAGAAAATAAATACAAAATTTGCCCAATCCATGTTCTCGAAATTTGACTTTCAAACTACCGAAAGACAAAATCATAATTAGAATTTTGAATAGAATGGACAGCAGTCATTTAGCAACAAAAAAAGTGGTGCGATTTTTTTCCATCTATCAAACAAACTATATGGTTAGTTAGACAGCAGTCAGCAGAAAAAATAACCCGCGTTTTAAAAGAGACCGAGAGATAGTCAACAGAAAACACTTACTCATCAATGTCCTTCCCGCGAATCGCCACTTTTTCACCTGATTCAATTGCAACACCTGATCCACGTCCAGCATAGAAATATGTTTCTGAACAGAAAACGTTTTTTAGTTGTGGTCTAGCCGGGAAGGATGAAAAAAGGATTATTTCGCAGAGGGGTTCCTTACTTGGCGCCTTATCTCCTTGGAAAGTGAACGCGTATACTTTGATGGTTCTTCGATCAATCACATAAACTGGTCCAGACATAAGTTTATAGCGTTTTCCAGCGAATTCATTTGATAGCACCACCGAATGGGGGATTTTCATGTTTTCTGGGAGACTGATGGAACCAAAGTTGCGCTGAAAGTTGATATTTTTAATATTGTGAACCTGAGGAATTAGTGAAACATAATTCTGGAGCTAAAATTCACTATTGTGTATGAAAAATTGTTTGAGGAATTATTTATGATCTATATTTTTTTTTATTTTTCAGATCTTTCAGAAGTTTACAAAATCTTGAGAATTTTCAAAATTTGAAAGATATTTCCCATTATTTCTAACAAGTTTTCTTCGGAAAATCGAAATAAAATTCTGAATTAAGTTAATATTATTGTAACTGTCAAAAATCTTCCTACTATTTTCCCGATCAACTCACATCAGCCTTGAAATCATAAACCGAAAACGATTTGAAATCATCAATCTTGTGCTTTTCCGGAATATGTACCACAACTCTATCTTGTCCCTTTGGAAAGTTTCCAATTGGACTAATCCCATATTCATTTGTTATTCCTTTTAATCCATCCGGCGTCGCGCTTTCTTTTACATCAAACCAAAAATGAGCATTTTGTGATGCGTCAAATGTGAAATTGAAAATTTGCAAAGTCGATGAATTGACCAAGAAAACTTGTCCAGCAATATCCGAATTTCCATTCAATTCGCCCAAAAACACACCAAAATCCGAATTGTAAGAATTGATTTCATGAGTGGATCCTGGAATTTGCCACGTGGAATTTTCTAATCAAGATTTCGCAAAAGTCTTACCTTCTTTGGTCAAAAACAAAACCGCTGCTACTAATAGTGCAAAGAAATTCCGAAACGTTGATAACATCTGCAACAAAAAAAATGACTGAACAATTTCAAGGTAGTCACAAAAAATTTTCGAAACACAAAAAAAGAATAAGAAAAAAACCGATTATCCAGTCATTTTGGCAAAAAGTTGCAAATCTGACCAGTTCTCTAATACAAGCTGTCAAAAACCAAAATGATGTGGAAGAAAGAAAAAAGGGGCGTGGCTTATTGGTGATGGTGTTGGTGCAGAAAAGATGAATATCTCGAGTGGTCAAAAAGGGGAGGGGATCGAGATTTTTGAGGGAAAGGAGGCAGCGAATGAAATATTCATTTTTCATTTCGTTTCTCTTAATAATCCGATTAGGATGAGCGTGAGAAGTGACGTTTTGAGTAATTGGAGATGCTTAAATTTCGTTCGTGTTTGATAAATTTGCATTTCCCAAGAGTCGAGATTTATTGCTCATGTTTGAGTTTATGAGATTGGGTTTTATTGACAAGAAAAAGAACTTTGAAAATGGGAAAGGTTTAAGGAAAAATTCATTGCACGTTTTTCAGAAATACAGAAACTAGAAATCACTGTAAGAATCTGGCCCATCAAAAAAATTCTCCAAAAATCTAAGTTATTCGAAAAAATGAAAAACTGTCGAAAAATTTACATCATCTAGTTTTTCTGATAAATCAAATAATTGGGATTTCAAAACATTCACATTCAGAGATTTTTGGTTTCATTAGTGAACAATAATTTGCGAAAAATTGAACGCTCAATTTTAGTTCTAGCTCTCAAAAGTTTGAGTGACCTGCTCATTTAAAATTCATTAAAAGTTGCCATTTTAATTTAATTAATAAGTTATTCATCAAAACTACATTTTATGTTCCAAAGACAGCCAATTGAATTTCAAAAAAAATGACACTAATGACCTCCACCCAACACCCAGCAACAAAAATATCTTCACACCCGTCATTTAACCTCACACTCAATCAATCATAAATGAGGTAAACAGATGTAGTCATCCAGAAACAAATAAAATAAGAAACAAAAACAACGAAAAACAGTAATTATGACTCTAGGGACATTTAATGAGTCACTATGAACAAAAAACTATTACAGGCAGATGCTCAGAGAAATCGAATACGGTAAAAGAAGAGGGGAGGTGCAAAGTGTGCATATGGCAATGTTTATCTTGCACCATTTTTGACCGATATTGTTCTACATTTGAAGGGATGTACTACTAGACTAATAAAAGGCTCTCTTCTTTTATTTTGTATGAGGGGAGGGGTTAGATGACAGTCGGATTATATTAGAAGGCCACACAAAGACAGCTGACAAACATGTGTTGAAAATAGCAGATAATAAGAGACCGCTCACTCCGCCAAAAATGGATGGAATTTGAGAGCTTTTTTATGTTCGTTGGAGATAAGAATGTTTATAATAAATGTATAAGTCGGGCATATGGAAAAAATGAATAAAAGAAGCGGGTTGAGGGTTTGATTTACAACTTTAGCATTTTTTCGAAATAGAAATTCTAACATTAATTTTTGTCAAAAACAGGGATTAGGTATTGCGTGAAAAACACCAATTAGAGGTAATTTTGTGGGCCAATCTACTTTTTGGAACTCCAGAACCTCAGACTGAAAAATACCTCTAACATTAATTTTGAAAGCTTGTTCCCGCTTCACTTCTATCTAAAAATCGCTATCCTTTCATTCACATGACCCTAGCTCTCAAAAAACCATAGCAAAAATGCAGCTAATTTACATACCCAAATAGAGAATGTTACCTAACAAGAGCCCACTTATCAAAGAGAAAAAAACGCATAACATCTGCCAGGTAGGCTAATGTTTATATTATTATAATAATAATATATTTTTGAGCTTCACGCTCTTGTGTAATTAACAATCGGAAGTCGGAAGATGGAACCTTTTAGGTGTTTGTGTTTGTGTAAAGAGGGTGCCATAAATTAGCGGTGTCAATAAAAGCACCTTACCTCATTTTACCTTATAAATTTGTCATATGTTGGGGTGTCGGCTCCAGAAAATTTGTTTTTATTATTGTAATTATTGTTGGTTAAAAGGTTTTGGGCGTGGGGTGAAGTAGTTTAGTAATGAACATTCCGGATGAATGAATGGTACTTGAGATGAAGGTCCCTTCAACTAACACGTCAAGTGGGGACAAAATAGCGCAAAAGGTTCGGAAAATGTACATATGTTTTGTGAAAGTGTGGAATAATTATTACCGAAATGCGGGTTTTTTATGGGAAAAATAAGAGTGCAAAGTGAAGTAAAAATTGTGGGAACAAGCAGTTCGGATAAAAATATTGAAACAAGAGAAAATCGAAGCCAATGATAAAAGAGTGCCGAAAACATTATGACTACATATGTATTTATTATCAATATGCTTATCTTATTGACCTAGGAAACATCTGGGGATGGGCTACTGTTCATTTTGCCACCTGGGAAACTGTGACCCGTTTGTAAATAATTTTTATTAACGAAAACTGATATCAGATAGGATTTTTTAAAAAGAGTGAGAAATTCTACTTGACAAGTATTTATTCAGAAAATTCTCAAGAAAAGAATACAGTATACATATATGTACAAACATATTGCCATTACAAACTGCAAAAACAACAGACAAAAAAAACTTTTTTTTCATGGAGATGAGAATAATTACAGGATTAGAAACAAGTTTTGTTTTCATTCAATCCATCTATTCGTTTATTCATATTTATTTCAACACAAGAAAAATGAGAAAACCGCAACAATAATCAAAAAATGCGGGTCAATCTTCCTTAAAACTGTGTGTATTCATTCACATACCAACCCAACCAATAAAATTTTATTCGGTCAATTCGCAAGACCTCTTTAACTTTTTTGCGTTAAAAATCAACAGAAGGTGCGGTTCATTCATTAATTAAGTTGACCATGGGTTATAATTAGGAAGAAATAACAAAACGACACATGGAGCAACAAAAGGTCAATTTTTGGAAAACAAGAAAAACATGGTTTTCATCAATTGAAAATTATATGAAACATGTAGACAATAAATTATTTTAGGTGAGAAAAAAACTTACAAAAAAGGTTTGAGATAACATCGAACCGGTATGAAAAGAAAGACTGTTTTAAAAAATGAAATTTGATTCATTTTTTGATGATGATGGATCGATGAAATCATATGGATTTGGATCAGCTTACAATTTTTGATGACACATAAAAAACTAGTTGACACATATCATTTTTTTGCTGACCTTGTTATTGGGATATCTACGCAACATTTTTTGAGTTTAATGTAATATAAACATTTTGGATTCATTGCGTGGACAGGGAAGGTGTGAAGAAAAGTAACATAATACTTTTGAATGAAGCAGGATATAACTAGAAATAATTTATGTTAAGGATAAAAGGATAATTTTCATAATTTTTGAGCTTCACAATAGTTTTTATGGACAAAATACGTTGTTCAGTTTCTTAAAAAGATATAATTTTAATGAACATCAAACTCAACAGCTTCTGAAATAAAAAAAATCAAGATTCCCAACGCTAATCATGAGAATTAGTTTCAAAATTCAAGAAAAGAGAGTTTAATAAATCAAAAGTCAAATTACCAGAAGTACAATTTTCAGGTTCAAAAAACAGGTTAAGATTAGCATTTTCAAAAATTCAAGGCACCTCTCAACCCACAATAACTTTTCCAACTAGAGAAAAGTTCGAAAAATTACTCCATCATCAAAAAAAACTACTTTCACCATCTCCAATTACCAAAGTACATCAAAAATTACTGGAAAAATCCAAGCCAACTTCTTTTTCTTTTTCTTTTTCTCAAAAACCAGGTCAATCCTATTACCACTTTCATTGTCGTTTTTCTTCCACATTTCTTCACTGCCTTTTGAACCCAGAATCAATAATATTCAAACAAACAAAATATTGCCCAAATAAAACCTTATTGTTCTAACCACACTCAATATTTGACTTGGTATTAAACAAGCACTTGACAAGTCTGGTTTAAAGGCACATTGTTTTTATTCACTGTGGGGCTTCCGGGAGGCAATGAAAATGGAAGGGAGGGGAAGGGAAGCTATTTGATTTTTGTTTATTGGTAACTTGATAACTCAGAAAATAATTATGATGATTATGATGAGACAAAAAAAACAAACAAAAAACAAAAATTCAAAAAAAGAGGGCAAGATGGTTAAATCTGATAGTTCTACTAGTTCAAGGACAACATCAAAATCAAAAAAAAAGTTTTCAATAAATATATCAACTTTCCTCAATTCATTAATAACAATATTCAAAAGCTAAATGACCATCGAAAAAAGCTTTGAAATCTTTTGAATACTAATTAAATGGATGTGTCAGCAGAAAAGACTGTTAGAAAAAGTGAAAGCGAGCGTGAAATTTGTGTTTATGGAATCGTAATGATGAGTCATTTTTTCGTTGATTGGATTTTTGTGGAAATACAATTTGTGATGAGTGAACTACAAAAAATGGATGATTTGTTGATGTTTTTCAAGGCTCTTTCACTTTTGAAGGTGAAAAGAAGATGAAGATTGGAGAAAGTGAGTGAATTTGCAACATAGGTCAGAAATTGTTTTGTGGATTTTCAAGAAATTAAAAAATCAGAAAAATTAAAGCTTCTAGAAAACACCGACAAATGAAAAAATTCATAGCATGGGTATGTTTTTTTTTGAAATTTGCATCTCTGAAAATGAAACTGTTTTTAAATTTGATAAAAATTTCCAATTTGAAAGCATTACGTTATCAAAAAATTCCAAAAAGTTCAATTTTCTGGGAAAAGTTCACGGAGAAACCCATTCGAAATGCAAATCTGACATCCAAAAAGAAAGAGAAAAATGTAAATGTCATCGAATTTCAATTTGATGAATAATGAGAAAATGAGGAAACCCGTACCAAGATAAAATCAAAGCTGCAAACCAAGCTGGCCTCTCTTTTTTTGTCTTGTTCTTCATATTAAAAAAGTTCGGTTCGGCAGCTGCGAAAAAGGAACCATATATCATTTTCAACATTATGTATTCTCATCAAAAAATGCATACAAATATAGAAAAGAAGGATACAAAAATAATAAAAAATATCGAGTACCCTTGAAATTTCATTTCAATACAGTTTTTATTGTTATTCGTATTTATTTATTTATTTTCCATACAAAGTAATTAATTAATATCATTATTAGTTTTTTTTGTCTTTTTTATCCTCCTGATTCTTGTTTTATTCATTTCCGTTTCAAGTTTGCCTTGACCAATATAATGAAAAAAAGGAATAATAAAAATGATGATTGTTGGAAGAATGAATATGTATGGATGGATAAAACAAAAGGAAATGAGATTTTTGAGAAGATGAAAAATTAAAACTCGCGTCAGTAGTCAATAGTACGAATTTGAAAACTTTTGAAGATAACTCCAAAGAAAAGGGGGATTTTTTATTTTAAAAATGAATACATGAAATCTTTAAAATTTATTTGGTGAGAGAGCTACTTTTCCAACAAAATCAAAAATTTCAAAAACAAAAATACACTTTACCGACAATAAAATTACACGAGAAAATTATGGAAATGCAATACAAATTGTCCATTTCTTTATTCATCACATTTTCCATTTCTGCTTCATTTTAATACAGTGTGTTTAACCAACTGTAAATAGTTGTTGCACTTCTTCCACTCATCTTCCAAATTTACAAATTAATACCCATCGCGAGTTCAATCATCCATTTTAAGTGAGTGTGACCTCATTCTCGATTTCTCCTTCCTCATTTTCATTTTGTTTTCTTGTTCTTCAAAAAAATGCTTACAGAGGCACATCTGCGCGTAATATTTGCATAGGTGCCCATCCACTTGTAAATCAATCAGAATTATGAAAATTTTTTTTTTGGGATTTTTCATTTTTGAAAATATTGGATGACGGATGAGTTGCAAGATTGCTATCTTTGGCGCTAAAATACATAATTATAGGACCAACTGCATTTTATGATTTATTGGTGTGGGGTGTGAGAAATGTGGTGAAGGGTGAACAAGGTTATCTTATGCAATTGTTTTTTGTCACACTTCTATATTGGATGACTTTGAGAGAGACTGGGGTTGTAAGGATTGAACTTTTTTTTGGAAAAAAGCAAGACAATTTTCGTTCGGAATCAGGAAACAGCTATTAATTTGTGTATTCTGTTATTTTTCAGATGTGTTTCAGAAAGGATTTTATGAATTTTGAAAAAATAATACAAAAATCAGAAACTATACATTGTTTTTTAAAAAATGGTAAACGTTTTTTCGACTACATACAGTAATACCCTCAAGAAACCACATGATAATTTTGTATAGTTTATTTTAAATTTCCAAAAATACTGATAACAATAAAAATCAAACATTGTCATATGTATTTTTGTAAACAATACAAAACACACGTAGAATTTTTTTCAAAATTAGTTGCAGGTTTTTTTCTCAAATTCTCACATCATTGGAGGCTGGAAGCATTCGCAGTATCAGATGTTTGAATATTCAATGAAGAAAAAGAACTCTCTTTTTTGTTTTTCAAACTGTTTTATTTGTTACACTGAAACCAAAATGAATAATAAAGCTTTTATTGACAAAAAGTAAAAGGTGCAATTTATCATAAAGTACACAAGTTAAATTCACTAAAAGCTAACTGTCTCTAAAGAATCGATAAAAATATCAAAATCAAGACATAACAAAAACTATTCATCATTTCAAAAATGTTTAAATGTATTGTTCTGTTACTTTTTTGTGCTGTTTTTCTGGTAAGTTCGCATCATATTTTGTAACAAAATTTGATTTTTTAGGTAGAGTCAACACAAACATTAACCGAGGCTAATGAAAAAAATTTTGAGGAAAATAATGATGAAGATGGTTTTATAATGAATAATTTTGGATTCTTGATGTCAAACTCGTTTCCGTTTGTCAGAAAAATATTGATTAAATTGGTGAAAACAAATCTGAAAAAACAAAATGTGAACAAGATGGCTCGAACAATATTTTCATTTGTGAAAAAAGAGAAGATCATTAGTTGTGTTTACAAACAAATTGAATCAATGACATCTGAATGTTTGGCTGAAGAGGTATCATTTTTTGTTCAAAAATGAATGTTTTCATTGATTTCCAGGACTGGTTGGAATGTTCAATTATTCGACTTCAGAAAAATTGTGGAAAGATTGTTGAAACTGTTATAATGAAATTTGCGCAAGAAATAATTTTAGAGTGAGAATATTTTTGTGCAATGATTTATTGTTTCTTGGTACATATCTGTAATTTATTCTTGTGATTTTTTTGAATTATGAATAATGTTATTTGAAAAAATTCACAACAATTTCATTTTAAATTTTAAAAACAAAAACAGAGGGAATTGAGTTTCATGTGAACTTTTTAAAATAAACATTTAAGAAAGACATTCTTGACAAGTCCATTGTAGAATAATTTTGATTGCAAACTTTTTCAAAAGAACTTCGATTCAATCTGAAAAAATTTCTTTGATTAAATTTTCTGCTTTAGTCAGAAAAACTACCTTTTATTCAGAACTAATCAAATCATTCAGCTCAACTGGAACATGAACTTGATTATTTGTTTTTCAAAAATAATTTTTTGCCCGATCAATTATTCTTCTATTTCTTTTAACTCTCTATGTTCAGATTTTTGAATAGGTTTCACAATTTGAAGCTTTAGAATATGAAACATTACTCTAAAAAATTTGATTGAGGAAAACTAAATTCTTATTCAATTATCTATGTAAAAACAAACTCAACCATTAAAAAACTTGTCGATTCATGTGGCTGATTTGAAATTTGATTCTAGTATTATTTCCATGAAGTATATCAAATATGCGCAGTTTGATAAACTTTTGTCATTGATCCGTCTGCAAAACCTTAAAATAACTCTTTCATGTATCTTGATACAATATTTTTCGAGAGCACCTTAAATTCCCTGACACGAGCAAGCACGGTGATATGTTAAAATATGTATTCGTATATATGCTTACAATTTTGATTCTTTAGAAAAATTATTCTTATTACGAATGTGCACTTCTGAAAAGTGCAGACAGTCAAAAAAAAATCATAATATATCAAATTCCCCAATGTAATTTAAAAAGAAAAAGGAACATTGTAGAGTCAACACGTGTTCATTTTCCTTTCCAAACATCTGTTCTGAATTTTCTGCGCTTCCAAAGAGATTTGAAACAAAGTGGAAAAAAGCAGAAAAACAACGACGATTTCCATTAAAGTTGCTGTCGAAAAAAGGTCATTATCGTTTACCATCCAAATGTTTTTCTATCGTTTTTTTATTTCTCAAGTACAGAACATTCACACTCTTTTCATCCTATTGTTTAATTTCATTTCGACAAAATTTCAAGGTTTTTTTGTCTCTTCCAGTGTTTATTTTTTCTTTTCTCTTTTTTCTGTTGCGCCGTTCCGTCACTTTGGCAAACATTTCAACTCACCTTTTTTCCAAATAGTTTTTTATTTTATTTTATTTTCGTTTTTCCTGTCATTCAATCCAATTGTTTTGTTTTGTCGGTGTCGCTTCTTTCCGTAAGAAAATGACAAAAAATATAACCGTTTTTCAATGCCATCTAAGTTCCCAATCTTTTTTCTTATTCTTTTGTCAGTCACGAAAAAAGGTGTTCTTTTCTTTGTTTTTTTTTGAAAATGAAAAAAAAATTATTCAGCCTTGGACAACATTTTTGTTTTGTGTTTATGTATTTGTTCAATCAATTTCAATTTGGAGTAAAAAATGATGATTTTTAACATAAACAAAACGTTTGTGCACTTCTTTTTCTCATATGTCTTGAGAAAATTCTGGCTTTTTTTTTTCAATAAACTGTTTGACAATTGCTCGCGTTCTCTCTACTTTTAAAAGTTCTAGATTTGCGTTGAATCAACAAATTTTTTCGATCAATAGAAATACTGTAAGCATTTTTCATTTATTCATAGCAATCGAGATAATGAATTCGTTTAAATGAAGATTCGAACATTTCAGAAGATATCTACAAAAATATATTTCTCAAAAATTGATGAATAAAATGTGTTGCTTTCTCAAATTCTCACTATAACCCAGACAATTTTTAGATCATAAAATTCTTACTGAATTAAGAAACCAATCACAAGATCTCATTCAGTTCAGTTGTGTTCAACTAAATTACTGGCCCAGGCTTTGAAATTAGTTTTTCTTAACCCAAACTGGTCTGTTCAATTTTCATGTGTTTCGGAATTGTTACTGCAGCTCCTCATGGAACATTGAAAACAATACTACTATTCTGATATCTAAAAAAAATTGTTCTGGATACTGTAACATAACATATTCCGAAATTTTGAACTTCTCTTTTTTACGACCTAGCTTCAAAGGTTTTTTGTAGTCTAAAAATTGCTGTAGCTCACCATGATTCTGAAATTTGTATTCATGTTTCTTTTTGAGAAAAAGATTACTGTATGTATTTTCTATTCATTTTAGGGGTAAAATATGAAACGAACTGTTTTTATCAATTCTGCAAATCATTAGAAAAAAAATAAATATTAAAAAATCTGTTTTATCCAGAGTCCCTGAATGTGAGTTGATTTCACAACTTGCAATGTTTGTTTTTTGGTGTAAAAAGAATCAAAGAAAATGTGGCTTTTATCAGGCGTTATCTATTTTCCAAAAATACTTTCCAGTTCTTTTTTTGGAAGTTCTATTATAATTTTGTTTTGTCAAATTCAACAAGTTCTGATTAAATTTCTGATTTTATCCTTATTCATAGCTCAAGTTTCCAATCCTCTTAAAACTTGAATAGATCTGAAAATATGTTTTTCTTCCTTTATTATCAATAATAGTACATATTACTCACAAAAATCATCAGAAAACTAATAATACCGTAGTTAGTGTTTATCATCATCATATAAAAGAATAACAGTTTTTTATTTTAAAATGTGCACTTTCGAATTACTCATTCAATTGACATATCAGAGCACTTTCACATTTGCTCTCTAAGGAATCTATCAATTTTTCAGACCTTTTTCTAACCTCCTGACATTTATTGTTGATAAAAAATACATTGCAAAAGCAAACTGATCTCTAAAGTTTGATTTTTTTTTTCAAAAACAAAAATCCTTTTCTTAATGGAATCAGAAAAATATATTAATCTGAAACCTTACATTGTTCTTTTTTGTTTTCTTGTGTTTTCGCCAAGCCAGCAGTAGAATAAAAAAATCTGGAATTTCCCATTTTTTCCTACACATTATTATACTCGTATTCATCGACAAGATTATAAAATATATATATTTTTATATATTTCTTTATCTATCTATTCAACAAAATCTTTCTTTTTGTATTATATTTTTCCCCCATTATTGCTTTTGTTATTATTATTGTCACCATTATCAGGAGCGCCATTTTTGCTATTATCAAAAATTGTGCACCTAATCCTTTCTTTTCTTGAATTCAATATACATTTCCTTTTTCCTTTCTCTCCCGATTTATATTATATTCATAAATAGGATATAAATTATTGGTTGTTTCTCGGCCTTTTTCTTCTTCTCCTCGTTTTTTTATTTCAAAAGGTTTTTGATTAGTTGCACTTTTTGAAACATCTTACTCATTTTTTCTTCTAAATTTTGCACTTTTTTATAAAACAACAAAACTTTTTGAAGAAAATCAGAAAAATAGTTCCTATCAATGCGTCATTGTTTTTGTGTTTTCAAAAACACAACAAATACAAAAAAAGTTATCTTCGAAATAATTTGACCATAATAATAAAAGCTATTTTGCTTATTGTTAGCAAATAAACAGTGTTTTAACTGAATTGTCTTATCATTTCATTTCATTTCATTTTATTTTGAAGCAGAAGACATTTTAATAATAATCATTATTATTTTTGTTCTCCATCTTCTTCTTCTTCTTTTTATATTAGTTATATATGTAACAATAAAAAATCCAAGGAGAAAATAATAATAATAATCCGTTTTGCATTCATCCGCGGCTCCATTCTTTTGCCCCATTGATAAACACACACGTTTGAATAACAAATTATTGTATGTGAGGATAATGAGCACTCTTTTCTTATTTTGTTTGTCTCTCTTATTCTTGTTCCATGAAAATTCAAGCAAAATTTATTCAGCTTGAGAAGAATATGTTGACTGAAACTCTGAAAAAATCGCCTACCGATTCGACCAATCAACGCATAAAAAGACCTATGAACGCGTTTATGGTGAGTTCCCTGATAAAAAATTTCATGTTGGAAAGAAAGAAATATTTTAGGTGTGGTCACAAATGCGGCGTCAGGAAATTTCATCAACCGGAGGCAAATTTCATAATTCCGACATTTCGAAAATGCTTGGCGCTGAATGGCGGCAAATGGCCGAAGAAGAAAAGTTACCATATGTTCAGAAGGTTAGAAATTCCTGAATTATATTGGAAATTGAATTAAAATTATCTAATTTAGGCTCGTGATTTACGCGAGGAGCATTTTAAGGAACATCCAGATTACGTTTACCGGCCAAGAAGAAGAAAGCGAATTCAAAAAATTGTGACTGAAAACCGTCTGCCAAGTGAAGAACAACAAATTGAATCAGTAAACCGTTTCTTCCCACATTTTCTGATGAGTCAGTTGATCTATCAAAATCTTATTTCACAAATGCAAAATCAGAATGCTCAAAATGTGCCACCCCAAGAATCACACTCACCCACAGATACTCTAAAGCATTGAAAAAAAGAATATAATTTTGTTTTGGTTAATTTTTGATTTTTTTGTTATACATATTTTATTTATATATAACATTATCAGGATATGTTTTAACAGAATCCCGGCGTGTATTTTTTGATATGATCTCGATTTTTACCCATTTTTTGTTTTTTTTTCTGAACGTGAATCATCTATTTATTTATTTAATTTTATCTTGATTTCTATCTTTCATTCATTTACCAATAAAGTCTATATTTTTCCTCCGGGGAATTCTTGTACTTTTTTGTTAAAGTACATGATGATTTAAGGTTAATATATGAATAATGTGTCCTTTGATTAATTGTGGTGAGAATTGAATAATACGAAGAGGGAATCATGAAATTGAAAAACAAATTGAAAGAAAATGAGGGAAAACGGTTTTAGGTGAGTCTAGATTTTCAGATTTTCAGATGATCGACTACCCTAAACATGTCATGCACTATTTGAGACTTAACTTATGACAATTTTAGGGGTGGGACAAAATTCAACGCAACATTCAGAAATTTAGAAAAAAAATATTTTTGATCTACCAGAAAAAGTTTTGGAATTAGCGGTTTGGAGTAGTAAACTACATCATATGAATTACTCCAGCTCTAAAAAAATATTCACAATTTTTTTAACGTGAATTTATTTATAGGTTTTTCATTTTTAACAATCATGCACTTTATGTATGATTCATTATTATCATATTTTGAATTTCTTTTCCCGTTTTCAAATTCTGACTAATATTATCAACAGAGAGTAGAATCTTTTCAACCAAACACACTCTTGTCATTTTTTTTTGTATTTTTAAGTAAAAATCAAAGATATAAATTATTATATGAAAAACATTTTGGACCAAAAATATGTGGAAAAACATTGAAAATTTAATTGAAAAGGATGAATAATGAAATAATTGTTGAAAGATAGAAAGTTAATTGAGTAGACGATTGAGTGGTTGTATAATATGTGGTAGTGGATTGTGTTGTAGTTGTGGTTGTTATCTTGGTGGTCTTTGTTGTTGGTGGTTTTGTTGTTGGGGTTGTGTTCGGTGCAACTGTGGTTACTGGTGGAGCCTGAGTTTGTGGAGCTGGAGTTGTCACTGGAGAAGAAGTCGTTACTGGCGCAGCTGATGATCCTGGAAGTGCAGTTGAACCTGGAGCTGCCGATGATGCTGGAGCTGCAGTAGAGATTGGGCCTGCAGTTGAAGCTGGGGCGGCAGAAGTAACTGGAATAGCGGATGTTACTGGAGTGAGTGGTCCAGTGGTAATTGGTGCAGCTGAAGTGATTGGAGCTGCAGAGGTTATGGGAGCACCGGAAGTGACTGGAGCAGCGGAGGTAACAGGCGCAACGGAGGTTACAGGAGCGGCTGAAAATCAGAGGTTAGAAAAACCAAATTTTCATTCGGAAAAATCACAAATCTTTTTTTTCATTTTTAATTGCTCATGAACACGAGCAACCAATTATTTTTTGATGACAAATATAATTTGTCATCGACAAAAAAAGGTTTTCAATATTTTTTCACTGAAAGGGCTTCAATCTTACTTGTTCTTCCAGCTCTTGTGGAGCTCTGCACAGAAGTCACAATTGGGGAAGTGGCGGGTTTTCCAGTACTGCTTGTGATAGGGTTAGGGGATGTGATTGGGTTTGTGATTGGTGCACCGGTGGTAACTGGTTTAGCCGATGTAGCTGGGTTTGTGCTTGGTCGAGCTGTGGTAACTGGTTTAGCTGATGTAGCTGGGTTTGTGATTGGGGCAACGGTGCTCAAAGTTTTCGGTGAGGTGGCTGGGTTTGTATTGGCATTTGTGGTTGTGGTAGGGTTAGTGGATGTGGCTTGGTTAGTGCTTGGCCCAGCTGTAGTTACTGGGTTCGCTGATGTGGCTGGGTTTGTGATTGGTGCGACGGTGGTCATAGTTTTCGGGGAGGTGGCTGGGTTTGTAATTGAACCTGTGGTTGTGATAGGGTTGGGGGATGTGGCTGGGTTAGTGATTGGTCCAGCTGATGTGGCTGGGTTAGTCACTGCTCCAGATGTAGTCATTGGTCGTTGAGAGGTAGCGGGGTTAACTGAGGTCTGGGGATTTGCACCAGTTGTTGGATTCTGAGTCGAGATAATAGTTCTACCTGTATTAATATTAGTAGTAGTGGCTGCGTTTTGGGTGGTGGCAGTGGATTGTGTGACTGAAAATCATAAGATCAGTCAAACCTTTTTATTATTTATCTTACTTGGTTGTGCAGTAGCTGTGGATTGTGTGACCGGTGAAAGCGGGGTAGTGAGTGGTTGGGTGACTGTTGATATCTTACTTGGTGCAGTTCCTGGTGTTGTTGTAGTTTGCGGTGCCAATACAACATATGGTTTATTAACACCTCCTTCATAACCATAAGAATATTGTCCATTCTTTCCAAACACAAAGAATGAATATGTTCCTTTTTTAGATGGATCAATGTAAAGTTGATGGAAACCAGCTTGTGGAACAGTGATATAGAAAATGTAATAAGCAACTCCATCAACTCGTTGAATTGTTGGATTCGAGTTATGATCATAGATGAGAACGCCATCAAGTTGAAGGAAAGCACAAGCGACTACAGTACAGTATACTTCAAGAGTATCGTTAGCATTTCTAGTGTGGAATGGTGTATAATCAACATGATATTGTGTGGTAGATGGAGAGGTAGCAATAAATGCACCAGATGTTGAAGTAGTTTTGGAACCGTCATAATATCTTGCGATGTGAATGTTTGAACCTCTAAAATTTTTGTAAATTGTTATAATTTTTCTCAAACTGTCTTACCCATTATGGAAAGAAACACCTTTTTGTGAATCTGTGGTTGTTCTCACATTCCAAAGTGGGGATTCCATTGCTGGTTTGATTGTAATACCATAACTTGTACCGTCATTCAAAGTGTAAGTGATCTGGAAAGATTTTCAGTCTCAAACGAAAAACATGTTTTCAAGCTCACATTTTGTCCAACTGAACAACTTCCTGGAATATCGGTAAAAAATGAGTAAGTAGTTGGGACATAACTGATGTGATCATCATCATAGTAATCATATGAGTAACAATCTGAAAATATATTCGACTTCTATGTACAGAATAAAATTTGAAATAAAACCAACCAGTTGCGGCTTGTGGATGTGGCATATAAGCAACATGATCACAATTACTATCAACTTGTCCAGCGCAAGTAACACCGGCTACAATTAAAACAGGTTTGTCAGAAATTACGTGATAGGTTCTTGGCCGAGTATCTGGTGTGCGAGTTCCAATATATGCTGCTGGACTATCACCATTTGAAATATTCATAGCGATTGAGGATGCACTCAAACCAATTTCAACAATCGCAACATTTGTGTATCCCTGAAAAATAGAAACATTTTGGGAAAACATTTTGACTGAGTGAGTTAGAGGAAAGTATTTTCAGCAAGTATGTTTTTATAAGATTAGATGAAGCTTTCCAAAAGTATGTGTTAAGGAACAATCACAATTCTTGTAAGTTATATAAGTAACTCGCCAACTCTATACATACAAATGTTAATTTCAGAAGCCTGTCTACTTTCCTTGTTAAAGAAATTTTCAGCTAGCTCTAATAATCCCACTTACCGAAGTTGTTGGAAAAACAAAAACTTGTTCATATTGTCTTGCAGTTGTTGAAACGACCGCTGGCGGCAGAGAAAATGTGAAACTTGTTGATCCCCAAGTTGTTGGAAGAACCATATAAGTATCTCCTTGATTTGTTACATTATCATAATTATTGGCAAGAACAGTAACATTACAAGTTGATGTTGCTTGAAGAGTCAAATATAAATCGTCTTGGACTCCATAACCAGTATAATTGAAACCATACCAGGAGGGGATTGGAATCTAAAGAAAACAAATGGTTTTGAATTTATTATCATTTGGAAAAAAATATGTTTACTGTTGTTGAAGAATTGACTGGAAGTGTTGTGGTTGATTGAACTGGTTGAGTTCTCTTATCATAATTTGATCTGTATCTTAATGTAAAAACGCATTCAGCAGGATTTTGATTCAAAACTGTTGCAGATAGCACTTGATTTGTTATATCCGGATTAGCATTTCTAACAAAACCAAACACGAAATTTGTTCCCTCACTATCAACTGCAAAGACACTTGCAATAGTCGCCAAGAAAACTGGAAAAAAACGATGATTGCATTATAATTACCGTTTAATCTAAAACTGATAAAATACACATATTATATGTGTCATTAAATAATCCACGTGTTCATTTTTCTTTTCTTCTTTCTATTATGATGTTTTTTCATGTTGAGCATCATTAGTAAATAATAAACATGAAAGAAATTTCGATAGCGTTTGTTATTCAATTCCTGGATACATCTTGACCAGAAAAAATCGTTAGAACTCTCTCTTGGGTAATAAAAAGGTTATTATTACATAAAAATTCATATGATAAAATGAAACATTATTATGTGTGACGTGGGAAAAAGGGACAATGGTAATAAAATTATTTTTCCGAGTTTGTATGTTGACAGTTTTTTATAGAGGTTATGAAATTTTTCAAAAATTTCTAGATGTTCATAATCAATTTTTTAGAAGTGTAACTAGAAAAAAATTGGAAAAAAATCATAAATTGAATATCCAGTTTTTTTCAAATGAATGTATAATAAGTTTTCAGAAATTTTTGATGAATCAATAATTTAAACAAACTTTCTGGATCTTGCTTATGAACACTTCAAATAAAACAGAAAAAAATAGCACAAAATCTTTAAAGAACACTTCGGGATTGAAAAGCATTCTCCGGAGTAAGATTATTTCAAAAATCATAGATTGGACAACTTTGTAATATTGCAAGGTCCCAAATATACTTTGGGTAAGTTTTGTACCACAGGGTTTTGAAATAATTATATCTTGTAATGATATGATTGTCACAGTTACAGGTAAACCTTAATTCTAGCAACATTTTGATTTTTTGAACTCACAAAGTGACTCATGCTAAATTAAAGGGACATAAAACAATTTGAACTTAACAGTGTTATTCAAATTGTCAGAATTTATTGAAAACACTCGATCTGAAACAATTATTATCTATAAAAACATATTTCTCAATCTGAAAACTCTTTCGAATTACCAAAATTTTAGTACCCAAATTTCAACTAATTACTATAATCCGATGCTTAAAAAATTATATCAAAAATTAAATAATCAAAAACTCACCGACAATTCGACAAGAACGCATTTCGAAGCAAGTGATAAGAAAAAGAAACCTCTCTTCTCGTTTGCATTTCAAAATTGCCAAACCCACCCTTCTCCTTCTTATTTTTACGACGGTTATTCAAACTTTTGGTCTGCTGCATAAGAAACATTTTATTTTATTATTTCATTTCAAATCATTCTATAAGAAGATCTTTAAGAGGATACATATTGATAAATCGTGTGTTTTTGTTGATTAAAAGAAGCTCATCGGGATTTGTTTAAAAAAATAGCATCGGGATAATTTTTAAAAGCAATGGGTAAATATAAAGATAATAAATTGTATTATGTAATCTAATGGTTTCGTTGTTTTTCATCGTCGGTTGGCAAACTACTGTAGACAGCCAATGGACGTCTCTCGTCATTGTTAGCTGCAACAAAAAAACATTTTTTATAACATAAAAATCAAACAAACCAATAGAATGAGATCTGGTAGTGGCAGCAAGACGATCGTGTGCATCAAGATCAGCTTTCGAATAATGATAAACGATTCCAGCACCCATGGCATCACCAAGAACATTGATTGAAGTACGGATTCTGTCAAGAAGCCAATCAACAGCTACGATCAAGGAAACATCTTTGACTGGAAGTCCGACTGCAGTCAAAACGAGAAGCATGGTGACCAATCCAGCTGATGGAACTGAAGCAGCTCCAATTGAGGCCAATGTTGCGGTTAAACTGAAAAATACTTGGTTTAGAGATGAGGTTGCTTATTGAATTTGAATGTTGACAATTTTTTAGAACAAAATAGTATTGGCTGATTAAACTTTGGATTTCTTAATTTGTTTGAAACATTTAAAAATTTTTTGATGCAAACCAGATTTTTCTCTTAAAAAACTCCATTTGTTTCTTGACATTTGCGATAAGACTCTTTGTGGGCCTCCTTAGCTCAGTTGGTAGAGCGTGAGACTTTTAATCTTAAGGTCAGGGGTTCGAGTCCCCTAGGTGGCTTGATTTTTTTCTTTTCTTAAATTGAATTGTGACGTTTTTTTTGTATTATTAATGAGATTGGAAATTTTAATGTCTAGGATCTTGTTTTCTTAGATGAACAATTATTACTAACTTTCAAAGACGTTTTGTCCCTTTAAGTTGTTTACCTGACAGTAACGACTTGACCAAACGACAAATGAACTCCGTTAATCTGAGCGATGAAAATTGCAGCAACAGCTTCATAAAGAGCAGTTCCATCCATATTAATAGTAGCACCAACAGGAAGTACAAATCTAGTAACACGTCGATCAACTCCAAGATTTTCCTCAAGACAATTGAAAGTGATTGGCAAGGTTGCAGAACTCGAAGCAGTTCCCAAAGCAGTAATCCAAGCTTGGAATAATCCTCTCATGAAAGTATATGGATTTTTCTTTGTGGTAACAAAGAAAATCAATGGGAGCGAGATCAACGAGTGAATTGCAAGTCCTGACAAAACAGTAACCATATACATTGCCAACATTCTTGCGGTATCAGCCAAATCGTGAATTTCCAAAATTTTGCCCATTATCAAACAACAGATTCCGAATGGTGAATACCACATAACAGTCATTACTAGCTTCATAATAACTTTATCCATAATCACGAAAAATTGCACCATAACATGAGCCTCTTCTCCAAGTTGAGATAAACTGATACCAATAGCGATACAGAAGACAATAACTCCTGTAATTATTTGTTTTTTCATCTGTTAGATACATAATTTGAACGTTGACTAACCCAAAACATTCATTCCACTTGTATATTCAACTGATGCTTTAACATAATCCAAGCTTCCATTATTCAAAGCGGCTAACGTTGCAGAATCATTATTTTTGACAACTTTGGGACGAATTTTGATGTATTTAGTTTGAACTTGTTGGAAAGTTGCTTGAACAACATTTTCAGGGAACATGTTTCTCAAAAGATCCAAAAGTGTGTCAACTGTGCTCACAGTCTTTCCTTCGGTTCCGGTTCCAATCTCTTTTTTGATAGTTGGGTCTCCAGGGTGGATAAGCAATACCAAGAAAATACCAGTCTACAAAAACATTCTGAAAATGAATCGGAAGATGTTATAAACTCACAATTACAGCAACAATTGTTGTGAAAACATAATAGGTAACAGCTAGAGATCCAAGTTTTCCAGATTGGCGTGCGTCTAATTGAGCAAGACCAGAGATAAGCGAACTCATGATGAGTGGGAGAATCATCATTTTCAACATATGCATTAAAAGTTCTCCAGGGAAACTGATGTACATAATATTCTACAAAAAATTTGATTTTTTTTGAAAGGGGCTTGTGAAGGATAGTTACCTGTGGTGATAATTCTAATCCTCTGAAAGCAAATCCGAGGATTGCTCCAAGGACCACAGAGCCCACAGTTAGAACAAGTAGCAGATTTTTCCGTAACCACGAAACCATCTGAAATAAAAATTAATTTGATTTTGAACCAGTTAGAGGTATGCTAAATCATAAAAACAAAAAGGGAACTCAAAAAATAACGAAAATTCACAACAAAAATACAATGAGATCTTACAACATCTTTGTTGATTCTAGATTCCGGCGGCATTTTCAAAAAATTCTGAAAAATGTGAAAAAGGAACAAAATGAAAACAAGACAACAAAAAAAATATGAAATTGATAGGGAGTGTTTTCTAATAAAAAATAAAAATAAATTGACAGATTGGTTAGTTCTGATAAGATAGAACAACTAAAACAATTTCAACAATTTTGTTGATATGATATTTTGCACTTTTAATATTTAGCTCTCACCCCACTTGGAAGCGGATTATATAGTAAGATGAGAGAAAAAAGAGGAAAAATAAATAAAAATTGTTTACTTTTGGAAAAATGCCAAAAAAAATCTCTGGGGCGGATTGCACCACTTTTATACTCTATGATTTTTCGCAACAACTTATTTTCTGTATTTTTTTTTGAAAAGATTATTATAGGGGCGACATGACATTGAAGTGAAGTGACAGATTTTGTTGGCGAGTTTGAGTGATTTGATGCATGGTACTACTGTAGGAGAAACGAAAAAGGAAACTCTCGTTTTTTTTTCGCTGATTGATTCTTCAGGGTGATGGGTTTTGAAGGTTGAAATGGAAAAAAACTGATGGAATTTGGACAGTACATTGAGAGGGGAATTTGAAACAGTTGAGATTTGGAATATTCTTCAAACTTTTAGCCAGGAAAACTGATACAGAAAATTCAAACAGAAATATTTTGTCTCTGGTCGTCAAGGATTATTTTCAGATTTGAAATTAAATTTTCTGGTGTAGAACCTTTCAAACTGACCTTTGAATTTATCAGTTCTATAAGTTTCATATAAAAACTTTGGAATTTTTTTCAACGAAACCAGGATCTTGAAAATTCTAGAGAACGTTCTCAAGAATAAGATGGTTTCAGAAAACAACTGTTGAAATATTTGTGTGATATGATATGATGTTCTCAACATGAGTCATTTTTCTAGAAAATTATCAAAATACTTTCGGTTTTTTTTTCGGAAAGTCTTCCAATCACTCATCGGTGAGGAATTTTAAGAAACTTAGAAACATGTGGTCCTTCTAAAAAAACGTGTTAAATAGCTTTGACCTCATTTTTCAAATAAAACAATAAAAAAAATTAAAATGAAACAATTGGTTTGGTTTGTTTGAACAGGTTCAAACAATTATTTTTTGAAAATGGTAGATCGAAAAAAGTACACTTTTAATAAAAAAAAATGTTAGGCAAAAAAATAAACAAAAAAGTAAATCCTTATGAAAAAAAAGGAATCTGAGAAGTGCTCATTAAATTTTTGCACATTTTTTTATAAATCTCGAAGATCAGAAGAAAAAAAAGAAAACATTTTCAAGTAGCAACAAAAAAGAGAGAAGTAAAATAAAATAAAAGAGAACGTTTAGTTGTGACAAGTCCAATATTTTTTCTTGGGGACCCAAAAATATCAATCAATCGCTCATAATAATTGTGCTCTTTTTTGTGTTTGCCTCAAGACAGCAGTTGTTTAAACGCGGGGAAAAAGGACTTTTCCAGTCAGTCAGTCAGTCAGACAACTTTTTTTTCATAAAATGAAATGAAATGAGATGAAAAAATAAAATAAACGAGAAATGAGACAACGGCCGACAAATTTTTTTTGTTGCATGTACAAGTACTTTAGGATAATGGGGTGTTTGGAAATTAGTTTTGTTGTCTGATCTTGGGAATTTCCACATAGTTTCAGAGAACTGAACTGGTCTCTCCAGTTCCACATCGTTAGTTTTCAGTAAAGGTGTGAAAAAGGAGGAGGATTACTTTTCAAATATTGAAAAAAAAATGATACGTTTTCTTATAACAAGACTAGGTCTAGGTTGTGGAATTTCGAACAGCGAAAAATTAATTTCAAAAAATAGTGATCGGTTGGAGTAATTGGAAAATTACTGTCAAAAAACAGTTTTCTGTTGGAAAACTGTTTTTTTTCTGGTCAATAAACCCTCACAACAGGAGGAGTCAACGTTTGTAGCTTTATATCTTCAAATATCCAAATTCATCAAAAATTTCCCTAATAATAAATAACTACTAACATCGCATAAAAATATAGTATGTTTTTTTATCATTTTCAAAAAATTATCAGTAGCACTTTAGAGCTAACAGAAGCAAATTAAAAAATGAACAAACATGAAATGTAAGTATTTGTTTGTTTTCTTCAAAAAAGAGACAAAATAAATATATAATAAAAAACAAAAGTTAATAGATACTGTGAGCTTACTTACTTCATTTGTTTTTGTTTTTTTTTTCAATGAAAAATATTTTTTGGAGTGTTCATTCGAAGGAAAACCAGTTATTTTTTTGGACATATTTCAATAAATTGAATTATGGTATTTCTTTCAATGTGTATCAGAATAAAAAATAATAATAATAATAATCCTATTACTTCCCATGAGACTTTACTGAAAAAGAAGAAGAAAAATATTTTTCATACAAAAAAAACCTGTGATGTTTGGGTTTTGAGAGAACTAAAGTGGTAACCTTATTTGTATATTTTTTCTTTATATATGTAAATTTTTTGCTCAAGTTTTTTTTCCCGAAAAATATAAAATAGAAAAAAATCATGTTAGTTTTGACAAAAAAACCGGGAAGTAAACAAAAAACAGACAGGTGGAAAAACTGAAAAAAGGGCTTTTATGAAAAATTATAGGTTGGAAGTTTGCGAGAAATTTAATGTTTGGGTTTTTTTTCGAGAATTAGAATTAAAGTTCAGAAGTCGGCAAGAAAAAAAAACGATTTTCGACGCTTTGACGAAATTGGTCTGAATCACCACATTAAACTTTTTCATTAGAAAATACGTCTTCGTTTAGTTTTCAAGGAAAAATGGGTTTGGCAAAATTTTTCATGAATCATTTTTTAAGGAATAAGAATGGCAATGAAAAATTGGTCTACGATTGGATGACTTATTTTTTGAAAGATGTGAAATTGGGAACGTTGTCTAATTTTCGAATAAATCCCAAGGTGGTCTCTGAAAGATATAGATATATTTTCAAATTTTGTTTTTTCTCTCATTTTCGATGTTTCAAATATTTTTGTTTGTAGTTAGTAACTTCGAAAATTTTGAATCAAAGTTAATTGATTGAAGATGGACATGGAAACAATTTTTTGAAATTATCAAAATTGCAAGTTGTTTCTGAAAATCGTCCTCAAACTCAAAAACATTCCTTTTTAACAAAGACTAAAACTTTATCACTTGAATATTCAAATCAAATACGAAATACTGTAGATGTTTCTGAATCTTGAAAAATATTTCCATAAAATACTGCAGAAGCTTCCCAAAAACTCAAACAGCCACCCTCTTTGCTTCTCCCACTCAAATTCTTCTCATACCTCAATAAATTTCGAAATATTTTTTGAAAAACTATATATATATATATATCAAAATTCTTGATAACATGTTTCAACAAGAAATTCGACACTTCAACCGGCTGTCTGTTCGAAAAATTCTCCTCTCATATATTTTTCTCATCTTGACTTCCAAAAACCTTGAATTCAACAAACTGTCTAAAAGTCATTGAATCGAAACATTTTTTGAAAAAAATTTGAATTGACAAAAGTTTTTTTTTTGGAAAAAAAAATCAAAGCAAGCAAGTAGAAAAGGGGAGAAGAAAAAGTTGTTTTTTTTTGGAGACAGATGAAATTCAATTGACAGTCAACCAGGAGTTAACCCACGCAGAAGCAAAAACGAAAAAAAAACGAGGAAAAAACGATTCATAAATTTTATTCCTATGAAAAAGGGAGAATCATCACAAAATAGTTATCACAACACAAGATGTTGAAAATAAGCCCGCATGAGAACAAAATAATTATAATAAAATAGATAAATATGTAAAATATGAAAACATAGTGAACTCGCAAGAAAAAACAAAAAATCATAAAAAATATTGATGAACTCGACTTCGTTCCTGATTATATAGAAAAATGGTGCGTTGTCGTAAATATTCGAAAACATCCCATAATGTTTGAACCGCTATTGTGTTGTACACAATTTGTATAAACATAAATAGTAATAACCCAATTATATGTATACCTTGATTGGAATCTGGAAGTACGTTTTTTTTTGTTATAGTGAAATGTGTTTTGTTCTGCGGAAGGTTCAACTTCAAATAATGAATTCTGAGGGAATGACGCGCGAGACTTCCGCAAAACATGGATAAGAAAACCGTAAAATCGTCGCGCACTCGCAGCAATTTAGCGAGGGAATCTCGCCCTGAGAAGTGACATAATTTTGAAATAATTTTTTGTAATTTTTAATGATAACTTTTGTTTTCCGATTAAAAAAAAGTAAAAACAGACATTTTCCAAAATATAAAAATTTTGAAAAAGTTCAAGAAAAAATTGAGTCTAGAAAATATATGGACGTGTGATTTTTTTTAGAAGTTTGTAATTTTCAATCGAAATACAAAACTTGATGTTTGTTTTTATTTTTCAATATTTTTATTGTTTCATCTAGTAGCTTTTTCTTCAAAGAACTTTTAAAAAATTAAAAAAAAATCAAGAAATGTGTAAACTCCGTTTTGTCAACATGTTTTAAACAAAAAATGACTAATAACTCGCCACGTCATCCCAACATTTTTTCACAAACTTTGTCGAAATTTTTTCACAAAAATTTGAATTATGAAGATTATCAAAATATTCCAAATTTAAATCTCAACAAAAAACTCACGATCAATAGTTGTAATTCTCCACTGCATTAATTTGATCAAAACCTGTTGTCTTACAACAGCCACCAATGAAGCAATAACAATCAAAAATACACCAAGAATGATTTCACAAATCTGACACATACAATTATTATATATTTTTAATGAGCAATAATTTCTCACCTTTAAAATAATAATAGGCCATAAAAGTGTGTGTCGATGTCGAGTTAACGCAAAAAATGCCATTAACCAGATCGATCCACTAACTAGGATTTGAAATAAAGAAATTGTGTCGAAAAATCCGATTGTTGATGGGATTATAACTACAGTGAAGAATAATATTGAAATTTCAATTGCAAGAATAATACGGCCAGCTACCTAAAAATAATGTGTTTTAAAATCATGTTTTGAAAATTGGCAGAAAAATCTGCAGACTTACAATAACATGTAACCGATTATTAAAAGTTGTATACGCTTCTCCAAAAAAGTATGCATCACTTGGGCTACATTGTGGAGCCGTGCCCATGCTGTAACAAAATGTTTATTCTGAAAATTTGAAGCTAGAAAAAATTTAATTGAAAAAAAGAGCTTTAAAGAAGAAAAAATTAATCAAAAGTGCAAAGATATATTATTTGTTTTGTTTTGCGGTTTGTTTCGAACAAAAACAACACCTGCAAAAGATTATATATAAAATGAAAACGCAGATGATAGAGAGCATTTTTAAGAAAGGAAGCATTTTCTCAGACTTTCTTCTTCTATCTTTTTTTCTGAGATTTGAACGTCAGTTGTTGTCGTGTTCTGACAAGCTCACTATTCACATATAACATATCTCTATATCGAAGTTTTGCACGACATACACACATTTTTCGAAATTTGATTAATTGATGGCTCATAAACATTTCTTGATCTTTACTTACACGAAAACAAAATCTGTTCAAAAAATGCTGCAAAGTTAACCAGACTGAAAACTGATAGATTGGCCACATCAATTTTACAGTAGGAACATATTCCAAAAACCGAGGACCTATGATACACAAAGTTCTGAAGTTTGTAAAACCAAACATTTGTCTTTGTTCTTTTTTCCTAATAAGTTTATTTTCCAGTAAAACTCAAGAGAAGATTGGCAAAATAAACGAAAAGTTTATTTTGTGAAATTGAAATAAACAAAAATATTTTTCTTTCGTTGAAAAGTAATTTTGAAATAATTTATATTCAAATAATTGTTGAAGCTCTTGAGATTTAGATTCAAATAAGATGAAAATATGAAAGGTCAAAAAATAAGACAAAATATGCTCGTGAAAGATATGAAAAATGACTTTTGTGTGATATTGAATAACCTCAGAGGCCCGCGACATGTTTTGTAACATTTGGCCAGTTTCGACACACACCTTGTATCCTCTCAAATTTCCGCTTTTTTCTATGCTTGTACATGTTTCAGTGAATTTTTTTGAAAATGTGAAAATGCACGTTTGCCGGATCGGAACAGGTATTTGTTGTCAAAATATTGACAATTTTTGATGAGCTTTTAGCCAACGAAAAATGAAATGAATAATTTTGATTTTGCTACTTTATAGGGCAATTTTGGGAAGATTCGATTTTATTACTGAAAATTTCGCCAAATTTTGAGTTTGCAGCGTTGTTGAAATAAATTCAAAGTGTGCAATTATTGTAAAAGATAAGGATACAACAAGAAAATCTGATTAAAAGTCGAAAAAATATGTCTGGCATCGTTCACGATGAAAAGAACTTCTGAAATCAGTTTTGCAAAAAAAGTTATAAATAAGATTTGAAATTCTTACAAACTAAATGACTTTGCTAACTTAAAAAAAACAAAGAAACAAATTTAAATAAATCAATCTTAACCAAAAGAATTTACTGTTATTATTTTTTGAATAATGTCTGCAGATTCTGACAACTCCATCGTAAATCCAAAGAACTTTGGATGTTCATTTTTAAGATTGTCATATAGGAAAGTTTTTCCAAATTTCTTGATTTTTTCGCATAATTCAAACATTTCAAAACATAATCATCCATTTCTTCTCAACAATTCTCTTATTTCTGTTTTTTTCCAAAAAGAAAAATAATAATTGTCACAGGGACACAAGATAACGCGCTCTATTGCAAACAGCGTCCCCTCTCCTCTCCGCATGCTAAACATATGACCCAGTTATGCCTTTCTTCCTCTTTTTCTCTATCTCCTCCTTTACTCTCGCAAACGCTGCCATTTGAAAATTTCATATTATTTTTTTTCCAATTTTTTCACATCATTTATGTACTGGATTTTCAGATAAAAATGGGTGTTGATAATATCGATACTATAAAATTCATCATCTGGAAATTCATGGTGGAGCAAGGTTTGGAACATTCGGCCTTCTCATTTTTTCACGAAGCAAATGTGTCACATTCAAAAATATTGGATGGCGATGATAATTGTCCAAGAGATGCTCTCATAATGTTGCTCAATGTTAGTTTTTGTTTTAAAAAAAACTGGGATTTTTTTGAAATGATAAAAAGTTGCAAAAACTCGGGTTTTTTCAGCATTCTAGTGAACTCCTCAATTATTCGGATGAAGAAGATGAGGAACCAGAAGAAAATCATCTAATCAAAAAAGCGCGTTATCTTCATGGATTGGAATCTTTGACTCGTACAAGAGATGTTGGAAAGGCTCGTCATAGAGAGCCATTCTTCAAACCATCTAGCCAATTTCCGAGTAATTCGATTCTTTTGATGAATGGACATTCTACTGAAGGTGTTAGTTGTGCGTGGCATCCGACTGAAGATTGTATTCTTTCAACGTGAGTTTTTAATATGAAGTTGAATTTAAGGTTTCACAAAAATGTATTCGTTCCAAAGTTCAGAAACTCAATATGCTTAAGAATAGTGATATGTTTTGTAGAAAAAAAATTAAAAATTGTTCAAATACTACTGGTGTTTTCAGAATCTTACTACAATCATTTTTTTTTAGTTCTGGTGGTTTCATATATGGTCAAGATTCAACAGTTCGAATTTGGAATCTCAACACGCAAGCTGAAAGATGGACATCCGCCGAACAAATTCTCAAAGATTCGCCAGTTTTTTGTAAAAAAGACACTCCTGTTTCGTGTGCATCATGGTGTACAAAAACACAAGATAAGCATATTTTTGCAATGGGAACTGACTCTGGAGAAGTTGGTTTATATCAACGAGATTTTCGCAATATTAGTAGTACAAATGTTGATGGAAGTGTGAAATTGTTGACATGGTCACCGGAAACAGCCGAAGGACCCGATTATCTTGGATGTGCCACTTTTGAAGGCGATATTGTTATTTTTGATTGCACTGATCGTTTGAATGGTGAGTTCTTGGATTGAATATTTCTTTTAAATTTATCCTAAACTTATTTTGGAAATTTTGACTTTTGACTGATTGTCATGAAGGAAAAATCTGGTGATTTGAACTCTCTTTCAATTTTGAAAATTACTTCAATCAAAATCAAACTTCTAGCTACTTCAATATTCACTTTTTCCAGGCCTCAAACAACCTGTGAAAAAACTCAAGAAATCAGGATTCATTAGAGAAATGTATTTTTTGAGTCACGACACTGGAAAAATTATAGTCGATGATGATAAGGTTCTTTATCTTTATTCACTCAAGTCAGATGAACCTGTTCGCAAATTTTTTGGGCATCGTGATATGATCCTTTCACACACACCAGCTCCAAAGTATAACCTGTTCTCATCAAGTGCGTTAGATGGAACAGTTAGAGTAAGTCAAACCTGAAACAGTTTTAAAATTAAATATACTAACTTTTATTCATAGATTTGGACACCTGATCAATCCATCGCAAAACAAACTCATCAATTGAGTGGATCTGCTTTGTTTTCCCGCTGGAGTCCAAATTCTGAAACAATTATTGCGTATGTTTTTTTTTTCAATTTTTGTTTGAAAATATGAATACTGAAATGTTTCAGGCAATCTGATGATTTGGTTGTAACTCATTTCGACATTCCAACTGGAAAACGATTGAAAGAAATCCTTTATTGTCCCGGAACCGATGCTGAGTTCTCACATAATGGAAATATGTTTGCAGTTGGTTGTGATGAGGGAATGGTGTATGTTTGGGATTCTCGAAGTTATGAAATGGTGCGAGTTCAGAAGAGAGATGATGATCACACAAGATTGGTTGAATTACATTGGTCACACGATGATAAGAAAATTGCCGCGATGTATGAGGACGGAGGAGTTCGTTTATTCGATATGCGAGTTTGATTATTTGGTGGTGTTATCGTGCTCAATAGTGATCTCAATTCTTGATCAATCAAAAATTCTTTATTCATCGTTCTCGTTAGATCTCATATCAGTTTTCCATTGTAAATAATATTATTAAGTTCTTATTTGATTTGGTTGATTTTTTGTTTTGAAAACAAATATTTATTTCATCAAAAAGTTACTCCTGAACATTCCAAGTTCACACAGTTTCCTTGTGAAACTATTCCAGAGATTTTGGACTTGTTTGCTCGAGAAATAATCTGTAAGTTTTCTAGTGCTTTTTAATTATAATTCTTCAATATAAATCAATCTTTTTATAAATGGCATAAAATATAAAAAGCAAAAAAAAACATCTTGAAATTTTGAAGCTGCATTCTTTCAAAATATGACACGTTTAAGAAAAAGGTTAGTCACAAATAAATAATAAATTATTAATAAAACATTGACAATCAATCAAACAAAACTTTGTGGAATGAACATATCTAGAACAGATGTCAATGTCTCAACTCCATATGGAAGATGTCCTTCTTCAGATGATGTGAAGAAACGGCTAACCATATTTGTGGTCGTTTTATAAACCGAGAAGAATGTTTGTTGAAGAGCTTTGACAGCAAGATTCGAGTGACATGATGATAACACTCGATTCACAACAATATCTCCAGTTGTAGTGAGTGGGGAATAAATTCCAGTTCCAAAAACTCGAGTAATTTTGTGAACTCTTCTTTTCACCAAAACTTCTTTGTCATTCATAACGTGAACACAATCATCAACAGTAACATCTTTGGCGGCAGCAAGTCTCAAATTATTACTGCCAGCACAGTTTGAAATATAAATCAAATGATTATCAGTGAGTTTGATCGAATGTCCAAATTCAGTTTCAATCACATTAAATTCAGCTTCTTCGTCGTGTCGTTTATGCAAGAACATCACAATAGGCAAGTATGTCAACATATTTCCATCGAGACTCAAAACTTTATCACCGACTTTCAAATCTCTCATTAATTTGGTACCATCTTCCGTTTGGACCTAAATAACACAGTTACAAAATGAGAAATTCAAAAATTCGTAAATACCTCCATATCTCCTGAAAAACATTGGAATGGAGTTCTGGCAAACACAGAATTCAAATTTGGTTGCGCATAACTATATTGATATGGCGATTGATAAGAATACGAAGATTGAGCCGCTGGCTGAGCAACCGCTGAATATTGTTGAGCTGGATAACCAGAATATTGATTAGCTGTTGGATATGCGTTATACGCCGGATAACTGTTATAACTTGGTTGAGCTAAAGGAGTTTGATAGGTGTCAACAGGTGGTGGCACAGGTTGAGTTTGATAAGTGTTGACTGGCGCAACGTTTTGAGATTCAAGATATTGTGTAGCTGGTGGAACTGGTCCCACTTCAACAGATGCTGTTTCAGCATAAGAATTTCCTGCAGAGGCGCTGCCATCGGTGATTGTTGTGAGAGGTGCTGTGTTTTCTTGATATGTGCTATCACTGAATGCTTTTGGTTTGCTGTTGTACTGCACTGGCCATAAACTGTTTTCCGCGTAAGGCAAACGACTTCTGAAAATATTTTTGAAATGGAAGCGTGAGATACATAGAAAAATAAAAAAATACCTTCTCAAAGGTCTTCTGAATTGTGATGGCTCATAATCATAATCATAATAATCTTCCATACGTTTCAACATTGCCCTGCGTCTAGCAGTGAATGGTCTACGCCCATAATTAACTGCATAACTTCTGTAAGCATCATCAAAATTTCCAAGACGATCACGGAGTCGTCTGCGGTTTCGAGAAACAACAGGAAGGGCTTCAGCAGAATCAGGAATAAGATTACAAGGCAAACGGTAAACTGCGACGATGTATTGCACTCTAAAAACAAATATATTATGATAGAAGTTTGCAGAAGAAGAAAGGAAGAGAAAAACATACTGATTTTCAGCGTTAACAGTTTTTCTGATTTCCTTGATCAAATCAAATCCTCCAGCTTCACCCTCTTTTTCAACCATTCCACCTTCATAAACATCACCGGGTCCAAGGAAAATACTTTTGATTGTTTGAGCATTTGACATTCCATCATATGAACAGCATTCGGTTTTGAGTGTACGATGAGTTCCGTTATTGACTTCTAATAATCCACCTGTCCATTGCAATTCATCTACACAGACAACTTCTTTGAATGGATCACAACTCTGAAAAATCGTCAATTATGCATATGACAAATGAAATATAACCGTTGGTCAAACTATATACATTAATTGTCATATTAATTGCAAGCACTTTTTTCGACATACAGATGGATGAAACTAGTTAAAAACGGAACGGAAGGGGATTACGAATGTCCGAAAAGTTCAAAAACCAACAAAAACTTACGACAGACAAAAGTTTCTCTTTTCGATCACGTTGTCCATTGGCGGAATAATCTACACCCAAGCAAGTTGGCGCATCACAAAGAATCTCTGGAATAATTTTCAGAGTTTCGAATAAAGTTTTGGGAGTCCAGAGAAAAAGGTTTCCTGATTCTTGCGAAAAATTTGTTCTCAATGTGGTTTAAAGTCAAAACTAAACATGCTTCACTCTAATTGTTTAAAAATAATTTTATATGAATTAATAGGGTTACCTGGTTTTCCTTCAGCATCTACAACCATTTTATAAGGAACCGAATTGGTTCCACATGAACCTCCTTCGTGGATAACTACAACTGCATAACTTGAAAGAAAGCAAGAGAGAAGAGATATGAGAAGTTTCATCTGAAAAAGTTTTCAATTTCAGATACAGATAAGATATCATGTTTTATCAATTAAAAATTGGATAGATAGAAGGCAGAACGCAGATATGAAGCAAGCAAAAAACAAATAGAAAATTAAAATCCAATATTCTCGACAGTAAAACAAGAGAACATTCAATTTAAACAATATAAATATATAAATAAAAGAGTACCAAGTATCCGGTCATCATAAAAAAGAGAAACTGGATAAATGAAGAGGAGAGGAACGAGGATAAAGTATACAGAAAATGAATGAGACGAAATAAACTGACACCATGTAATTGCCAGGATTACGGTGTTAAACCGCTTCATCGACATAAAGAAAGTGGACACACGCACACAAATGAAAAAGAATAGAAATTTTTCGAAATGAAAATGAAAATACTTCATCTTCTTCTTATTCAAAAAATGAATCTAGCTATCTAGAAAGAATCACGATTAATCTTGGGAATTTTCGACATTTTTATAGGTGGCATCAGAACTAATTGAGGAACCGCCCTCTCGTTATGTTTTTTGGCTGATATCTAGTTTGATCCATCTTATTACTTTTTCGGGCCCGATTAGGCTCCGCCTTTTCTTGAGAACTAATGAGAATAGATCAAAAACGAGTACTTTATGATGAGGAACGATTTGATTGAGGATGTGAACTTTTCGAGAACCTTTCTTGTTTTGTGATTTCAAAGAAAACGTTTTTCAAGTATTTTTAGCGGAAAACATATGTGAATTTGGAGTTTCAAGTGGTGAATACAATACAACAATTTTTGGCATGATGGGGGAATGATTTTTTGAAAAAAATGGTTTTTTAAAAAACAATATTTTCAGAGTGGATTTGGACATAAATAACTAGTAGATATTATATAAATGACGGAAAACTGGTCTTTTGAGTTTCAATTAGGAATTACTACATCAGGGCTATAGCTCTAAATTTTAACTTTCAACTTTTTCACAAGTAGACATGTTTTTCAGATTCTTTTAGAATGAAATTTCAAAAATTGTAAGAGGTTTCGAAAATTATTATGTTGTTTTTTGTTAATTGTATTTTCAAAACTAAAAAACTTTTTTTTGAAAATAAAAGAAATCAGAAACATACAGAATGATGATTCTGGCATATTTCATAGTTTTAAAATATGTCAGATAGCTTAAATAATTTTTTTCTTCTTTAAAAATTTTTATTCAAATCTAGAGTGAGCTCCAAGTTTTCATCGAAACACTCCCATTAAAAATGTATCGCCATGACTGAAATTTTTTAACGGAGAAAAACGATTTTCCAGATTATTCAAGGTCATTTTTCTTTGATGTAACTGAATCTGTCAGAAAATTATCTGATGGTTACTGTAGATCTCATTTTTCACAGGCTTTATTACATTCCGCAACCCCAGTCTTGTAGGTTTTTCTATTTTAGAGAAATTGTAGTTTTTCACATGTTTTCTCTCCAGGATAAAATCTCATCAGCAGAAAAATGTGACACTTTTTCCGTAAACTTTCAATTCTAATTAACCTTGGAGCACTTTCGATTGTACGTATTTGTTTTGAAATTCAATTAAAATTTCCAACAAATTTCGTGTGTTTTCACTTTTGATGAAAAAACGGAACTTTGATTTCTTGATTTCTCCCATCAAAATCTATATAGTTAATTGGAGGAATCTCGAAATTGTTTCACATTTTTGATGTGATTGTTTTTGTTATTAGTTATTGTTTGTTTTTTTTTTCAATTGATTGGTCAAATCTGACCTGTATTAGGAAAACTAGAAATATTCAAAAAAAAATCCAAATTTTTCAATGAAAAACTTGCAAAAAAAAAGATTAAATCAGCAGCTAAAGCATCAATGACTAGAATAAAGTTTATACGAAACAAACAAGATTCCTTTTCCTTTCGATTTTTTCTTCATCAAAGAAAAAAAAAAAGTTGATTTTTTAATTTCTCTTCAATCCACTTAAATTTCTCACCCTTAACGATAGAACTAATTAAAATAGATGCAGCTAAATGTCGTGGGATAATTAGTTCCATATCCGAGATATGCGATCTTTGATGTTTTTTCTGGGAAAAATCTTCAAGATATAGATATAGAAATGACTATCTTTTTTTTTCAGAAAAGAACATCCATCATTTTTTTTCAGTTTTCCAAAAGTGTCATTTTTGCAGCGATAAAATTTCAGAAATCTTTTTTTCTGATAAAACTTTTTCTGCATCATCAAATTAATGTACAAATCACATGTTTATAGGATTTATCCAACTAGAAAATATCAACCTGCGTTGATCAAATCAAAGGATAAATTGCGCAACATCATTTTGTAACAATTTTTACAAAAGATATGCTGTTGTTTCTTTGTATTTTGAACATAAGTTTTGTCGTTTGAACTGATTCAGAGACCCGTTTGATTTGTTTGGTGAGAATCATCGTAACTTGGATCAGGATTTTTTGCGCATTTTTTGCTAACGCTTGTTCAGAAAACTGAAGTTAAAGAATACGATTTTCTGCCATCAATCTAGAAAAAGATAGGAATCACAAAATCAAGCTTTGTGAAACGAACTGTGTAGGGATTTTTATGAATCTGTGTTTGTGTTACAATGTTTTATGAATAAGGACTATGTATCGAAGAAAGGGTAGAAACAATATGGAAATAACAAAGAACAAAAGATGAAGATGGGTTTACTAAAAAAAATAATTTCAGTTCACAACTTTATATGAATTTCAAAACAATCTGAAAAAAGTTTGTCAAGAAAAAAGCACCTTGTTTTTTTAGCTGAAATTGCCAACCTAAAAGTTTTGTCAAAATTTACGTAATTCCGCAACAAACTGCGCATCTTCTTTCAATTTTCTATTGTTTATTCAAATACAAAAGAAACAATTGATCATAAAGAGTTTTTTTTAGGTGTGCGGTGACTAATTGGTGGTTTTGAAACAAATATGTACGTTCACATTTCTTCTCGTTCTGCCAATTGTATTCAAATTTCAATTTCCTTCCGGTTTTTGTGTACTTCTGAACAAAAGAATACTGTAGTTCAGTTTTCTATGTAGATTTATGTTTATTTGTCATTTTTTTCATATTATAATTTTTTTTAGTTGACTGACCAAGGATGGATGAATGAAAAAAGTGAAAAGAAAGATATTTGGGAAAATCAGAATCATGTACGTAGCTTCTGATTTTTATCAGAAATTTTCAAGGTTTCACGCTTATTAACCCTCAACTAGAATAAATTAGAAAATTGGGAGATCTATGATCAGCAGAACAGGATTTTCTGGAATTTCAAACTAATGTGTGTATTGATTACGCTTTGAAAATACTTCAGTAAGCTAGAAACTTAAAAAAAGAAAAACATTTATGGTAAAAATTTATGTCAAATACAGTTTTTGAAATGGAATTATATTTTTTGACAAAAAATAGTTCGCAGTTTCTATATTAATTCATTAACTATTTTAGTACCATCCTGAATATAATGTTAAGTTGACAAGATATTCATTCTGAAAATTCTTACGCTGTGTACTCTGAAAATAAGTTTAACTTAAAAGTCTGAAAATCAATATCAATGATCGACAATCAAGATACCTCCCAGAAATATATATTCCTCTCAACCATCTCTTATCCCTCATCCTATTCTCATGAAATAAAAATTGACCACACCCGGAGCTCAATTATCAAATTATACGTATGTATACAACAAACATGCCGGCTCGGTGAGCACCGAAAAGCAAAAAGGTTGGGGGAAAGCAGGTGTGCGCAAAGAGAAAAGAAGAAGAAACATGGCAAAATAAGCTTATTTATGAAATTTTTGCTCGTGCAGCTTTACAATTTGTTTACATGTTTCCTCAAATTTTTGTTTCGCTGAAAAAATCCATGATTTTCTTTCCCTTTGCTCATTTCATTCACAAACTCAAACTCAAAACTTGAGTAGTGTGAAAAAGAATCAGATTTCAAGTAAATAAAATAAATGTATATGGGTATCGGATATTTCCTGAGAAAACCGATTTCTTTTTTCTCCATCCACGAGTTTCGGAAACGTTTATTTTTTATTTTTCACGAAAAAAGTTTTCCTTTTATTGAAATTAGTGAAATAAATGGTGCAAAACGAATGGATTTAGGTGAAAACAAGTTAGCAGCCACTCGAACACCAAAATAAAAAAGACACACAGATTTTCATCGGAAAACTTGTATTTATTGTTTCATGCATGTTATTTCTCACTTTTTTTCTGTTACAAAAACATTATATTTTTTTACTGTGAAGTTTTGCAGATTCATTTTTTGAATAAAACTTCCGAATGTTCAGGAACTTATTTCCAAAAAAATTTTCTTTTTGTGCTGCCAGAACGGTTTTTTTCAAATTAGTGTTTTCAAGAAGTCACATTTTTGAAAAAAAAAATTCTGACGTGTGATGTTTTTCATAGATTATCGATCATTTGAAAACACTTGAAAACCGGAAACCTGAAAAAATCTGATAATAGTTTCAAATGAATTATTTTTCTCAAATTGCGTAAAAAATCAAGTTTTCAGTCACTCAACAGTCTTTTTTCTAGAAAAACCATAACAAAAAAACCTTCCAATTTTATTTTGAGAGATAAGATGTCTGCAAAAAGCTTCTCAAGACCTTTTCCAGCTTTTTACCAACCACTAGCAAAAAATTCAATTCACATTGATATGATTCGTCTGTTTACACACAAATAAAAACAAATAAATAATATTCAAATAATTTTTGATTGGTATAAATATATGGGTGCGCATAAGTATGATCATTGATGGTAGAAAAGAGAGCATATAAATATTAGAGAGACTCTTCTCAATCGACCTTGTTTTGTTTTGACTACCATTTCATTGGTCATTTTTTCTGCTTTTTCCGAAATATTTACTTTGTCATCGGAAAGAAGTGTAAAAAGAACATCTTTTTTATTATCATTGACACTTTTTCAATGTGAATAGAATAGTAGAAAAAAAGTGGAATCCCATTATTTTTATTGCAACTCATTTGTCACATGTTCGTCGTAAGAT